CACTCTGTGTGTTACAAGGTCACTGAATTCCTCTGCGAGTTGAGTACAAGAAAAGCAGGATATGAACAAACAGATCTACAGTAAAGTTATTGCCCCTCTGGTAAAACACTGTAAATCCAAAAGTGGACTCATAGGCTTTCATGCGCTCTTATTTCACCTCATCTCTCACTCCTCCATCACCTTAACTCCCCTCAGATTACAGATCACATGTCTTCTCAAAAAACTCGGTGGAAGAAGTGGATAATCCCAAGACTGTGACCAGGAAATGCAAAAGCACAGACACACAGAAGAAAAAGACATGTGGGGTAAACACGCTCATATATGAAGTTCTCTGGGGTCTCGGTGCTCTCTGGGGGGAAGCATTGTGTAGGGTCTGGTTTGTAAAGTCTCACTTTAAAGACTTCCACCGTCCTTCCTCTAAGCTTTACAATAACGCACACGGTTTTCTCTCGCTCTAAGCATAGCACGGGCAGGAACTCCTGCAGGGATGACTTGAAAAACTCTTTGTGCGATCCACAAAGGCAAAATGTACTTCCTCATATACAGTACAGAAGCCTTAAGAAGTCATATTTTCAGTTGGCTCCAAACTATAGGAAAAGCTTAGAAGGAGAGTCATCTGAGGTCAGATACTCACAAACAATCTCAGTTTGTCCCAAGACTTATTTTGGTTAGCTTTGTTATGTAGGTTTATAAATGTAAACTTCTGGTCTTTGGTCCACTCTCTTTATCTGAGTGTTGACCTTTTTGTGTCACAAGCCAAAGATCAGTCGAGACCGGGTCCTTAGATGGACCCCTGAATTGGGACACATAGTTTTGCCCTGCTGTGTTGTTGCTCTATGAGGCTGATCCTCGATCTGACAAGGTGAAGATTGAGGTGAAATTTATCAATGTCTCAATGTTTATCAATGTCTTATCAATGTCAATGTGATTGTGAACGCACTGACTCCACAGCAGTGTTGTCAGATGGTTGACAATGTCCTAGACTACGGTGCTACAACACTGCTTCACAGAAATCCTCCAGGAACCATTGAGAACTATCCTGGTGGGATTTGAACCCAAGGTCATCTCCTTTTAACAGAAGTCCTGAGGGGGGAAAAAAGCATAATAAGAAACCTCAGAGTCAGACTCAATCCAGAAAAGCTGGACAAGACATTAATTTGTGGTTGAGCTCAAATCCAGTCTGTTTTATTTTGTAATTGCGTCATTTTTAATGTCTTGTTTTGATTTTGCTTAAACGCATAGTTTCAGTTCTTCTGTTTTGTGGTTTAAAAGTGAGTAAGTTCCAGGTTTTATATCTTTAATCTAAAAGAAAGATTAAGATGTTGTTAGGGGAAATAAACTGGATGTTTTGCTTGAATTAAAAAATTCTGAACCTTTCTGAACATCACGTTATCTTCACACTTCCTCCTCGGCAGTACTACTGATCAGATTGTTGTGACTATAAATGTACAGCAGACTACACATTGTTCTCATTCATCACATCTCCGGCCTCCAACAGCTTCCTTGAGTTAGAGAAAAAACACTTTTACTGAATGAAATCATAAATTCATGTTGATTCATTCTCTTGATTAAAAGTAAAAACCGACTCACCCACTGTATCTTTCACAATGCGGATCCACTTTAAGAAGAAATCTGTTTAAGTTCATCTGAGTTGAGGACAAGTAGAGGAAGGGTGTAAACGCTGCAGCTCAAGTGGAGCTTTCCAGATGTTATGCAAAGGATGTGAGTTCATTCTTCTAAAGTCCAAGACAATCTGTCTGTCGGGTCAACAAGATACCTTTGTCCATCAGGCATGAGAAAACACCACTGAGCATATGGAGACGAACAGCATGCAATAAAGGGGAGAAGGAGAGGTTTACATTCTGAGCAGAGCATGACCTCATTTTACTGAAAATATCCTGAGGATTCACATCATAGTTTGAGGAAACACAAAGTAAATGTAATAATGTCAGTTTGTCTGTTTGTTTTCTCGTCTGCCTCTGCCAGTAAAATCTCAGAGGACTTCTCACTATCACACTCCTTCCTGAAAAGCTTCCTAAGTTTCTCTCAGTCCACTGTGGGCAGGAGAGGAAGAGCAGGACCTTTCCTTTCCCTTCTATCCTGTTTGGCCTTAAGCTACCAGAGTGTTATTTCAGATGGTCGGTCAGTGTTCACAACTGTCTGTTCTGTACACCGTCCAGAATCTACATTCACACATATGTGAACATACTCCTAGATTGTGAGCTGTATTTTAACTTTCTTGACGTTTTTAAACTCTAGTCCTGTTTTGATGAATGTAGAAACACTTTGAGCGGCATCACATTGAGATGACTGGGATGAAACAGGGAGGTGGAGATCTGCCTCGTTCCCTGCAGTTATCCAAACACTGTGACGGAGACGCCTGTGGATCACAAGCACTGCACCTGTAAAACAATCTGTAGCAGATGTGATCTTTTCTCTCTCTGACTGTGAGAAAATGATCACACTCAGAGGAAGCGGCGTTTTAAACAGTTTCAATGTGGAAACTTCAGAAAATCAGGAGATCTGGAATAGAAATGGATCAAGACTTAAGGAGATCACATCAAGATTTAACTTATTTAGATTGGACTTTGCATTATATTTTTATTGTTAAAGCTCCTGTGATAAGTTTTTTTATGTTTATGAAACTGACTGAAAATTGAATTGAGACCTTTTTGTAACATACAAAACCAAACAAGACCATTACCAATGAGATCGACAATTTCTATACCGATTTTTTATGCCTTAAACTGGTGTAAGGGGGTAGGTGTCAGCCAAACAGCCAATGAAACAGCCCTGTTTTTACAATTTCCGCTTAAAATATTTACAACAAAATATGCATTTTACTTTCAAAAGTCATCAAAATGGGCTTTTAGTTTAAAAAAAACTTTAACTTTTAACTTTAAAATCCTGTACAGGACAAAATCGACACAAACTGAAAGTTCCTCACAGGAGCTTTAAACTCTTTCAGTTTTAAGCAATCATGCGTCTCTTCCCTGTGTCCACTTTTACACCATGTCTCCTTTAACATATTTCTGTGGTGTAAGATGGTGATCAAATGTATTGTGAGGTTTAAAAAAAAACAGTGAAGATATTTTTAAGTCATAAGGGAGACCAGGATACTGTACATGACGCGCACATCTTAATGACTTGGCCAACTGGTGCTCCCTCACCCCTGCTTCCTGAGGGGGGTTCTTACAAGTGGGCTAAGTGGATAAAGTTGTTCTTGTTAGTGTAGATGCAGCACACGTCACATAATATACTGCAGTTTAACAATGTATAAATACCAACCATCATTTCAAGTTAAGTCAAACTTTATTTATAAAGCACATTTAAAACAGCCAAAGTGCTTTACAAAGTAAAAAAAAAAAAGAAAACAACACAGAAAAAAGGTAGGTCTGTAGTAATGGTTTCATGTAAGTAGTAAGCTACTGCAAAGGCCCAGTTGACCCTGGTTTTACAACAAGTTTTAGGTACATCCGAGAGCAGCTGATTGGTTGACCTCAGTGCTTTACTTGGAGTATAGATATGTGGAAGTAAGGCAGTACCAAAACATTACGAGCTTTATAAATAGGTCAACCACAAAAGTCAATCCTTAGATGGACTGGAAGCCAGTGGAGACATATCTTTGCTATTACATTACTTGGGTCCAGATGTGCTGACTTTTTTTTTTCTTTTGAGGGGGGTTAAAAACAATCAAAATATAATTCAGATGCTTGAGTTTAATACTCTACGCTGGATAAAAATAACATAATAATGTCATAACTACACTTGAACATCTCAAAACAATAGCCAAAGTGAACCAGGGGCTCTAGGGGCCCTTCTAAAGCTCAGGCCCTGGAGTTGTTTCCTGCTCTACCAGCTTGTTTCCCCTCCATAATAAATGTGATTACACTAAATGTTAGATGCATAAAGGAAATAGTACGTCCTTTTTTTTCTGAGGTCTTATAAACTAGGCTGATGACACAATGCTACAACTCTACGCTTTAACCTTTGTGAGCAGTCCGCTGCGATATCTCATCCACTTGGCAACTCCCCAAAAGTTCAAGTACTGTGCGTCCTCGACTTCTTCCACCGCCATTGTCCGTGTGGAGGGGAACACAAACGCTGGCCCACAATTCCACCTGTTTCAGCTGTTTTAGCTATTACCTCCAATCAGTGCTACTGCCTCCCTTTTCCTGCCCTGGGAAAGTGGACGCTGTCTCTGGAACAATCCCCCCCAACCCCCCACAATAAAAAAAAAGCAGACAGGAACACACAAACATTTGACCAGCCGCCAAAGGGTGGGGACAACCCATGATGCTTTTCTATGTACGTACAGCCGCCAGTTTAAGAGCAATGGGAAATGTTCGACCTCCTGAAAAGGAAGAGAGGCAACATTTCCTCAGTGACCCCCCCTGCATGATGCGCTCCATACTTCTAAAAAGAGATCACATTCCTGGAGGAGTCCCTGCCAGTTCAACGGCAGAGAGCTGACCTTTTGAACTTTAAGTAGAGAATATGTTTGAGGTTTTTCTTTTCTGATCAAAATAAGGAAATAAAGAAGAACCAAAACAGCTGGAAAAAGTGATTACATGTGGAATAACTGCAGCAGCATCCTCATAGCCTGGGAATAAATCAGGAAATTAGCTTGTCAGATTAGCTGGTATGTTCCCATTACACTTTTTTTGAACAGCATTCCTCAGCACGCTCTGGTGATAATAATACTCTCAAGAATGCCATAATTGAACAAACTATTCCACCGACAATAAACTCTCGGAGACACCGTTTCCACAAATTTCAATTTATTCAAAGCAACCACAACAATTCCAAATGAACCCAAATGTGTCATGTTGGAGAACAAAGGCACAGAGATTTCAATTTTTTAGGCAACACAGTGAATATAAAGAAAAAAAAAATAATAGGCAGAGCACACCATGACTTTAGCTTGGTCTTATACGCTCATTGAACTGAGCCTGTCATCCACAAATGCATCTGAGGAGAAGAGGGCTGAGGGGATGTCATCACGCCTCCTTTACGTACGTCCGCACTGCCACTACATCTCCCATTATGCATTTCTGTGGAGAAAGAAAGAAAGAAAGAAAGAGGGCGCAGCTTGTAGATTAAAAAATCTTCATATGGCGACAGAGATAAGAGTGCACGCATATTTACATTACTCTCTTTATAACCTGGAGATTTAATCCCACTTTCTTGTCACTTATTCAAACATATCTAATGAGATTATCATCTTAATGAGTTGTTTAATCCTTCATGACATAAATCGAGTCTTTCTGGTATATTAGGGGATGCTTTAGAACTTTTGTGCTGGATTATTCACCACTCATGGATTACATTTTATCTTTGAATCTATAAAGGGCTCTCTTGGGTTTGACTGGGCTTCAAAAGTTGAAAAAAAACTAGGACTATAACATCTTGATATTGTATTTTTTCATTTTTACAAATTCAAATATAGTTCAAACTGTGAAGGATTTGAGGTTTAATCGATGCAATGATTTTTTTTTCAAGGATTATACACTTAAGATCTTCTGTATAAATAAGAAAGAGAGAGACATGCCAGTTACCACCAAGTTTCATATGCAGAAACTCAAACTCACCGCTATCAATTTCCCATCTGTGATTTCTCTCTCGATATTCGTCTCTTTGCCATCCCAGCTCTGTTTCTGCACCAGTTTTCCATTCTCCAGAGTCACCACCGTCTGCAGGGCAAACAACACAGTCAAACTATGATCTCCAGCTCAAAGACCATCTCTGAAGCTCTGAGTCCCCAATAATAAAAACTAACCCTCGTCTTCCTATCATCAGCAGTCGTCTCATCAAACGGCTCGTTCAGCTTGAACTTGATTTCGGTGGTTTTGAAGGTGCTCTGAGACTTCATGCAAACCATCCCGTCGTCGTCAACACTCACTATCAAATTGGGTTTGGTCCTGTTGCCCACCTGCCGGGTCGCAAAGCCCACACCTGCACAAGAAAATCAAGTGAATCATTTAAACAATAGACCTTTTCTATCATACTATATGACTAAACTTTTTTAAAAGACACTGCACACTGAAAAAAAAAGTAAAATATTCAAAGGATGACATACCAATCGCTTTCATGTAGTCGTCAAAGTTCTCGCTGGAAATCATCTTCCACGTCCCGACGAACTTCTCAACCATGTTTGCTGTTTCTCCTGAACGGTGACCTGTTGACTGACTCTGGACTAAGCTCAGCTCCGGTGTGGGAACAGAGTCTGAGCGCTTTTAAAAAGCCAACGGGACACCAAGCCATGCATTACGACAACCACAGCGACCAATCACAGCGCGGTGCGTCACACAAAGTCCCGCCCTCAGCCTCCCAGGATATCGGCATCTGTCACATGTTTTTACTCCTCAGCTAAAAGTTATTTTGTTTTGTGCGTATTGTTTAGCTGAACGACATAGTAACACCTTTTAGTGTGGGACAGACGATGAAGAAGATCAAAGATAGTTTTTAAAAAGCATGTCCTACAAATATGCTTTTAAAGGTGCATTACAACAAATTAAAATAGTTGAAAAAGGCTTTTTTTTTTGCACAATTTAGTAAACTTTCATCTACTCCTTTAATTGTGACATGTAACGTGAAATATTTAAATATTCTCTTTTTATCTGAATTTCCTTTACATTGACTGATTAAAATCAGGGATCCAATATGTCACATTACAAGAATATATTGTGAGATAAAAAAAAGATACAAAATTCGGAAATATCCATATCTTAACGGCATAGTAACACCTTTTAGTGTGGGATAGATGATGAAGAAAGTCAAAGATAGTTTTCAATAAGCATGTCCTATCAATATGCTATTTAAAGGTGCATTACAACAAATTAAAATAGTTGAAAAAGCCTTTTTTTTTTGCACAATTTAATGGAAAGATGTAAACTTTTATGTACTCCTTTAATTGCGATATGTGACGTGAAAAGGATAAAAAAAAGAAAAAGGATCTAAAATACATAAATGTCCAACTTCTGGGAAGTATGTTCATTTATACCAACACTAGTAGGTTGGGGCTCCTGAACAATATCTATCTCTCTGCCCATCTATATGTTTACATCTATATTTTTATTAGCTATCTTTACATATCTGTACTGTATTATCTGCAAGTTAATTTGTCTTAAATACCCTTCATTTCATAAACACAGGTTTTGCAGACTCTCTTGCTTGTTGGAATATCAAAAGCCAACAAGTATAAAGTAATTATGAATCTTTAGCCTTTTAAATATTCAATAATCAAGATCTTTTATGCCTATAAAGAATTAATAATACCCTGATGAAATCTTCTATTACAACATAAGAGTATAAAACTGTAAACAGAAGGGAAGTGGAGGAGTTGGTTGCCCTTTTTCTTGCCAGTAAAGCAGGAGTCATGTATGTAATTGTAGTTGGACTGTGAAAGAGAAAGTGGTTAGGTATAAAGCATCTGTGGAGAAAACAGTTCACTATATACTAACAGAGGGTTGTTCACACAGTGTGCAGGATTTTAGTTAAAGTGAAAAAGGTTTGTTTTTCTCTTTGCTACAGCTCTGTGCCAAATTACATTTGAGGCTGCTGTGTCAAAGGTAGGGGCTTGCATAATGTCTCCTAAAACACTGGATGCTCCCTGTTATCAGGAAAATGGTACATTATGCAAGGACACATCAGGACTCTCAGCATGTTTTAGCAATGAGTAAATACATTAATAAGCAACGCCGATGGGGTTAATGTCTGCGTTTTTTACCTTTCACAAGGAGCTGAAATGTTTTATAATTCAAAGTTCGTACTGGCAGCAAAGATCATCTGATGGGATGTGATACCAAAACTGAAGGGGAATTTGGAACCATTGATTTAACAGGAATTGGAGCAACTGACTCAAACATAGAGCCCGTCCAAATTACAACACAGTAACATCAACACAGAGCTCAAAGGTGAATTTAAACCGGAGCCAAATATTCAAATTAAATACTTTTTATTATAAACATTATAATAAACTCAAACAAAAAGACAACGTCAACAAAGATCTAGTCAATAAGAGAGGGGGTCATTTTTTCTCTCCTGATTTCGCCTGTGGATCCTTGTCTCTGCACCGTGACTGAAATGCATTCATCATCTCACTGATGGTCAGATTTGCTCCCTTCATCACCAGCCTGTCTCCGTCTACTGTAGAAACACAAAGACACAATGAGGTGAGTCATAAGATAACAATGCCTGACCTCTTCCTTTTTTTTTAAGGAGTATAAGGAGTGAATGTTAATGTGAGCAAAAGTCAAGTAACACACAATGGAACAGATCTGCTAACCTTTGGCATACTTTTTTACTTTTGGTCACTTCTGACCTTAATGGGTGGGAAATGTCACGTTATTTCATCATCAGAATTTATTTATTGTGCTTTGGCTAAAAAGTGACTTTTTTGTTGTATTTTTAAAACCCTTATGCTGGAGACAGTTACATATTACAGATACTAGCTCTGGGAATACGAATATAACAAATATCAGACTGTTAAGTTGTCTATTATGAGTCTCCCTTCATCTGTTAATAACTTTCAGAACATGTTGGTGTAAATCCTTTCCTGTGTGTCCCCTGCTTGAGTTTTCACAGGAGAAAAAATTCACACTAACAATGTTATTTAAGACATCTACATGTTATTTAGGGACATATTCAGAGTACACACACCTGAGTAAACAACAAAGTTTGACTCTGGATAAAATACCAAAAAAGCACAACTGATTATGAATGTACATATTTTCAATGTATTAAGCTATGCCAGGAATCCAAGGAAAACATGTCTCAGTGTTTAATATAAGACCTTTTCCTGCATATTTGGGTGTAGAAAAACTGATATTCACCATAAGTAATATCCACTACGGGCTCAGACTTGTCATGCTTCACAACGGTGATCACCTCACAGTTCATGTTTGTGGCTCTGGCCTTCTCTGAGCCCACCATGGACAAAAACTGCCTGCAGAGCAAACAGAGAGGGTTATGATCCAACACAGTACAAGTTTACAAACTCACAACATTTTGTATGGTTTGAATGTTCATGTTTTTCCCTTAAGTTTTCTGTAGATTTAAACTTGAAATGTGATGCTTTTACATTTGACCAGATCTGATCATTACCTGCATCACAAGCAGCAGACATACTGGTAGCCCACAATAGGGGAGAGTGGGGTAAGATGAGGCATTTTTCATATTTCAGATCACTACATCAAGTCAATCTGAGTTTTGTCTCTAACTAGTGTATCTGCATATATTTCAAGATGTTGTGCATCCCTGCAAACCAACAGAATGTGTGTAAACATAACTGTCTTGATAATATAGCATGCCAAAAAAGTGGTCTCCTATGGTCAACTTACCTTGTGTATGGGGTAACTCAACTCTCAACTCTCCACCCCAGCCCTCCCTCACCTTCTCTCTCCCTAAGTAACAGCCACTTCTTCACATTGTATTTTTATCTATTATATGATATTCAACTGGTACAATAATTCCTTTTATTATTAATGCATATAAGTGCTAAAAAGCTGTTTTGTTAAAAGCCATTTTAACATGAGAATGTCTTTAAGTGATTCAGATCATTCACAGCTGTATTTTTGAAGAGTAACACATTTCAACAATCTGACGTGAAACTCTGATCCACTCATCAGACTCCTTTACCCCAGATCTACGTTTTGGAAATAAATATCTAACTCCTTCACCCATGTGCTTCTAACCTTCAAAGACTCCATGAATTGATGCCCATCTCCTAAATATTTGGTCACATGATCAATTTCTCTTACCATTTCCAAGCAACAGAGGGTGGTTCAACTCACCCTTTGGCTCAACTTACCCCAGTCTCCCCTATTGTTATAGTTTCAACATTGGTCGAAATGCAATCATTACAAACTCAGGTTGCATTGGGAGAAGACTGGACTGAAATAGAGACCTCATCTCTTGATAGATAGCTTTAATATGACAAAAAACCGCACTATGTGAGGTAGCATGGCTGTGTAAAGAAATACTAAAGAAACGGACTACGTTTAATGTAATACTTGGACAGATTACACTTTATTTAGCTCAATACAAATTAGATATACCCCACAAAATAACCAAACTCCAACATGCACTTTACAGCCAAGGTTAATGCGATAGTAGTGGTAGTGGGTGATGGCTCGCGTTAACAGCAAATTACGGCTCTTTATAACTAATACAGTCACACAAACACTTTCTGCAACTACACAATATTACATAGAGTTTCCTTACCTTGTAGACCGCACATTTGACTCAAACGGAGAAAACTGAATCGCTATTTTCTTCACAGTCTTCAACACCACGGATACTTTCCCGGGGGCCGCCATGTTTGCTGTTGTGACCTCAGCGATGACGGAGTGTTGCGCTTCTCCTGTGAACCGATAGAGGGCGCCAGAGGATAAAATAAAACATACAGGAACATGGACAAAAAATGGCCCCAGTGGGGTATAGTTAGCAAATTTCCTTCAAGATATTCGTGTATAGAGGCGCAGACCGAGTTTTATTTGAATTACACTGTTTTATTCTACAACTACCACTAATAACAACAACAATAATAATGATGATACCAATAATACCTGCTTCTTCTTTGTGATAGTTTCTGACTACTTTTAATGCCTGTAAAATATGCCCATATGCTTCTTAAAAGTTTGGTGTGTTTGAGGGCATGCAGTAAAAGTTTAGTTACACCACTCCAGCTAAGATGAACAGCCTCAATACAGGTAATTCAATTTTAACCCAGCAGCGTCCATGTTTACAGCGCCACTCCTTCACACTGACAGGACAAAGCACATTTAAACCATCCTCAAAGGGAAAGTGACTGCAGCATATTATCTGAAAAACAATGTCACCGAGCAGAATTACATTAGGGGGAGATTGTAGTGTGTGTATGTGTGTGTGTGAGGGGGTTGTGTGTCAGGCAATAAGTCAATAAAGGAGGTGCAGCTCTGCAAACAGACAATCAAACAGACACATCTCATCATCAAATAGACAGAGATGGGGTATTGGTCCACAGCTTCCTGCTCTCAGCAGATGAAAAAGGTCAAAAGCCTGTTGGGATATGAATAAAAACATACCTGAAAATAGAAATGCGGTGGAATTCTGACTGTGTTTGCGTTTCTGTCAAACTTAATTTTGGCTGTAATCGCTCCCGTGACATGAGTTACAGAGTGTGTGTTGTGGAGGGGTATGCAACATCATACAATGCCAACAGTTTTGTGGGGGGAAGGTGTGAAACCAGATTTTCACAGTGAAGTGCGTCTTGCTGATCACATCATCTACTCACAATATAAAAAACTGAGCGTGCTTTTGCACCACCTTGACCTCTGTTCAGTTTGGTAAGATATTTTTAGCCTTCCAGTTTCAGGGTGTGCGAAGAACAAATGTGTTATTCTCAGATCAGGCCAAGTGAGCTCATTTGCAATCTCTCCTAACTTCAAGTCTCTTTCCTGCTCGGCCGACAGTCCGACTCTGCCTGTGACGGTTGGACAGTGGAGGCACAGGGTTCTAAATTTAGACATACTGCTTCTGAGAGGCAGAAGCATTTCCTATATACTCCCCACACCCACCACACACGCTTACTTTGTAAGTGGTTGTACTCTATTTTCTGCAATAACAAAGCAAGAAAATGGTCTACAGGAACAACAAAACCTCATGGGGACTGTTGACCTCAAAGAAAATCAGTGTACTGTTTTAGTTTCTCATTGTTACTACAGTAATACATGCAGGTGACATGAGTTCGGGTGCGAAGATTGTGTATAGACAGATTGCAACAATGTATGTGAGGAAACTTAGAAGGGTTTCTTGGAAAGTACCACCGTGAAAGAAAGGTATTTCCCTCTGGAGATTAACTATGCGGGGAAGTTCCACCTTGGTAGTAGAGCTTGAGCTTTTCATTAGACCCAGAAGGCTAGTTGCTCTCCTCTGAAATGCACAGAGCAAAATTTCTCATAATCAATACCAGGGGGAAGACAGAAATGCCCACAGGTGTCATAAATCGCAGACTCTTGATTAGTGAAAATAAAAAAAAACTGGTATGACAAAGTTCCAAAGGCAGACTTGTTTTACATATTATGAATTGTAAATAGAAAATTACAAAATTAATGTCATGTTTTAATGGTTAAGTTAATTCTCTTGATAGATAAAATTATACATCAAATCACAATGAGAACAAAGAAATGCAACTTTACTGTCACATCTAAAAAGCTAACAGGCAGCAAAATGCAGTCGGTGATGACTCTTGTTTTTTCTTGCTTTGAACCTTTTTTTTGTTAGAGTTCCTCATTATGGGCATTATGTAATTCATAAATTTAGCTTATTTGGTGAGCTTACCCTTTTTGTGTTTGTGTTAGTTTGGCAGTGGGCTCAGTGTTCCTCCTCTTTTCTTCCCCTTTTTTGTCAAAGTTGTGTCTAACTTGGGCCTATTATACTAGCCAGAGGAAGTTTCACTTTTGCTCAATTTTGGCATAGTATGATAAAAACTGTCATAGTAAACAATGATAAAATTTCAAACTAAGTATAAAAATTTCACAGTATAGTGTGTAAAATATTTCTTTTTTTTTTTAAGAAAAAAAGCATAATATAGCATGTTAAAAAAGGCAGCATGGTATAATATAAATGTTATAGTATAAAATGATAAAAATGTCAAATTTTAGTATAAAAACTTCATAGTATAGTATGTTAAAAAATGTCATAGTATAGTATATCCCTTACTTTAAAGTTTTAGATGAAAAAAATTTATAAAAAAGTATGATTAAAAACTTCAAAATTCTGTATGAAAAAATGTCATAGTATTTGATATTAAAAAATTGCATAATATATTATGATAAAAATGTCAAAGTATAGTATGATAAAAATGTCAAATTTTTGTATATTTAAAAAGTCTGTATTATATGTTAAAAAAGTCATAGTATAGTATGTTTAAAAAATGTCATAGTATAGTATGATAAAAATTCCAAATTTTTGTATGGAAAAAAAGTCATTTCTAGTATGTTAAAAAATGTCATAGTATAGTATGTTAAAAAAATGCTATAGTATGATAAAAACTTCAAATTTTGTATGAAAAAACTATTATAGTATAGTATGATAAAAATAAAATAGGATTTAATAGGATGTTAAAAAGTGTCACAGTATAGTATGTAAATAATTTCACATTTTTTTAAGAGGGGCTTTCAGTAGATTAACCCAATTCTTATCGCCCCTATTCGTGTAAAATGTCTTGATTTAGCCTCTTTTGAAATATTCAAACTCATTTGATCCCAAACAAAAAGCCTGTCAATATTAACTACCATAAACTCCATTTCCCATGAAGCTTCGCGCCAGCACTCCGCCACTCCTCCTCCCCCTCCTCCTCTCAGCAGCGTTCTGCCTCGCGGAGCTGAGCAGCTCAGAGAGGAGCAGGCTGAGATGAACAGCTCTGAGTCTCTCCTGTCCAGAAATGTGCGCAGGCTGAAGAAGGAGTCTCCTCGCTCTCTGAAGCTCGTCAAGACAACACAACAGTTTCACAGCTTTATGCAAAGACCGGACGCTTTCAACGAAGGATAAACTGAACTAATCCCAACAGTTGAAGTGAAAACAGCCACTGACTGAATGCTGGTCTGTGGGTAGCCTTCTCTCTTTCTCCGGTAAGCGCTTATTTCATCTCTTCTGTGAGTTTCTGTGGATTCAATTGTTGGTAAAGTTGTGCTTGTTCAGCTCCTCCACCTGCCTGAGAGTGTGTGTGTTTGTGAGTGTGTGTGAGTGAATGTGTGCAGTGAGGCAGTGGGAAACTTCACTGACGGAGAGGCTTGTGTAGTTGGGACTGCGGCAGCCTCGGTGGTCGCAGGGAAGCTGAATAGGAGTCGTGGTGACAGACGAGCCGGAACAGAGACTTGTTGCCTCTGACTGAAATCTTTAGCGTTTTCAGGTTGAGATGAAACATTGCCAGGTTAGTTTGGCTATCAATGCGCATTTTCCTGCCAATTTTCAGTCATAAAGCTTGCTGCATTGGCTCAATTATTGAGGAGAAACTCAGTATCATGTAGGTTGAAGTAACTGTTTAACATGGATCTTAGATTTTACCAGGGTCAGTTAAGGTAATGAGTCGGGAACATCTCCTCCCTTTCGACAGTTTACTCTAAATAAACATACATTTTCAAACTGTATGAGTTTGTTTTTGAAGGTTCACCACAACATTTATGGGAAACTGTTCATCTTCATTACTGTCAGTCAGATTTGCCTTGCTTGTACATAGGGCTGGGCGATAGGGGAAAAAGTTTCTAATGATATATTTTTTTCACATCAGTCGATATCGATATATAGCATGTCTTTTGCAGTACAATAAGCCACTGCATCTGTGAGGTCTTAGTGTCTCTGACGTTTTATCGTAAGGCGTTGCACTAGAGAAAGCAGACTGTTTCGGCTGCTCAGGCGCCATGGGCTCCTTGCTCCACTCGGGGTTTGTAACCTTTTGCATTGCGCGTGTTCTGCCGCATGACACTGCTTCAGGTAGTGAAAAAGATTTGAGGTATTCCCTGACCTTGCGAGAACATGTACTCAACATAACTTGCAGTGCGCATTACTCTGCTTCATGTCCGACCTCAAAAAAACAAAATACTGTATTTTTTGCATTATAAGGCATGCTTAAAATCCTCTTGGCTTGTCGGAGCACTGCAGCTACTGTAGCCTCGCAGAGTTATTGAATGAGTTCAATAACATTTGACTTATCTGACTGTTTTGTTTGGCTTAATGCGCTTTATAATCCGGTGCGCTTTATGTATGAAAATAAATGCAAATAGACGTGTTCATCGATGGTGCGCCTTATAATCAGGTGCGCCTTATAGTGCGAAAAATAAGGTACCTGTTGCCAACGATGTTGTCATCTGTTGATTCTCCATCTGCATTTCTGTTGAGGGTAGTACTCATTTTCTTCTGTTCTCATCAACAGCGCTGTAGGCTTCACATGTACAGTGCTATGGTTGTAGTTAGCTTCAGCCTGCTACTACACAGTTGTTTGCTACATGATGGGTTCAGCGCAGCGCGACCTGGGGCAACTCCCCTTTACATTAGCTTATCGTATAGTCTACCAAAATATGGCAGAATGGTGGTTATCAAAAAGCATATCGACCATGTTTTATATTGATATTGAGGGAAAATCATCGTTTTTTCGCCCAGCCCTACTCGTACATGTAATGCTGTGACAGATAGGTCGGTTTAACATACACACACAAGCGAACATCTTACACAATGGTCATGCATGTGGCTGATTCAAAGCCCTTTGGATATCTCCACACATGCATTAGCAGGACTGTCCTCCTTATTCAATCTGACAAGTACATGGTCTTTCTTTGCTCGCAGGACTCAATCACACATGAATACACATCTTCTGTATGTGTTTCATTATGAAGCTGAGGCACGCACTTACACAAACGTCTTCCTCTGTAATCGTAAGGAGAAGTTTGAATCTGGTGACCTGACAAAAACACTCACACCCTTTTTCACACTTTGGCAGCTCTCGTCTACTTTTCTCTTCACCCCAAACTCCCTTTCTCACACACAAACCAATACACACATCGAGCCAAATGCCACCAATAGAGACCCCCTCCCTCCCTCAGTTTGTGTTGATGTGTTCGGTTATTGAATAGGAGCTGTTGGCAGCCCCATCTACCCTGCAGCTTTCACAGAAGTTGACATTCACTCCAGCAAACACAATTTGCACTTTGTTTCAGCTTCCCTTTGCTTCCACTGCACCCCCCTGTGTTTTCACTATACATTAGTGAAAATCTGTCTTTCCCCAACATCTTTTGATAAGAATATGGTAAATAAACACACAACCTTCTGTTTAATCTGGCAACAGTTGGAGTAAGCTAGATCCCAAATCTAAACTGAGCACACTGTTTGATTTGCAAACTTCAAATGACAACCACAAAAATCTATCCTGTGTCTGAGTCAAGCATGTAAACAAAAGAGCCTGCCCAAATCCAAAATTTCTTGATCTTCATGCTTTCATGTGATTGAACTGTGTTTATAAGAAGGAGGCTTGGAGGATCTTGCAGCTTATAACACTCATGTGTCAAAGGTCCAGATCTGGATGTCGGTGTAGGACTAAATCTTCGTTCTGTCAGTGATTTGACAGCATATTGGCAAATGTGTGACAGGAGCACGGCAAATGCTTTGAAACAATTTTAACCTCACAGTATTCATAGCACGCAGCTCATGCTGGTATTTGGATTGGGACAAGGTCGGGCATATGCAGCTGTTGCATGTAAGAAGAGAGATGAGTGAGGGAGTGAGGAGCAAGAGGACGAAGAGCATTCACCGCACGGGCATCAACAAGTCAGAGGAGGCCTTTGTTTTTGGCTCATGTGCAGCCGTTGGTTTACATACCCCTTAATTGAACGATTCGTACTCCAGCTGTCCAAACATTTTACCGTCCAGCTCAGATAGAAGGGTCCAGCCTCCATTTACATCTGATCCAGCCTGATATGACACTGCTTCTGTTATGTTCTGGCAAATTTGCATCAGGTACTTAACGGTGGTTGGTTATTGCATAGCAGCAGTTCATAGCAACAGCCTGTTCTTTTATGATGTGAGGGAAATTAACACCACAGTAATCAAATCAAGGATTTTATGAATGATCATTTGTGCAACTTAATGAGATATGTTGCATCCAGTCAGTTTAAGTTGATGTAACAATGCAAATGTACCATTTGTAAAAGATAATCTAATCTTGTCTTACTACTAGGTTTACTTCAAATTCACTAAACTGGCTAATGCAAATGTTTGAGTTTAGAGTACATCCTGTCCTCATAGGCCACCATTGCTTCTTAATTTTCACCAACAGGGAGGGTAAGCAATAGCACTCTGTTTCTGAAAAAATTAACTTAAGCCAACAGACATTGAACGTGACGTGCAAACCTTTGAATGTGTTTGAATTTTGCAACATTATCGGTGATGGCCTGCCTTTAAAAAAGCAGTTATACTGATTGGTGTTGAACATTTAACATTGGGCTGCTTGATGGTGGTGCCTCTTTGGATGGATGGCAATCCATTTAGCCCAGTTGTCCAGTTTTCCATCTATGGCATTGAGCCCAAAATACTTCTACACCATGCTTCTTGGATATTTTGGTGTTTGCTTGATCATGTCCTCCACCTCACAATAACATGATTGTATTCGTTTGCTGAGGTCGAGAGTGCGTGGATTGGCCAAATTACGATTAGAGCTCCCTCTGCTGGATCATATAGACATACAGACGTCCTGATGTGCTGATACGCTGCGTTATAATGAGTTTAAACGGCTCAGTACAGTTCAAATACAAACTTTTCCTCTTAAGTTGGAATGAATGTTCAAGTTTTGAATAAAAAGTGACAGCCCAAATGAGCAAGGGAGTGGCACAGACTAGAATCTGACACACTTAATATTGCTGAATCATCTAATTTCCAGTAGTTTTAGGCCTAGTAGGCCTCTTTGATCCATAGGCTTTGACTCAAAGCACCTTGCGGTAAACTAACTTTGTAGAAGTCATTTGCATGACCTATACTGTTCTCTATTCAGGAGGGAGAGAGGCTGAACAGCTGCTTGTAATTCAGCACTCATTAAAACCGCTCATAATGTGTCCGGACCGATACAGGACACAGTGATGCAGCTAAACTGAGCCTGGAGGTGCCGTCGCTAATACCAAACAGTATATCCACACTTTGTCTGACTGCTCTGAAAGTGAGACTGCTATCATTGGCTGTCAAGATGTCATTAAGCAGACTACACACATTTCACACTCGCTTAGGCTTCAACAGGAAAGACTCACAGCCCTGTCATTGGAAGGCAAACAGTGGAGGGTTTGGCACCGCACCTCAGGTTTAACAATTACCCTCGCGCCCTCCTCTGCCCATCTGAGACACGCACCTCAGGGGTTACAATGTCATTAAGGTAGAGTGTGGCGGAAGCATGTGCGGCTGTGAATATTTGTTCAATGCCAAGCTTGCATCACAATGAGCAGGACTGATACATCGAACGAAGACACTGTTATGCGCTGCTGTTGGAGGAGCATTTTCTCATTCACTGATCTGGAACAGAGCGAAAGAAAGGAGGAAGACGTCATCATTTTACCCCTCAGTTGCAGTTCCTTCAACCTGTTGCTTGGCTGACCCTTTTATAGTTTTTTCACCAGTCAACACAAAGTCGTAACTGTGAGAAGATGGGTGTTTTATGCTGTAAGAAAGGGGAAATACACTCACATATGCGGCTTAGCTGTCAGCAAACTACGGCTGAGGGATGCTTTTTAGAGCTGTGAGCTGTAGACTGTCAAGGAAACACCCAAGCGTGTTTCTGCAATATTCAAAGCGTTCACTAACTTTAGACATACAGTTTATGTAGCTGTATGGGCTGAGTAGGCAAGGGTTGAATCTTTATTTCACAGATATAGAAAGGCTAAATGATGCAGGCTTGCAAAGGGCCTTAACAAACAGCAACACATCAAGGTTGTAGAGTATACAAATCTGAAGATTTAAGGGTTTTATTAAACATAGAGTGATATGTCTCTCAGATTTAAATTCAGCTCTTTCATTTATTTTATCTCTTCTTCTTTTATCTGTAATTTCACTTTACGAGAACTGACATTTCAGAGAGCGGGAGAATTCGCCGCCGGAGAAGAAATGATCATTAACTTTGCACTCTGTCAGTCGGCCTGAATCGTTACGGTTGATGAAAAAAATCCTCGTCTGTTCTGCTTGTAAAGATTAGAGAGTTCGGAGTGACAAACAGAGGGAGTGAAGCTGGAATTGAAAAAGTAATCAGATTAAAGGTATGACAGATGAAGATAATAAAAAATGAGAATTGTGTTCTTATAATAAAAGGAGGATATTGATCCTCAGAGCATCAGGTGGGTTATAACTGCTGCTCCTCCTTGTCTCCTGAAAACCATTGACCTCTGCAAAATAGGTTTTCATTTGACCCGTGCAGTGTAGAGGACCTTTGTTAGGCTCTTTTAAAACCCATTTTGTGATAGTTAGTAGACCACAAGAAGTGCCTCTCGTTCGGAAGAGACTGACATACAATTCCCGTAAGTGTGCACTTGACAAAATTAATAGAGTTTCAACAGAAATGCAGATTCCAGCAGTTAAACCCGGACATTTCAAGAAAGATTGATGGCAAATACTAAAACTGATTTCTTTTTCCACACCTCAGTGAGAGCAGGAAACCATCTCGGCAGCTAATTCGGAACAGGGGAACTACCTGAATGTCAAATATTAAACTAGTTAATCAATAAGGGATGAAATTTTTGAGCTGTGACGAAGTTTTCTCTGAGCCAGATGTGGAGATTCAGACTTCAGGAAAATGATCGTCCAGGAAAACAGCTTCATCGTTCTGATACTGTCAAAACATTTCTAGGTGGAGGAGCGTAGTCCTGAAGATATAAATATTTTCTATGATATGCGTGTTTCAGTCTCCGTGCTTAAGCAGACAACACCTCTGAGGTTAGGACAAATCTTAGATAATTTATGTAGCATACCAAGCTGAGGAATGCCACCCTGTGTGCGTGTGTGTGTATCTTTGTATCTTTACTAGCAGCATGTCAGACATTACTGAAGTCAGACTTGTTTGTCCTGACGTACAGTCATTGGCATTCTCCCTCAGGACACTCTCAGCAGCAAAAAAACCACACACACACACTCACAAACACACACATGCACACACACACACGTATCACAACCGCAAACACACATGCAGAAAACATGCACCCACATGTCACTCACACAGGCACCAATAAACAAGCCCAGGTAGCGACACATATTCATAACCTGGGTACCATCTCCACATCGTCCAACACACTTCCAGTACCTTTTACCTCTTTTGAGCTTACAATACACAAGCTAACACGCTGTTTTCAACTCAAGGTGGCCCTTAGCAATTTTCTTGAAGATAACAGGATGCTCCAGCCTGAGCTCGACCCCTCTCTCTCTCTTTCTCTCTCTCTCTTTCTGCTACAGCACAGGAACAGACCTCAGCTCTGTGAGAACAGAGACTGAGAGCGAGGCGCATTGGAGAGAGAGTGTGGCGTGTTCAGGGCGAGTAAACACTGCGGATGCGATTAACTGAGATTCCCCAGGGGAAGTTCTGATGGGAAATCAGAGTCCCTTTTTCCTGAGGATTGTGGGTAACACTAGTTGTTAGAATCTACATCGTAACAGGGAGAAAAGCTCAGTCGGGGAATCTGAAATGAAACACATCCTCTGACACTGTCATACTCTCTGTGGGTCAGTTTAGGAGGGCAGATCAGAGTGTGTGAAAGGTGGCATTGCTAAATGACTCGTTTTAGTGATCAATAAGAAGCTACAACCAGGAGAAAGTGAGCTTAGCCTTGCATAAAGAGTCTAAAACAGGTATCCAGGATTGGTCTAAAGATATTAAAACCAGCATCTTTAACAGTCCTATAAAAAAAAACATATATTTCTCTGTCCTCCTACACGACTATAGCTTGCTTCTCTGTTTCAGAGTCAAGGTGTCAAGGGTCAGAGGAAGGCATGCCAACTGCTCAGTTGTTGGTTGCAATAAAAGAAATACAAATGTCTATATTCTGTCCCGGCTCCAGCACACCAAAGACAGACATATGCTGCAACGTGCTCCGGAGACTTTACCGATCCTCAGCGACTTTTGTCTTTGTTAAAAACGACTGCCGTTGTGTTTGAAGCACTTCCCATACTAATAAACAAATACAATTATGATGTAGGCCAGAAAAATGAGCTTCCCCTCATTGAAAGACCAGCAGCCGCCACTGCCATAACTCAAATCTAGCTTAAAAGACAGCTTGGGTATGTTGTAAACAGCTAAAAAATACCAACATATAATGCATATTTGAAGTTTAACTGACTGCTGTCCATACATGCTTAACCAGGCTATCATGCTAGCTTCATTTTAACCCTGCAGACTTGAGAGTTGTGCTTAAGTCTTGAAGCGCCAATCTTTTTGAACCTTACGAAACTACCTAAAGCTGAATTCTGTGAAATCCATCTTTTAGATCTAGAATTGAACAGTGAATGGATTTGGATTCTTAGAAATTGTGGTTGGGCTCGTCCTTCAGCACTGTCTGAATTACGGGTGTCCCGATACGATATTGATATCGGATATTGGTCTGATACAAAAAGTTGTATTGGGACACCCCTAGTCTGAATAAGACAACATAAACTCAGTGAGTTTACATGCACAGCTTAATCGGACTAAGCTTAATCGGGATGTCTTGTTGGCGTACACATGCAGCTGAGAAAATCAAATTATTGACGTGAACATGTCCTCCTCCCCAAAACTAGGGGGCAAAATTGGTCTTTTCAGCTGTGCTGTTTCTGGACCTTTTTTGAAGATGTCCCCGTTCCTCGTTTTTCTGTCCGGACAGAAAGCATAACGGCACTTTCCTCGCCATTCCAAAAGTGGACATTCTTTTGTGCTTCAGCCATGTTGCTTCTGAGTCGAAGGTTCTTTAAATGATAGTGCCACTTCTTCTGTTTTCGATCCGGGGTTACGGAAGCGTGGTGCAGGTGCACATGCATTGTCCTATCATACTATGACTACGCTGGTTACATGGTAGAGAAAATCGAATTCCAATCGCATTATCTGGGTGTCTTAATCGGAGTTCTCAAACTCGGATTTTAGTCAGACTAAGGTGTTTACACGCACTTCAGTTGTCCGGTCTTTATCGGAGTAAGACAATAATTCAGTTTTCTCGAGTGTCATGTAAACGTACTGACTGATGTCGGGTTGCAGCCATGTCTTGAATCAAGCTGTTCAGAGAAGCTGGGAAACACCTTTGAGGGTTGGTGCCGCCATATAATGGATCTTTGCTCTGATTTAGTATGGACACCTTGAAAATGTACATTGACCTGAAGTGGTTAAATGAACAGCAGCAAGGAGGGCTGAGATGAGGTGATAGACTCTGGACATGGGTGAGGGGACTGAGCGTGTGCAGGCTGTCCCCTCTCTCCTGGGTGTAAAGTGCTGCTGATGCTGCAGACGCTCACACACACACAGTCATACATCGCAGGGATGGGATGCTGTAATGTCACCCAAGGGGAGGATCCTCATGTCACACTCTGCTGGCTAAGGCACTGAAGTAAGGGAACACTCATAAGACCCATTTTTGTAGACTTTTCCCTTGGCTCACCTGTGTGACTTTCTGCGTATTTAAGCAAACTTGTGTCCTCGAATGCCCTTGTCTGGATTTCATTCTCTACCTTCAGCAAAAATGCCTTCAAATATCTGTATTTTCTGGTTTAAAAAAAAAGCTAAACACAGTGAATAAGTGTCCTTTTATAAAGTCATCATGTGTTCAGAGGGAAAAATATCCGTTGAGTTTACAACTGTGGCTGAATCAGGGTCATTGGGGACGTGATGAAGAGACAAAGACATGTTTGTTGCTCGGCTTTCTGACGTCTGTGTATTTGCATTCGTTATCATGCCTGCATGTGAGCATGTTTGTGTGTTTTTGTGTTTGTGTGTAAGTGAATGAGGCACAGTGAGGAGCACATTCAGGTATGAGGTGATACTGTGGAGGGATTTGAGCTCTGCGGGGTGGTTGTTTGTTCGTCTATGCTGATGAAGGATGCGATGGCCGGTAGATTGATTTCCATCCATCACTAAGGACCTCAGGCTGTCTGGCACCATTTTACACCTCCTCTCCCTCTATCTTTCACTAACTGACACCTCCCTTTCTCCCCTTGTCTTCTCCATATACTCGCCAGTTTGCTTTGCCAGCCTCCTGCTTACTCTCCTGTCTCCACCTGTCCCTCCTCTTCATCTGCTCTTGCACTCCAGTCCTCCTCTTCATCTAACCTCCTGCCACCGTGTCTTGCTTATTCACATTTCCCTTTTATGCGTCTCCTTTCCTTTCCTCTTTTTATATTTGTCTCACGTCTCTCCTCTGCCCTCCTGCCATGAACTTTTTGCCACCTTTTTGTTTTCTTTCTTTTTCCTTTTCTGTCTAAGTACCCGAATCTCCGCCACTAGCATCGATTTTTGAGCAGAAGGAGTCAGAAACACACACACACAGACACACACATACAGAGTGTAGCCCGCATACAATTAAAGCGTACCTCCCTCTTCCCTTTTCCCAAGCAGGCTCATAATAGGAAATGCCCCCGTTATCTGTACGGGCACTGGTTTATTAATATAAGCCATGGACAAACAAGGTGTGTGTGTGTGTGTGTACGTGCTCTGCTGTGTATGCACACTACAAAAATGTAATAGTGTACCGCAGGAATTACATGGCCAGCCTCTCAAACCGTCTCAAAGTGATTTGTGCTCGTCAATATTTTGATAATGCGGTTAAAGAAGGCAGGAAATGACAAACGGTGAGAAATGAAGAGTAAGATTGAGCTTTACAGGGTCAAGACTTTGGATGTCCACCTAAAAGACAAAGTGTTGAAACATCTTGAATCATGGGTTTCGATAAAATCCTGAGCTGAGTCATCTTATAAAGTTCCTCTTATCTTATTGTCTTTTTTTAGCAGCGTTACAGTATACAAAGGCATTCAAGAGGAACACAAGGGAAGCACAAGAGCGGTCAATACCGAACACGGCTTGTAGGGCTGGACGATGAACCGAAAATCTACCAATATGACGACGATATGACTACTAACACAAAAGTCGATGAACTTTCCTTGACGAGGATCTGTGCTACTGTGGACTGTACCAACCAAGGGGATCTTTAGCGTAGGGCTGGGCGACATACCAAAAATTTACCGATACTGAAATTTGTGACAATAACCGACGTCATTTTGCCCATATCGGCATATTCGGTGTCAAAAAAATAGATAAATAAAAGTTGGTTTTGGATGTTTGTTGGTAGGCTATGGTCCTACGTCAGAGATGTGACTCCGCCCCATCCAGTCCGTAACAAAGACAGGTGAGGAGATGGAGGATGGTTCAAAAGCTGTAGCAGCTTGAGCGGCGGCTGAAGTTGACGAAGTTGACGTGGGAGGGGGTGAGCAGCTTGCGGAGTAGTTATCGTCCATTTATCATTATCAAGGTGAACTGCTCAATATATCGTGATGTTGATTTGAGTTCATATCGCCCAGCCCTAACAGCTTGCTAATGTTTGAATTTGCATAAATTTTGCATTGCCTTTTTTCCTGAGTTTCTGTTAAGGGGCCTCCTGTTAAAAAAAAAAAGTTTTAGAGTTTTACATTGAACTGCATTCCCTTCAGAGTGAAGTGAGGCTTTCACTAAAGATAAATTATTTCACCTTAAAAACTAAAAACAGTCAAAAATGTATAATTTAAGTTTAAATAATAATCAAGATAAGAGACAAATCCCATACAAGAGATGAAGGGAGCCGCTGATAGTTCGGATTATGTTGTTTTTTCCCCTTTTATAATGAACCAGCAGTTCTGCCAACAACATGACTCTGCCCTCAGATCAACACTGAAGCACAGGAAGCAATAAGTTTTGATTTCTATCTCATCTCAGAGCTTGTTTAATTTTTTTGAAGCCATTATCTGGCTGCTTCAGAGGAAATGAGCCGCTTGTTTTATCAGTTTTTCCCCAGAGAGTGAACTCGCCTTTAGCCTGATTGCAAACGACTGTTTACTGCAGTGACAGTATTTGTTAATGGACTATGGGGCATTTGTCACCAGAGAGTGTGATCTGTGTGTGTGCGTTCATACGGGCCTGAAGGCAACACTTTACAGCACGAGAATAGAGGAAATCATTTTTAAGATGCAATTAGTCCGTTAGTATTTTTGAGGGGATTATTTGCTATCTGCAAGCCATCCAGGGAATTTACTCTCCGCCTTCCTCTGCTTTTTCCACGCTTCATCCTACTCCTTCCTTTCTCTATCTCTCTCTCTATGAATAGACCCCTTGTTTTCCCTCGCCGGCTGCTATAGTAAATATGCTCACGATTAAGACAATGGTCGCAGAAAAACGTAAAGGGAAGGGAAAGAAAAAAGGCGAGAGATAGGAGGAGAGAGTTGACAGAGACTGAGGATTAGGCAGGCAGAGGTCTGAATGAAAGAGTAAATAGAATCAGAGGAAAGATGTTTGAGCCAAGTGGGGGAACAAAGAGGGGATTGTTGAGGTTTAAGTTAGAGGCCTTTCAGCTCCTGGACAGTTGGTCGCTGATGTTTGTCTAAGATTCCCTCATGAAAAGTAAACGGTTGGACTAACAGTTTTAACGCTGTCCATAAAGAAAACAGCTGAATGTACAGTTTGATTTAGTGAACCTGAAGGGATTTATCTGTACAGTATAAAGTCTCTATAGTTTCTGATAAGAATGCAAATCTACTGTACTTTGAATGTTTGGTCAAATTCCCTTTTACTACAGACGTTATCAGAAGTCAGTAGGTTGTAACCGCACCTACTTGACATTTGAGAACTTCTGTCCTTTTTTTTTGTTGTAAAATGAATGAAGGGAAGCAAATCTGTTCCTCAAAGTAGGCCACACACCGCACTATTGTTTTCTTCGGGGAACTGGAGCTCATGGATCAGCAGTGGAAGTGTTATTACACCATTGTTTTATTTGTTTATTGAAGTACACTACTTCTGTAGAAATCTAAAAAAAACCTGAACTGTTGTTCGGCTTTCCCATGATATTGGGCCATCCCTCAACTTAACTTCATTTTTTAAGTATATTACTTCCTTATTTAGTCAAAGCAGCCTCAGTGATTCATTTACAGAGTTTCAGCGTTTCAAATATGAAGCTTTTTTCCTCCATAGATATATGGGCTCATCTTACAGTAGGGGTTTAGGAATTAAATGTCAATATTTTTTATGATGCCACTTGTCTGTAAAGCAGTTGTCCAACCTTTACCTTCCACTACTGTGCCAGAAGGATCAAGAATCGGAGTACAAAGTAGCACAAAAAGGAAAAAAAGGTAACCTAAAGCTGAGGGCTTTTTTCGCTGCCTTATTTATTTAGCAGCAAATACATTAAACAGCCAAGAAATACAGAGTTACAGAGATTAATGTCGGGAAATAGAAGACAAGAAAAAGATCGCTATAAAATGGACGAGTGTGCCTCTGAAAATTGGATCAATGTTGGACAAGAATCCAAAAAGTCTGCAGGTTACTCAACATGTTTATATCACCTGATATCACAGGAGCTTTATTTTCACTCCTGATCAAGTTTTACTCCATTTACCTTTAAAGGTAATCACTGAATTTGAGAAGATGTGTTTTTTAAAATTCAATCAAAATAGTTTTATTTGTAGAACAATTTTGTAGGATTTAGTTTTGAAATCTCTATTTTTAAGATGAGGAGGTGATCTTATGGTTAGGGGTGTCCTATTTGGGGGGGCAGTGCAGTAATGAATAGATTAAGCATTATATATTCAATATATTTGCCTCATTTGCAGACGTCCTATTGCCAGATAAAGAGTCGTGCACTGATGTTAGTGGCCTTTGTTTATCTGTTGTGATGGAGATGAGGTTTATTTGTTTAGCAGAAGTCAGCTGTTGGTCAAACTCTGATTCATCAAGCAAAATGACAGTGTTACTACGTCTCTGAGTAAGATTGGTGGTATGACGTTTGTGAGACATGTTCCAGCGACATTTCTGGAGGAGGGACTTCCATCAACATTTTGAACACATCAAATCTCATCAGTCATTTAAAAAGATTTGCAAAGAATCTATGCAAATAAATTGGCTGTTGGCTAAATTGTTAGTTTGAAAGAGGCCATTTGTTTCCCTGATTTACGATCATTTTCAACCTCCGTATCTCCTGAAAAGAGGAGCTTCAACCCACCTGATCGACGAGCTGACAGTTTTGTCAAATCTAAGATAATGCAAGACTGTAAGTTTGTATAAACACTCCACTGATAGTGTGCTACAGTTGTACCCAAACTGCTGTATCTACACCTTACTTTGTCCAACGCTTAACTGTAATTGTCTTTTCCACTGCGCAGTGGAGTGGTAAAGAGAGCACACTTAGCCCAGGAGGTAACATGCTTCAAAAAATGCCTACAAAGCTTTAATGCATATTTAGTGCTGCAGAGGCTGCAGCTTTTTCTTGGATAGTTGGACTGGGAGTTTTACCAAGAGGAAGAAAAGGAGGAGTGAAAAAAAAAGATAGTGGTTTTACCTTCCTGCTTTAGGTAGAGGAAGTGTTTCCAACACTAGAGAGAGAAGAGGGATGGACCGTTTTAAGGAAGAGAGATGTACGCTTGAAGAGACCAACCACAGCAGGGTGCTGTGCTGAGCTGCAGTGAACAGCAGCGACATGAAAAGGTTTTGAACTGAAGCCAGGCCCCTGAGCTCTCTACCAATGCTGAGGGACCCAGGAGAAGACATGGTGATGAGAGAGGAGAAAAGTTAAAGAAAATGGAGGATTAGGAGGAGGGGGGTGAGGATGAAAAGAGGAGCCAGCAGACAAGAAGTGGAGAGAAAAGTGGAAAATACAAGAAGAAAGGACAGAGGAGATAAAAAGAGTCTACAGAAAGGTACTTGTGTGTTTTTTTTCCAGTTCACCACAGTTTTAAGTATGGAGGACTAGTTCCTAATGCAGTCTTTCAACTCTGCAGGATAGTGTCTTTTTATAATCATCTGCAAACATTCATGTCATGTCTGCAGCCGAGGCAGAAAGAAGAAACTCAAACATGAACCCCTGCCTTCAAGAATAGCAGAGAGAAAAGTTTGACATTTTCCAAAAGCTCCACTCTAGGTGGAGGTTTGGGTATGACTCATACAGAAATGAATTCAGGTATGTCTCTGGATCCAGAGGAATGCAGGAATGGGAGGATGGAGCTAAAAAACAGAGAGGAGGGGGAGGAAGAGGAGGAGGAGGAATTTTGGCTAAAGGGTAACCTTCAGACGGAGTAGGAAGTGACAGCAGGAAATCCAAGTAGTAATCAGACCTACTTGATGTTGCGCTGCCAGACAAAACATTCTCAGCACACAAATGGAAAACCGTCCAATTAATACTTTACTCACGCCAGTTTTTGTCATCCTGAAGGGACGGAGATTTGGGAAGGGGGGAGAAATCAAAGGGCATAGCTGAGGAGTTTTGGCAGGAAATGATGATCTGATTCAAGAATTGGAAACTTCAAAACTTTAGATCTCCATCTCCGCAGAACTGGAACGGGTAAATATTGACATATTTGGTTGAAAAACTGTCTGAAACTGTAAATCTATCATGAAAAGAGCTGCTTTTCATTTTGTTTCAACTCATGAATCATTGTAGCTCTTTATCTAAACTTAACCTCTTGAAGTGGGATAGTTTTACTTTTTTCATTTTGCTGAAACAAGTTCACTTACAGCCTCATAGAACCACTGACAGGATTGCTTTCAAGTCAATGCAACCACTAACCATTGATTTTTCCACTGAATTAGCCCGCAGATCATTTATTGTAATACGCTGTTGTTCTTTTTATACAGTATCTCATCCATAAAGCAAATCAAAAAGAGCAGTGTGGCTTTGGATGTCAGTATTGGTCTTTTGTTAGCGGTATTATTTGGTCGGCAGCCAGCTTTATGCCAAGCTAGAACCAACTGGGATTGCATCATGTTTTTTTAAGTCCTTGATACAGAGAGAAAAAGTCAGTATTCTCAATAAATAAGCTAGAATAATGCTGAGTTCCAGTTGTACTCGGAAGTCATAATTTCCAAACTGTGAGTCAGAAATTCATCTGGAACACACCCCTTAAGTCGGATTTCCGAATTGGAAAGTTGGACGATCCTCACCAACCCTGAATTGACGACAACGTCACAATCCAAGATGGCAGCCCAATGCATCGACAGTAAAGAGTAACAGTGAAAGCTCTCGTAATGTTTTACTCATTAGCGCTTCTGGTTTGTTTTTGTGAAATTAAATAAGTGGTATGTTGTACTCCCCAACGTCTAACTGTGAACATGGTGCGATGGTGTTTTGAAGGGTAAATTACTGTGTTATGCGTTGTTTACAGCTGGTATAGCTAACAACAACTAACAATGGCTAACAACAACTGACAACAGCTAACAACGTCAAACGATAGCTGACAATTGTAAACAACAGCTAACAACGGCTAACAGTAGGCATCCATCTTGGTTAACTGGAAACGCTGTCAACTCGGGTGTAACGTCATTCCCAGCTCCGACTTACGAGGTAACTGGAACGCAGCGTAAATTGAGCATGATGTACTTGGTGAGCATCAGCACAGTAGCTTAGGAGGTAGAGCGGTTGCCCATCAACTGGAAGGTTGGTGGTTCAATTCCCTTTATCCCTAGTCTATCTATTGTGTCCTTGGGCAAGACACATAACCTACCCTGCTCCCAGTGTGTGTCCTCCGCTGGTGTATGATCCTTATGTACGTCGCTTTGGAAAAAAGCGTCTGCTAAATGACATAGTAACATTTGCGTTGTCATGGTGATCCTAATAGCATGCGGAAGTTATCATCTAGCTAGCTTAATATCTAGAAAAGCTCTCTGGAGCCAGCGTGTTTGTCTTTCACCTTGTTTGCTGTCCATTTGCAATTGCAATAACTAACTTTTTTTTTTTAATTCCACCCCTAGTTTTAACTGAATATATGTTTATTTAATTTTTTTTTACATATTTTCAAAAATTGTTTTTTTTTTTTGATCACACATTAGAAATCTCAATATCAGTAGTTTAAAAACAGTTGGTTCATCTCCTAATTATCTGTTCTGAACATATTTATAAATACTTCGACTCAAATTTTGCAGATGTAGCTGCTTGAAGGTGTTTCCTCCGCCTTTTCTGCTGCACACTTTGCTCCCCGATTTGAGTAAATGTTCAGTAAATTGCTCTCTCTCAAGTTGTCAGATGCAATAAAGAAGCTCTGATGAAGCTGGTTGGTGCCTCACGGTAAACAGTCCTCCACTCGGCCCTCCTGTGTCGTGTTTGATAAAAAACAGGCTGCAGTGGTGCTGCAGTGCTGAAACAGGAGAGAGATACAGGATGGGGGGATTTCCACTGGAGCTCTCACTTTGTTTCATTTGTCAGTTTGCTCCTCTCAGATTTCAAGGCTACTGCTTTCCCCCTTTTCTTTACATCGATGCACAAACACACAGATTGAAAATGGCTGGTGTCAATAATAACACACACCCGGTCAGAAAGTGGTAATTTTAAGCTTGAATAAGATCATCAAATGAGTCTTGGGGATTAGCTTCTTTTCAACCATGATATGAAGGTTATTTTTAGGCTCCTCTCAGGCGCACAATGCATCATGAAAAAAAACAACAAAGTGATCTGAGTTTGGCTTTAGAAAAAAAGATCTCTGGCTCTGTGTTTGTGGATTGAGTTTCAGTGGGTATGCGATTGATTTTGGCTTCCAGTAAATGTTGCTGAGCAATTGAAATGACACAGAGAGGTTTTTTTTTTTTTTAAAGACCCCAATGAATGTCACATTCAAAACTGGAGTCACTGGGAAACCTTAAAACACAAACTCTTGGCCCGACCTTCATTTCTAAGCCCTGTGGTGTCAGGAAAAGAGCATTCAAGACCTCAATCATACACAACCGCCTTTATCTCTAACAGTAGAACAGTAGAACTCCTAACCCTAACACACAGATTCACACGTTCACACACACATAGAAATGAGCATTAGCCCTCAGACTCCACAGTAACTAATCGCTTCAGCTGTGTGGCCGTGCCCTCTCATTAGGAACGCTGTATACTGAAAGCTGCACCGCTAATGACTCTGCAACGCCTGTTTCACAAACAATACTCCCAGGCTTAATACCATTATAGCTAGCATACCTCCACAGACAGACCCACAGCTGTCCTGCACAGTTTTACAACCTCTGAGCAGGGAAACACTCAAACAAGCAACAAATCAGCTGTGAATCATTTGTTGTTCTGCTCTCTATGGGCCAACAAAAGCTGAGCTAAGATGATGCCCCCAAAAAACAATCCCATGAGTGTTCCAGAAACCTCACATCCCATTTGATCAGCTGTCAACGCTGCCCGTTCACTCCCAGCGTTTTTTTTTTTTTTTAATAATATAACACTTGCGTCCGCGCTGTCGTCTCGCATCCGCTGATGGTTGGAAGTTAGCATATAGCGCCCTCGGTTCTTCCAGCAGCGTTGGCCCGCTCGCTCTTCACGAAGTTGACACCGTCAGTCGAGCATGCACACATCCAATCAAGAAGAATTTGGAGGGGAGGTAGATCAGAGTGCGTTTACATCAAAAGGTAAGACTAAAGCACAACCTGCTGGTCTTTTCCTGGAGCTCATGGCAATGGTTGAGGAGTTTTGTGGATATTGAAAGACTACTATGTCTGCTTTGTTGCCCCCTTCTTCTTTGTCTTTCTTGCTCTGGTTTGTCAAGCATCCCTAAATTGAGTCCTTTCAAATTGTTTTGTGCTGTTAGCGGCTTATGAATTGCACAGACACAACATTGATTGCTTTTTTCAATGTGAGCCAGCATATTGACTGCCTCAGTGACTCAATCGCTCGGATAATAACCCAGAGGACTGTGTGTATCAGTGTGTGTACGTGAAATTTTCTTTGTGTGCATTTCACTTATAAATTGTGTTTATTAGAGGTATCTGTGTGTTTGCTTACAGTGGTATTTTTCATTGTGTTCAGTCATAATAGAGAGCATGCAACTTGTGAATATGTGTTTGCAGGAGGTGTTGCTTTCTCCTTGTGTGTGTGTTTGTGTGTGTATGTGTGTGTGTGTGTGTGTGTGTGCTGTTCTTAAAGTCTGCATTATCAGCCTCTTGGCAACAGGCAAATGGAGTACCACTGAGTTCTGTTCATCGTCAAGGCCCTGTCGCCCAGGGTTACAGGGTTGCTAGGGACCGGTTGGATGTTGGAAGGAGAGACTGGCATTGCTGAAGTGCGAGCTCCGCATGTGTGCGCTTCGTTTCGTGATTTTTCTCTGCTCATTTTTCTTGTCATTCTCCCTTTTCTGTACCTGGGAGGGACGGTACATAAATATACGTTTAAGTTTCATGAGTAGTGATTTTAACTCGGACTAGACACCTGATTTGCAGACATTAAAGTCAGACACCAAACATTTTTGGGATTACAGAGCGAATTCTGTGTGAAAGTGTGTATTTTTGTCTTTCTGCATAAACAGGGTGTGTTCTGTCCCCGAAAAAGGGAAGCAAGAGATTTTTATTCCGTCACAATCAGCAGATGAAAAATTACCATCAGAGCGCCTGTTAATTTCCAGTTGTCTAGCCATGTTTGCGTGTTTCCGCACACTGCATGATCAAATTTATTTAATAGCCCATACTTCATTAGAACAAGCGCTTAAATAATCATGACACACCATCAGTAAAGATGTTGTTTTAAGACATGATGTGGTTGTAAAGCGTGTGGGAGAGAGAGAGAGAAAGAGAGAATGAGTGAGAAAGAGGAAAGGAGGGGAGGTCTGAGGCGCCAGCAGAGAGGATATGTCTGGCAGCTGTGTCATTTTGCAGAGTAAAGGATTATGGGAGTATTACAGCGAATGAGCAGAGGGACCCAGACACACAACTTTCCCTCAACCTATTGTATGTGTGTGTTTAAGAGCGGGGTGAAAACGTGAGTATTGTATGATCAGAGCTCAGTTGTCGCCAGTGACTCGCTACTGTGGCATTCACAGCAGCTGGCAGGGCTTTACTCGCAGTCTACCTGTGTACCAGTCTACATACAGTCAAAAGACACTAAATGATGCACATTTTGCTTGCGTTTGAAAAATAAGTCTGTATAAAACTCCAAACTGCAGCCAGCCCTCAGCTGATCTCTGCAAAACAGGGCAACAATAGGGTTTAATAGATTATTTTCTTTACATAAGCCAACCTCGTCTGATGTGAACACAGCTTTCTAGCTTGTAATAACAGAGAGACTACACTGTTCCTACACAACTATTCAGGGTTATTTATTGCAGCGCCATAAACCATCCTGCCAGAGACTGATGATAACTCTTAAAGCCACCTGTTCTGTTTTTCTAAGTCCATGTTACACTTAATCACGATTGCATAATGTAAGCTTTTGCATTAACTTGACTCAAAGCCAAACCCACACACACACCCACACACCCAAGCACGCCCTCCCCATCAGACACACTTGGATGTTTAACAAAAGACAGCCACTCATCAGGGATCATCGATGCGTAATATGCGTCTGTGTTTTCTCTATGTGTCATCCCTACTTAGTTTGACACCGCGCTTCTAAGTGGTTAGAATCCCAGCGAGGATTCCCCGAGTGTCACTTTTACAGCCTTGTAGCGAAACGAGACGCTTTGGTGCAGCGCAGCCTGCCGAGCGATAACAAGATTTAAGGAGGGTGTGCGTGACCTCTGCACATCAGGAGGGATGTTAACAAGCTTTTCTTGACCCCTCGGCGTTTATTGCCAACACACATGCACAGATTTGCCGCTGAACACTTTTCATATAAAGGCATAAGTCAGCTGTGGATGGAGACAATACATACACAATAACAACTGAATGATAGACAGTGACAGAGCGTAAACCGCAGTATACTATGAATAATAATAATGTTTATTTATGTAGCACTTATCAAAAAAGATATTATGAAGGGCTTCACAAACATTAAAGTTAAAATGTCAAGCATGCCATTAAAAGACAACACAACAGAACGGGGCTAAATAAATTAACAAAAAAGGAAGAACTAAAGGGAACTAAAAACAGGATAAAAATATGTTTCTAATAGCAGACCCTGATGTATGTGTTAGAGGCAGGCTGTTCCACATTTAAGGAGCCCATACAGCAAAACATCAGTCTTCTTAAAGTTTTAAACTTGAGGTGGGAACATTGTTGTCATGAGTAAAACCTTAAAATCAATTCTAAAAGAAAGGGCTAGCCAGTGTAAGGTCATTATGAAAGAAGTGATATGCTCTCTTTTCTAAGTTTTGCATTAAGCAACTTCCTCATATCTGATTTATTCCCGTTAAAGTAATCTAATCGTGAGGAAACAAAAGCATGAAAAATCTCATTCTGCAGATATTTCTTAGATGGGAGAACTGTGTTTGTGTGTTTTTGAAAAGTCAGCAAAACAGTTTGTCAGGTTTGAAAGGTTTTGGGTGTTGCTTGGTTACAACTGAGTGTCATTGGCGTAGCAATAAAATGAAATATAATGTCTCTGTGTTATGCAAGCAAGTGGCAGCATGTTGATAGAGAAAAAAGTATGTCCCAAAATTGACCCCTGAGGTACTCCACTTTACCACTCATTTCAGAGTGAGGGGAAACATGCACTCCAATTGACACAAAGGATCAAACATGTTCACCAGAAGTGATGAAAGAAGCTTGAAAGGGCATTTTTAGCTGCAGTTAAATGAAAGTCAAAGAAAATAGAGAAGTGTTACATGTAATGATCTTTGAATCAACTGATCAACAATCTCATTGTTTTATCACTCCAGTAATGTAAGGACATGCTTAGTGACATATTAAGAGGGGGGACCTAACACCCCAAAACATCAACCTCTGATGCCATGGTCCTTAAGAAAATAAAACAATCTTCAAATAAAATAAAAAACAGTTTTTAAGTTCCCAACAACAAAAAAAAAAACTGTTTAATGCCCAAATCACCCTCACTGTCATTTCTAGGCCATGATGCTGAATTGGAGTCCTGACAGACTGCAAACCTGCCTGTCTGCACTGTCAGCAGCTCCTCTTTGTGGGTCAATGCACTAATGAGCCCCACGCGTGGAGCAAGTTTGAGTCCAGGTTGTAGCACATGTCACATATCACACCCTTTTCCTGCCTTTTGTTTGCACTATGACTCTTAACTTTACATCCTATGAAATCTATATTCACTTACAAACTGCGCGCCGCTCGAATCAGCAAATCCCAGGAGCAGATTATGGAGCTCATTACTGAGTCATCATATGGATCAACAGCCCAGCGCATTGATCAATTATTCATAGGACTCTGAGGTGAATAACAAGCGCTCCGGTGTTCAGTGAGGACTGAGTGCTGGAGTTAAGCATCAGCTCTCAGTCCTCGGTCTGGGGTTGGTAACTTTGTATTAAGGTGCTTAGATTTTCTCAAGGGGCTGAATTAAGTCTACAGGGAGTTCATTGTGCGGTAGCCATCAAATTTATGTTTTCTCTACCTTCCTTTAAGTCAAGCTCTTTCATTTCCTGTAGAAATCTCAGAAGATGGGGCAGGCTCTTTGACCTAACTCCAAACATCTGTCGAAGCTTTCTTTACCTTTTAAGATCTCCACATGAAAGAGACTTCGGTTTGACACCTTACGTCTTACTCGCTGGCTATTTCATGAGATCAGTTTGACCATACAGCAAACTTTTAAACCACATTTTACATTTCCTGCCAGCTATCAAAAAGTCGTGTGATCTTTTGAGGTTTTCTTATTTCCTCTGATGTTTTTTTTTTTTTTGGTCTGTCTCCTGCCTGTGGTTCTCTAAACAAATGTGTCAGCGTCTTTATGGCCAATTGTGCAAACTTTACCAGCTCTAAGGACTTGAAAGCTGAAATAAACACAATCGCTCCCCTTGCTAAATAAAGATTTTCCCACTTGAGACGATGGGAGTTCACCCAGTCAAAGATAGACAACCTCAACCTCCTCTGTGCCTTTCTTTTCAGAACTTGTGGGCAGCTAAGCAACAACAGACTCGGATAAAACCAGCTGTTTATAAGAGGCCCTGTCAGCAGAACAATAGCTGCAGTAGCCACATGCAGAAGGAAGGCTAAGACGGCTAAGCTAAGCGACAAGTCCAAGGGAAGCCAAAACACAGGAAGTAAGATGCTGTTTACTTTCTCTTGTCTAGACTTTTTCCTTACTTGTTAAGAGCCCCCTTGTGGTTTCCTGGTCTGAAATGAATGAGCGTGCAAGGCCACTTGTGGGTGTTTCATTGTTTTAGCAGCTCCTAAAATGAGGCGGTGTTTGACCCATTTGTGGCCCCCAGGTCTGTGTGCTGCAGCGTTAGCCCTTCAGTAATCCCTCAGCGACCCAGAAAGTAATTTCCAGAGCAGCTGGTAATGTGGGCCGTACTCCCAATAACACAACAATGGCATCATATAGAGAAGAAAGTGTTAAAGACGGCGGGGCTTTCCTTTTGAAGTGGTGTAAATTATTCAAAAGAAACATGTAAAATTCACCCCACATTACCCAAAAGTAACAGCCTCATTTGTTGGAGCTGTCTGGAAGCTGCTGAAGTGCATCTTGGGAGTTGTGTGTTTTAGTACACACACACAGTAAGGATTGTGGGAACTGTGGTGTGTATGACCCAGAGGGTTTTATTATCAGGAGAAGAGCTGATGTCACTTATCTGAGCCACGCATGGGATTAGAATAAAGTATCGCATGCAAATAAGTGTGTGTGCGTTTGTGTGTGAGTTTTTGTGTGTGTGTAAGTGCAACAACGAGTTGAGGAGTCATAACAACACTGTGGCTTTCTCACCAAGTCTCAACCACCCCTGGTTCAGAGTGAGTGCAGCAGCAGCATGATTTTACCCACAACTCTGCACACAGGTTGCAAAAGGGAGAAGGCTGACTAATTTCCCAGCATGCCCAGCTGCATCTCTGTAGCCTCTCGTGGGGCTTTTTGGAGGACAGCACAGTGACAGAGGGACAGAGGACGATCCCAACAAAGTGCTCTGCTCCCCGGGGCATCTTTTTCCAGATGAGGCCGTTGTCTCACGGTCTCTGATGAAGCATTCAGAAGTTTTGTGGGTGTTTGTGTGTGTTAGTGTGTGTGTGTAGGTGTGTGTTTGAGTGAAGGACTGTGGATGTGTGGGTGGCCTGTTTACATTCCAGTGATTCCTCTCGGGAATCTGTGTGTTCCCCTGCTTATTTGCCCGGGAAGGTTAGGTACATGTGGAAGTGTGTGCATGTATTGTGTGTAAAGGATATTTTTAGACCTCTTGCTTCCCCAGTGTTTGACCCTCAGTCTCTCACAAACAGACACATCCTGATAGACTCTTTAACCTTTAGAGGACTCCTGTTGAAGCTGTGAGTTGAAAAATGTGCACCTAAACGCATCGTCACATGACACTAAGATCTGGTCATCTGCTCATTTGCTCAACTTATTTGTGGATTCCTAGAAACTTTTTGACAATACAAGCGAGAGGAATGCAGATGAATTGGAATATTCAAAGTTGGTAGTCATCGAGAAAATGTAAAACCGCGCCCTTTGGTTCATCTGAAGGGATTTCAGATGAATTAAAGTGAAGGATTGTTCCAAACTTTGTGGATTTCCAGGAAATCTTACACTAAAATATTTTGTTGTAGGAGCTGAGGGGATTTTGGATGTCATTTTTGTGGCCAAGCAGCTTACAGGACAAAATCTGCAATCTGTGCTCTGGCTCTGTTAATGCCGTTAATTCCTCCTCAGGAGATGAATTCATGCTCCTTGCTGCGCCCGCTGTCAGCGCACTGGTCGCCTTTTCAGAAGTGACAATCATACAGAGTCCAAGTGGGCTCATAAACTCTTATTTTCAGAGATTATTTTTGATATCTTTTGCAGCAAAACACAAGGAAGAGAGCTGACAGAGCGGACAGAGATCAAGCGGTGGTTAACATCGTGTTGCGTCTTTTTAAAAAAACACCATGTGAATTTTCTTGAAACTGACTTCCTCCGTTGAGAAATCCTCGCCATCTACACCGAGCTATTTCCTGTCTGCTATGATAGCCTGATTGACGGTAGTTGATATGATGCTGATAGACCATCAGGAAGTCCTTAAGTAACCAAACCATAAAAGACCAGTCATTATCACCATAATATGATGTCATGTGCAGCATTAGACATTTTACCCAGGGTGATATCAGCAGGAGAAATCACCATCAACAGCACTGGAGGGGTCAGAGCTGTTTAGAGTGCGTGCATCTGGTGCAGAGTGAGTTAAGTATCCAGGGCTTTGCTAATGGCCGTGTATGAGGTAGCGGTCAGGAGTGTTGAGAGGTAATTTACAAATGCTGTGATGTAATGACTTTTGATATGGAGGGGCTCTGTGGAAGAGCGTGTAAGGTTAGGCCGCAGACATTTGTGTGGTGTGCGTAGTTGTGTATAGTAGAGTGTGTGTGCAGGTGGAGAGACCAATAAGTTCTCTGAGTCAACCAGTGCTTTATAATGTCTCTGAAGACAAGAATAAGTGTATCAGGGTTTGATTCCTGGTTACTAAAGAGGATCAGCATCTGACACTAGCTACCTTGGCTAATGCCAGATTCATATTTTGGGAATTATGCTTTATGGTAGGGCTGGGTGATATGGCCTCAAATCAATATCACGATATATTGAGCAGTTCACCTCGATAAAGATAACTGGCAGATAACTACTCCACAAACTGCTCACCCCCTCCTACATTAACTCTGTCTTCTTCAGCTGCTACAACTTTTGAACCGTCCTCCATCTCCTCACCTGTCTTTCCCTCTTTGTTATGGACTGGATGGGACGGAGTCGTGTCTCTGACGTAGGGCGGCGTCTTAAAGGGACATAAGACCAAAGCCTACCTACACACATCCAAAACCAACTTTTATTTATTTATTTTTTCGACACCGATATGGGCAAAATGACATTGGTTCTTGTCGTAAATTTCTGTATCGGTTAATTTTCGGTGTATCGCCCAGCCCTATTTTATGCATCTGAAAAGCAGTTTGTCAAACATCCAGTCGATGTTTGTTTGACTTGTTTGTGAAAAATCAATCAACGTTGAGTCATTCGGACACACATTGTTTATGGAAGTTGCATCATTTAACCAATCAGTCACTTTTCTACTATGTTTAGTGAGTGTTTTTGGATGTTATTTGTCCAATAATCGATATTCATTTAAACCCAGCCAGGCTTTATCTGGTTCATTCCATTTTCTTTTGCTAACCTGGGTAAGGGTGTCTGGGCGCAACTTTTTAAATTTAATAAGATACCGATATTTTAGCCTTCAGTATTGACCGTTACCGATATTGGCTTAAAATTGTGAATGACAAATTTTTCACTCAGCTGCAATGTCTTTTATGGACTTTAATGGAAATTTTGCTGATATCGATCCAATATCGCATCAGGACACACCTAAACCTGGGGCCAGGTTGCAAAGGCAGCAGGCTACCAAAGTTGACCCAAACAATCAACTAACCTCTGTTAACTAAATAACCAACCAATCAACCAACAAGTCACTTTTACTCATCACATGGGCAACTCATCCATTCATTACAAATCAGATCAGATCAGCGGTTCAGAAGCCCAAGAGGACCACTGTGGTTACTGTTGGCTAAAGAAGGATAGGAACTAGAAATTAGGACTGTCCTTACCTTTTTTTAATGAAAATACATGTACTTGCTGAGGAATTATTTATTTGGAAAGAAAAGCATCAAGTGCAGCTACCCTGTTCTAGCAGATGACCTCCAACATACGTCGTCTTCCTTTGAGAAACGACGCCTGCCTGGACAGTGCAGTTATCCAGTAGTCTGAACATCCATGTCTGTTTTACACTTACTTCTCCTCCTCTTTCCTTCTGTGCCACTTTATGAATAATATCAGTAAGTGTCACCCCTGTCTGTCCTGCTCCCTCCCCACATCTCGCCACGTTATCCTCCCTCTGTGTCAGGATGGCTTTGCCTCTGGCCACCTCGGCTACCCTTAAAAGTGTCAGGGTGTGAAGGTGCCTCCGTTGCTTTTTTTTCCCTCTCTGCTGCTGCCTGCACACTGACTTCTTTGATGTATTCTTTCACTTCCCTCTCTACTTATACCTCCCTCCATCTCGCTCTGCCATGCTGGTTTCTGTCCCCCTGCTAATTGGTTTGTCTCTTTTCACTTCACTCTGTGTGAGTGTGTGTCCATCCGTGTGTCTGTTTCTCGCTGTATTTTTATGCCTGAATTCCAAGGTGTGCCTGCATATGTGTGTGTGTGTGTGAATCATTATGCATATGTGTGTGTGTGACTGACAGCAGATTTTCCGCCACCAGCAGGCGTTGTGTTTACTGCTCTGATGCACATTTAGTTAGTTCATTGGTTTTCAGCCTCCCTTGGGACACTTTGAGCCAACCCAATTAACTGATTTGAGAAGAGCGGTGGCAGCCATGACCATTTTTTATATTAACATCCTTCAGTTTATGATATACTTTACACATAAATCTTTCTTCCAGTACATTTGTTGTAAAATACAGCAGGCGGTTTTTTAAAGGATGAAGTGATTGTGCAGTTCTGTGCTCCATATGTGGTGTAAAACATAATTTGCAGTGAGTAGTCGTGATCGTTTTTATTTCATTTGCAAACAACAGGCGGTTGTGATGCTGAATAGTGTTAAAAAGTGCATTGTTGGCTGAGCAACTAAAGATAGGAAAATTTGATTTCATCTTGAGAGAAGAGAAGATTGATACCACACTCATATCGATGAAGTAGACGGTGTGGAGCAACAGTCAGTTAGCTTAGTCGCAACAATCAGCGACTCGACTCGGCTCTACATTTACAATATGTTTGTTTCAAAATAGACTTTTTCTTTCTAGGCCCACCACAAGTGTCTGAGAAATATCCAAAAAGTCCATCGTTTTTCCTGCACACAATCATTTCCACTGAAACAAACAAGTTTTTGGTGAGTTTAACATTTATCTCATTTCACGTTCATCTTGGAAATAATCAAACTTCTTCCATCTATTCCAGTCTCTAAAATAAGATAAACTGAGTTAAACCCCCTTGGCTGGTTTAACAGTCATTTTTTACCACGTAGCATGAACAGTTCGAAAACATTTGACAACGTGACAGCTCCCAAAAAATGAAGCCAAAACTGGCAGCAGTTTAATGGGGCACTCACAACAAGCGCGAGTAAAATCGTCTACTCCCTTAATTTGCGCGAATCAAGATGCATGAATGAATTGTATTTACTCACTTCATTCACTCATCAACTGCAATTTCAACAGTTACCTCTGCTAATTCAACCGGCTGAATCAAGTGATAGACAAAGGTTTTTTATAATTTACCAGGTAATCTGACATCCTCACTCACTTGCCCCCCAGACAAGCTCCTTTTGATTCCAGTTTTGGTAATTGAAAGACAAGGTATCGGGGCACCCGCACATCGACATGATCAGTTTGTCCTCCATTTTAGATACCAGTCAACAACCGTCTGTTTTCATACGTTACCCGGCAACCTTCGTGTTGATTAGTTATCGTGATGTTAATATCCGCTCAAGCTGAGACAAATTCAGCTTCCGTCCAATTCACGTCATTCGCACCACCAGAGTAGTAGCAGCATCTAATCGTGTCTCTGCGTTGACTTAATATGTAATTCATTGCCGCGAATGGTTTTACTCACCCTTGGTGTGTAGAGACAGTAAAACATACAGCCCACCTCTTCTATGTAAAGAGATGAGATATAGGTCTAACTGGACCTGTTACTGGATTAAGGAAAGAACTGGAGTTTATAACTCTCTCTGTGTTTCATGACTGAAATAACCCAACAACGCAATATATCAGTTCCTGTTGCAGCAGTATTTTAGTTTCCTGTTTTATTTTTGGCAAAATGAAAGCAAGTTGCCTGTACAATCCATGGTGCAGACATAATGTTGTGGCTTACATGTGAAGTTAACGCTTGAAGAAAGGGGTGAAATTGATTCTTACTCAGTGCTTTAAAACTGGGATAAGGACAGTCATCCACTAAAATCGCTTAATTGAACTATGACTGTAGCTCGACTTAGCTGTGCACGTAAACGTACCATATGTTTGACGTAAATAGACTGACATAGCATTTACACAATATAAAAATTATTAGTGAATTAATTTATTCTCGCTTGGTGTGAATGCAACACAAGACTGGTGTTGTTCTTCCTCTCTGACTCCAGGTATTAAAGCCAGTAAGTGTATTTCCTCAAGTATCCAAATGTTTGTTAAGAATGATATCAAAACCAACCATTTTGGCTCATAAACACAAACTGTTTTGCCTCTTTTGAATCCTCTCGTCTTGCTTTGAGTGCCTCTTCTTCACAGAGATCACTCCTTTCCTCCTTACTGCTATGAAATATGGAATAAGCTCCCGCCTGTGAAATGAGAAAATCAAATGGAATAGTGCAAAAGACGGAGGCCGATCTGTGTCTGCCGCCTGCAATCTTCCAGAGCTGCTCAGGCGTGCACTGGATGGATTCAACCTGAAATCTCAAGATTGCTGTCTGTGGGTTGCCGTGTCTTTAGCATCCTCCCCCCTTCCTCTTGGACGTCGTAGATGTTGCCGTAAGTGTTTCGCCTACAACCCCCCTCGGCCACCCCAACTGTCCACCGACCCTTCCCCCAGCTGCTGGTTCTGATTGCAGATTTGCCCTTTGAGCTCCTGCAGGCTTCCATATTTTACCATATCTTTACAGGATTGGCAGACACGTTGAATATGCTATGATCCGCAGAGGGACAGAGGACAAGATAGAAAACCTGAGATTTCAGATGGAGAGAAGGTGGAAGGAGAAGAGACGGATTACACAGAAACAAAGAGAGGGTAAAAATGGGATAAGATGCAACAGGGGACATGTTGAAACAATTGGTGGTTTATTGAGGAGGAGGACAAGGAAAAGGTGGATCATTATAAAGGAGGACTCTGTGCAGGTGTGTGTGTGTTGTGTGATATCGAACAGCCTAAACAAAAAGAAGTGTGGTTTAGAAATCTAAAAGGTCAAAAAACTGCATCGACACGCCTCATCCTCCTTCAAATCCTCCGCTTTTGTATTCCTAAATCTCCCATGTCTCTTCTCTTCCTTTTCTGTTTCCTCTCTTTGAACACACACACACACGCACACACACACACACGCACAGCCATTAGAAAATGTCTCATGGATAAACCTTATTGAGGGTTGAGAGGGTCTGACCCCCTGCCATTCGCTCCGTCTGGGTCTTCTAATAAAGCCACCCCTGCTGTGGTTAGAGCCTTGTAAAGAGGGATCACATTTCCATTTCAGTTGCTCACACACACACACACGCAAAGACACACACACTCACGCACACCCTCTATTAATTCCCCTATTGCCCTGTGCCTTTTGTCCAAATGCCTGGTGTCATTTGAGGAGAGAAATGATGTGCTGCGTGGCGTTCATTTTCAGGGAGGTAGCGACGGTGAGCAGCAGCCTCAACATTTAAAGGTGTGTGTTTGATTTATGAGACGAAATACTGATGTATGCGTGTCGAAGTGTCTCTGATAGCAGAAATGTGCGCGCAAATATTGTCAGAGCATCGCCTCTTGCTAAATTTGCGAGTGCGAGAATGAGATCATGCATATCCAGGCATCTGTTGCATCTCATTAACAGCTTTTTTGAATGACACACACATTGAGACACACACACTGCAAAAAAAACACATCCTTCATCCTATTCTGTCCACCCTGATAATCCCTTTATCTTGGCAGCTATTCAGCACATAAAGGCCAATGCCATTGAATAATGATGTGGGCTGATCTCCTTCTCACTCTCTCAAATGCTAATCGTAACGTCAAGGTGACAGTGGTGGAGGAATTTAATGTATGCAATCTTTCAAAGTGAAGAAATATGTCTCTTTTCAATCAGAAGTGTGTCTGTGTCCGTGACGTGCAGTCAGAGTTTGATCAAGATTATTGTCAAACTGGATATCTGAGTGGTTTATTAAGCTAATTGTACATGTTAAATCAGTGATTTCACCAATGAATTAATTTGAGATTATGATTGTTTATTTAGTTGTTTAACATTTTATGGTATTGATTCTTTTAAGTGATAAAACTGCTTTATTTAAACCTAATTTTACCGGTTAATTCAGTCATATCAATTTATTTATGCTCCTTCTGTCCCTTGGCTTTTCAGTCACATATACATATTACAGATTGAGTTTATTGTCATTGCACATGTCACATACACACCTACTGACGACACACCTAATTGGCTTTATTGGTTTATTCAGAGATTTACCAGCTAATTCAGGGATTTTACTGTTTTGTTCAGCGAGTTTTCGGGTGAGTTCTGTCTAGTTTATTAATTTTCCAAATTTAGGTTTGGGTTATTAGATTGGATGGATAAAGAGAGATAAGAAATGTGCGGGATAAAGGGAGAGGAAAGTTGAACCAGCGACTGTTTCGACAAGGACTGTAGCCTCTGTTTGCAGGGCGCATGCTTGCTTAAAGTTCTACTCCGATCCTTTTTTTTAAAAACTACTTAAGATGTTCCAAAATGGTCTTGAAATTGTGATTATGAAGTTTTTACCAAAAATCGCATTGCCTGTGTCATTTTCAAGGGCTTTTCTTCTGCAAAGCTCCAGTAGATCATTAGCAATTCGCCTCTGAGTCATGGGCGAAGACAGCGCTGCTCGTCTCCACGTTAGCTTGTAGCCTAACATTGCCAGTGTAGTAGAAGTGGCAGGTAACATAGGAGCTTTTTTAGGGACACATTGAAAGCTTAGATCATAATTAGCTTTCTTACGAGCATTGCAATCTACTTGTTCCGTGATCGTCCTCCGTATTTCTCCTCTATATGCCGAGTGTGGCCTTCATAGCGGGGCTCTGGGGGCGGAGCTTAGATTGGTTATATTTGAAATCTAACTGTTTCTGAAGCTGATACTTGGGTCTGCCAGAGATTCACAGCGATTTGAATGAAGAAATACTCAATATAATAGCAATTTCGTATTTAGTTTTCTCATGATATGTCCTGTAGCATCAGAAAAATGCCATATGAACACATATATAAAAAACAAGAAAAACAGGATTTTTATCAAAGTGGGTCTTTAAACCTTGAGGCTAACAGAGATTTCATTGTTTTTCTCCCCCGACTATTACCCTGATTAGTTTTTGGTCTCTTTAGTTAAGTTCGGATAATCCCCTTTGGTTCATTCAGAGTTACTACTTGTTTTCTGAATGTTATGTTATCCGCGTGCCTTACCCTTGTATTCTCAGAGTTCAACAGTTTAGTGACCCCCCCTAAAACCTCTGCTTCCAGCCCTCCATCAGTTTCCCGCAGAGATGCTCGCTTACATTTTGAGTGACAGTCCCTGAAATCATTACAACAATCCGTCTTTCTTCACGCTCCACACTCCACATTTACATATTCAGATGACACGCCTGGCTGGCTTGTTTAATCACATAAATTTGCTCCGCTGCACAATTACTAACGTCGCTTTTGTTTTAGCATTTCATTATTAGCAGAGCAGCGGCGCTGTCACAAAGCTAGTCAGTTGGAGACAATGGCAGGACGGGTTTTTTTTTTTTGGGTGAGGAATAATTGGGCATTGTCAGGATGGGGAGTCAAAAAGAGAATACACCTCATGGGGAATTTAGCTTCAGTTCAATAAATTTCAATTTAAGCAATGTTTGTTTTGAGCATCATAGCGGAAACACGTTCATTACCACAGTGCCGGGAAGTTTTTGTCCGCCTTATTAAAGGGGCAGTCATAGTTTCAAGTGTCGCAGACCTCCATGTTTTGTGTCGCTGGGTGAAGTCCTTCGCACTGGCAGTACTTACACTTCCTCTTTCCAGGGAGCAACACGGCAGAATTGAAATCGGAAGATTCATTATGTACAAGGAAGATGAGGGTAAAAGACTTTCGCAAAGCTGATTCTGACAAGTAAGGAAAGAAGGGAGGAGAGAAAGAAGAAGTGAAATTGAAAAGCTTAAAGGGTTCTTTCTCGCGCGGTCACACGCTGTTGAGCTCAGCTGAACAAACGCGCTCAGAATCAGGTCCAAATGATTTAAATGCAGAGCAATAGCCTTAGGGAGAGGAGGCAATAAAAGGGTACATGAAGGAGGAGAAAGTAGGGAGAAAAGATCCTAGAGCAGCAAAAAATAAGAGACAAAACTTGAATTATATCGAACACTAACCAGAATAAAAGTTTTTCTTCTAAATGTGAGGTTATCATCTTTCATTTGTTGCAAAATAACCTGAAATTCAGAGCTTTAATGTGCATTTAGCAGCCCCTTTTGACTTGTGTTCATATCATTAGAATACAGTTGTTTCAGGCTCAGTGATGTTTCATCTGCAAAAACATCTGCAGGCTTTCCACAGACCTCACGGTCACAGTGTCCTCGAAAACCAGTGGGAAGGAAGACAGGAAATGTCTCTGTCCCATGGGGCTGTGTGACATTAACCAGAGGCAGGCATATACAAACATGTTTACACAAACCATGCACGTAAACGCAGAGTCTCTTTGGGTTTCAACGGGTTTTTCGAGGTTAAGACAGGACACTGAAATGCTCGGAGAGTGGATCATTTATGATGCGGACACGTGTTGCTGTTTATACGGCCTTGCAGCTGGAGGCCAATCGATGGAACAGAAAATGAGGCTGAAATCTTTCAAACCAAATTACCCTGTTTGCACACAAGACCACCTTTGAAAGACGAGTTGTGAAAGGGAAAAAGAAACAGCGAACATATGTGAGAATGTTCTGTACGCTCCATGAATATGAGATGAAGTGCTCGGCCCGTGTCTTTGAATCTTCAGGGTTGAAATGTTTATCTGCTCGAGGAAAACGCCTCGCGCTTCGTTTACATGTCCCCAGTGGGAGATCGATGTAAAGGCCGCTGTGAGCAGATATGAAAGCCGTGTCTTAGATAGAGAGGAAGAACACGATCTCGCACACGTATTGAGATATAACACACACGTATCTGTAATATGAGAGGGGGGAGAGGGAGACTCACTAAATTATGTAGTTTCAATTTCCCCTCCTTTAGGGAGGGTGGATCAATTTCTCATACTAATGCCATTAACCCTAAGGATCGGACAGTGTTGCCATGGTAACACAAATGATGTCCCTTGATCGGAGGCACCTGTTTTCATGCTCATACAAGCTTGCAGGCACACACACACACACAGACGGACACTGATTAGTAAATTAGCCGGTGCAAAATTGTCTAGAATTACAGACCCTCCCTCAAGCTGCACAGACACTCCTCATTTATGAACTTCATCATAATACATTTACAACACACATTGCTGTCTCTATGCAAATGTTTGCATGCATTTTGAGGCACTTAATTGAATTGTCTCAGTCAGGGGACGGTCCCTTTCGCAAGGAGGTGTATTTCATTATCCCATCCCGGCTGTATGTGTCTGTGTTTGTGTGTGTTTGTCTCTGTGTATGCAAACCCTCTTTTGGTGTCATTATGCTCCCTGCACATCGATATGACCCCCCATCTCTCTTTTTTTTCTGCCTTTATCTTCCACTCCCTCGCCTCTCAGCAGCAGCAGCAGCCTCATCCTTGTTCTCCCCTCCCCCATTCCTCTCACCCCCCACCACACAAATGGCCTTCAGGTCAAGACACAAGATGGTCAGTGGTGTGATTATCATATGGCGCATCGATGTTCAGTGCGCTTCTATTGTAAGACCATTGGGAATCATTCAAAAGCTCTTGAAAAGGAGCTTTGTGCATTCAATATGAGCATACTAGGGCCGGGCGATAAAATGATAATGATATCAAAAATGAATTTCCCTCGATATCGATATGAAACATGGTCAGTATGCTTTTTAATAGGCGGCATTCTGCCACGTTTTGGTAGACTATACGAATAGCCAATGAAAAGGGGAGTTTCGCCAGGTCACACAGCGGTCAACCATAGCACTTTAACATGTGAAGCCGACAGCACTGTTGGTGAGAAAAAAAGAAAATGAGTGCTACCCCCAACAAAAATGCAGATGAAGGCTCGACAGATGACAACATCGTCGACAACACTGGCACAAAAAAGTCTGTGGTGTGGAGGTATTTTGTTTTTTTGAGGTCAGACATGAAGCGGGGTAATGTGCACTGCAAATTATGTCGAGTACATGTTAAATTTCTTTTGAGAATAAAGGACCGTTTTTTCGTGCGATTATTTCGGACATCAATATTTCTCTTTCTTTTGAGAAAGCAAAAGGAGTACCAATTCGCCATCACTTGACGTTAAAGTAGACTCCATTTTTGTCTTCTCGCTTCCACCCGGGACGCTGTAGGACGGTAAGGGAAGGTCCCGCCCTCCTGTGCCTCTGATTGGCTGTAGGTGCTGACTGTTTGGCTTGAGTGTGTGATGACGTTTCCAGCTTTTCTAGCCAATTAGAGGCGAAGGAGGCAGTCTTCCCCGGGAAAAGTCTTTTTCCCCCCAGAAAGTTGCAAAATCGACGTGTATAGTCAGGCATGTCAAAATTTGCCTCTGAATATTTCGAAATATTGCGTTCTATATATGTCGGCCTCAGTGCAGGGAACATTTAAGATTGACGTGAAGTAATTTTTTTATATTGTGATACATATTGATATCGACTGAAATGAAAAAAATATATATCGTGATAAACTTTTCCCCAAATCTCCCAGCCCTAAAACATACATGTTCATGAATCTCCATATTGAGTGTCCTTTATGTGTTTTCCTCTAACCTCTGTGTTTGCACAGACCTTCAGCTGAATACTAGGGCATCGATGAATACTGCCCCGCACAAATAACATCCATAAAGCAGACCCTTTCCCCCTCAAATCGCTGCAGGCTAATGATGCAAGAGCTCTTTGCTGCATGTTGGGGGTGAGAGGCGGAGATGACAAGGGGGCAGAAGATGAAGTCAGATGAGGCTTTGATGTCAAAAAGTTCTTTCTATGTTTTAATTGGATTTATCACACAGTGTGTATCATGTGCATAGACCCTGCAGGGCTCTCAGTTGTTGTTTTCTTTCGCAGAGACAAAATGTTGTGTCAAGGGTACGATATGTTTACTGCCAAATTGTGTCTTTGCATATATTTATGTATTCGCAGCCCAGAAAGATCGCAGAAAATTAGACGAAATAGCCCTTTTGCACACAATGAGTCTGTAACAATATCTCCAGATTGATTTCCCCAAACAGCGCACAAAGAAAGTCTCGGCAAGCGAAGCAGACACTGTCATTGTGTGGAATAAACTCGAGTCATCATCACTCTCCTCTCTCTTCTTCTTTTGTAATTCTCCAAATGGAACTTTGAGATTCCCGCTGAGCTGCAAACTTGCATGACTGCTGCTCCAAGAAAGATGAGTCTTTTTTTTTTTCTTTCTCCCCTTAAAAACTGGATTATTTATTATTGTGGAAATGCCTCTGGCGCTCCTCTGAGAGGCTTCCTGGGGCTCATTTCTCAGCAGCCATCCAGCTGTAAACCTTCCCTGCCTGTGTGCATCCAGAGGACCCTGAAGAAGGCGGGTGTCAAAGCTACTGAAACTGAAGCACTGCTCTCCTGGTGGATGTTAATTCTACCCTGTCTACTTCATCGTTGCTGCTATCCAACAGCTTGTCCAACAGATGAAACCCTCTCCACACACACTCAATCTGAGTCCCTCTGTTTTTTTGCACAGAGGCTTTGCTTTGATGGAGCTCGCGGTATGTCTCAGGTCTCCCAGAGTGTGTGTGCAGCTGTGTGAGGCTCGAAATTGGATTTGTGCCTTTAATTCCCAAAACACATTCCTATTCAAATGGCTTTTCCAGTCAATTATTTTCTATGGCACGAAACAGAAAACAGACACCCTGATTGTGTCTCCTCCAAGGCTTCTGTTTTCTTTCATTATAGCCTGAAAAGAAAAAGAATGACAGCATGTGAGAGTACAGTTGTAGCCCTTGGCTCTATCACATGGTGGTGGCCTGTCAGTATTCTGCTTTAAAAGGGTTCTCAGAGCTTTTATGTGTGCTGTTTATCTAGAATTAAAGAACGATGTGCATCCTCAGAGGGGAAGAGCTGATGCCAACTGAGATTTAAGGACTCAGCAGGAAAGTACATCAGTGATGTTAAAGTGGGATAAATCTATGTTTCTACCATTTCAGTCAGGACCACTTTCATCATAAGAACTGTTTATTTTTATGCAGTTATGCTGAGTTCGGGTTACCTCAGAAGTCAGAAGTCAAAGCTGAAAATGACGTCACACCCAAGGCGGAAACAAGATGGATACATCTATGAAAGTTATTTTAACCCTTGCCTTGTCCGTATATAAGGCAAGCGCTAACATATCTTTCGTAGATGTAGCCATCTTGCTACAGGCCTCCGATTTTGCTTTTTTCCGACTTGGTAACTGAAACACTGGTAACTCGGGTGTGACATCTTCTGATGGGATACTAATATTGTAGCCTTCAATATCGACCGATACTGATATTGATAAAAGTTTTTCACTCAGATGCAATGTCTTTTTTGAACTTAAACAAAAAATACTGCCACAAGACCAACGTCACTCTTACTCCTTGCTACTTTGTTAGTACCTTAGTACACACTGTTGTGATTTTGTGGGCTTAGATTGCTGGATCAGGGTGCTGTGAGATGGAGGTGCTGGAGCGGAGTCTGGAATGGACTGCTTGTATCGGAGTGCTGATATCGTAGATTTTCGATGCAGGCTGATATTATCCGATATTTGATTTTTGCTGATATCGGATAGATAATATCCTATCCAGACACCCCTACAGACAGTTCTTATATTTGTCAGTATGGCTCTGTTCTGAGATCTCCCTGTCCTTCTATATGCTTATCTGAAATGCCAAAGCAGGGAGAGCACACTTCCCCTCTGTTTCATGTGCATACATGAAAAGCTAAGGCAGGTAGAGCAACAGCAAAGGCCCTCAGGTTTACAGAACAGAGCAGTGACAGTATATATGACACTGGTAAAATCAGATATGGCAGAAAAAGGAGGAGGGTTGCTGAGGAAAGAGTCTGACTGATCTAACAACATGCTCAGTTTGTGTTTGGATGGTGATTTGTTCGAACATATCTGTCATGACGGATTAGAAGGGGAATACTTCATTTAAAGAGAAAGGAGAAAGGTGCTGCTGCTCACCAACTTGAATGTTCAGTATCTACTTCTACTTCGGTACAGTTGTTTAATGAAATTCAGTCATTATCTTCTCACAACCAGCCGCCTTTCTGCCTGAAATAATACCGTGTTTGCACACAGCCTTGGCCCTGGAAAAGGGAAAACATGCAAAGTGGCTTGGATCCAGCCAGTAAACACCACTCCAGCCAATTAGCAAAAGTTTTAGTACACTGCACTCTGACCTCTGGCTCTGCTGCCTACACTCTCCTCTCCATGAGAAGCTGAGCCTCTTTAGCAGAGTGTTACAAACTTTTATACCTGCTGAGGCTGACCTACCCTCAGGCAGCAGATGCTCTGGATTCTGCCGTGTTGCTTGGTGTTTGTCAGGATTTTGTTTCCCTGGCAGTGTGAAATAGAGCTGGAAAGAAGGGATGAGTTTATACAGTTGTTGGGATTAAATGTCAAAAGCTCTCTGGAGAAATTCATATCCCATTTTCAAAGCTACTTGAAAGCAATACTAAGATATTGACATTTGCATACATTGAAAGCTTTGTTTGTAATTTCTGAAAGTGCTGCTGCACTTACCACTCCTGAGTTTAACATTTGAGCTGTTAAACTCTTAAATACAGGACAAAACCAGTAAAGAAATGAGTAGTACCAGTTTGACCACAAGAGGCGCCAAAATCAACATGTCTGACAGGAGCTTTGGCTCAATAACGACCGTTGAAGTGAAAGTAAAATGCAGAATAACAGTAATACAAGGAGATGAGATTAGTATAGTGAACAAGCTGACTTAGAGTTTTCTGTGAAACAATCATTTCTATCTAGAGGTTTGGCAATGCTGAGGCTATAAAACACACCCAAGTTAGCCTGTGGCTGCAGCGTGTTTTTGATTAAGGAGGAATTTAGATTTTTATTAGTTTTCTCAGATCTTTGAGAGGCACAAAAGGTTGTAATTCAGCCTTCACATTCCTCTAATTATTAATTAAAGTGGACAGAAATGCCCCGTGGAATATAATTCTATGAATTCTGTCAATTCCTTTGTGCTAAATATTAATAAGCTGATAAATCTGTCACGGTTTAAACACTTTATCCACATCAGTTGGTTCTGATCCTGTGAAAATGTGGTCATCGTTACTGATTACACCTTCACACATGCAGCACGCCTCTGTCTTCACAGTTTTTTTTCATATAATTTATTTATCACAGTTTTTGCAGTGTCTTTGTCAGATTGTTTAATAAATAATGAATCCAGGAATGCACCCATCTGGTCCGCTGGATCAGGCCTGACAAAACTGATTCACATCAAAAAACTGTGTTCTCACATCAGCGGTTGCATACACTGATTCAGAGCAAACCACGACTCACCCTGTCATGACACAGCATTCATCAATAAGCTCGGGAATACTATACAGTGTTATATATGCTTGGTATACAGTATGTTTGAGCAAGTTTTCAAAGATTTGAACCACATCTCGGTGCTTTTTTATCTGATTGAGTTGCTCTGTTTACCATATGGCAGCTAGTTTACCTCGCTGTTATCTGTTTCTGTGTATCTTTATTCATTTTCAATATTTTAATTGTCTTTAAGTCACACAAGACACCATTTTTGCTGAGAGACAGCGGTAACAATATTAATTTCTGTTGACGTGTTTAGGTTTCTATACTTCAGTCTCATGATATCATAATGGCAACTGAACAACACAATTAGCAGTGTTCTCTGGAATCTGATTGGCTATCCCAGTTTCCAACCAATCTTAAAATAGATTGTCAGATGCTAATATTATATTAAAATCAACTATTTTGGATATGTTTCTTAACAAGCTAGCAATATCTTTTTGTATATAAATGTGACACTTTTTTAATCAATTATTTAAGGTCCCTTAAGAATTAAAGCTCCCCTGAGGAGTTTTCAAAATGATCAGAAATTCATATTGATGCCTTTTTTGTGATATACAAAAATAAACACGACGATTAGTGACAATATTAATGATTTCTGCATTGTAATTTTTAATGCCTGTAAATGGCGCGAGGGGGTAGGTGTCAGCCAAGCAGAAATGGAAAATGCCCTGGTTTCACAAGTGTTTACGATAAACAATTATTGACTTTCAGAAGACAAAAGAAAGTGCTCTACTTATGCATGGAGAGGACAAAATATACAAGGATTGGTTTGTCCACAGGGGGCGCCAAATGGCAAAAACAAAAAGTTCCTTGCAGACGCTTTAAGTTGAGAAGATTTATATCTTGTCAATTTGTTGTTTCTTTTTGAAGTCCAAAAATCTTATACATAAATATGAGTTATAAGAGTTAAAGGATAGTTTTGAAAGTATTCAGTCAAGAGAAAGAATGTAAATATAATCATTCTATAAGTGTTCACACAGCTTGCCCACCCCTGCTTATGTCAGGGCCACCCTGTCAAACGGTCTGGACATGCACCTGTATGGTAAAATACCTAAAATAGGAATTTTCGACACTGTGTTGTGATTTTTTTCTTTGTTTATGATGACTTGATCATCTTCATTATAATTCTGGCCAAGTACAACAGGTGTAAAGACATCCCCACTCGCTTAAATCCAATAACACACCTGAGCATACAAACCACCTGCTGCTTCATCATCCTCCGTGGCTTTAGTTGCATCCCAAAACATTTTTGTGATTCTTTTCTTTCTCTGGACCACCATAAATAGCGCTGATAGGAAGAAGGGGATGTTGCCATGGTGACACAGAGCTGTGGCAGCCGGTAATTATTCTGGTTTAAGTGCCAGCAGAGGCACACACACACGAGCTGGCACACAGCGGCGGCAGATAGTGACACCTGGACACATGCCTCTCAGACAAACCAAGTAAGGAAATGTTTAAGGGATTGGTCTGTGTCTGAAAACTGGTCGAAAGATCAAAATGAAAATCTAATGGGGTGAGAATGCGTAACCACCTCTGTGTGATATATTCATAGAGTGAAAATCTGGATGCTTGAGAGGGTAAGAGTGTGTGGCCGGGAAGTCAAAATATGCAGATAATACACATGATGAAATACGATGTCACTCGGTTATCATCCACCTAGTTACAGGCGGTGACTGGTCAATGGAAAGTGTATGTGTGTGAGTGTGTCAACAAGTAGGCGTGTGTGAGTCTGAAAGGCAGCATGTTGTCCAATATGTATTTGATATGGGTTTTAAAATCACAAACACACTCCTAGATCTCTCACAGCTCACCCACTCACGCACATTGTCCAGCCAATCTACACTTGTATGGACATTCAATTGTACACACACACACACACACACACACACACACACAGCAACACCATCCACCCTTTAAGGATAATATCCAGCTCTATGCTTTCCATCCTCATAGTACTAAACCCCCCTTCTCTTTTTTTATCTGCTTTCTTTCAGGCAAGGCCGAGCTGACTAATCATCCAAGGTGTCAAGGTAAGGTTCTGTTTGCCTCTCACCAGCCACACACACTGATAGCAGCACCAACTCGGGTGCATTTCTCATCTGGGGAAGGAAAACACAACCGGCGTTACAACAAAAACAGGAACTCCTCAGTGTCCTTTGAAGAAGAAGTTCAAATTGGCTTCTGCGGCTCCGTCTGAGTCTCCACAAAAACTTCCCCCTCGCTGCTCGAAGACGAGGAGAGTGTCCCTGGCTCCCTCGTCACATTAGCATAGGCGAGGAGAGGCACAATGGGTTTTTCAGCATACATATTTTAACTTGAGCACATTCATACATACACAATACTCAGGGAGACAGGAGTTTGGCTCATTCACTCCTCTGAACAGATATGAGGAAAGAAAGGTTGTCAGTTTCTGCCTCTATCTCATAATCGACTGTAGCTGGATATCGTTTGATTGTGAGTCAAAGGACACGCAATAAAGAGAAAACAGACACAGGGAGAAAACACTGCTGACTTTTTGCATCATTCAACCTGCTCACTGTGTTTTCCTATCAGTTATACCTTTTCTCTCCATCCATCTACCATCATCTCTGCATTCCTGCGACAGAGTCTGAAACGTCTCTGATGCAGCTGAAAGTGCAGTATCAGAGTTGGAAAGCCTGCCAGGCCATTTGCTGATTCAATACCCCCCCATAGATACAATAGATAGATAGAGAGAGAGAGAAAGAGACAGAGAGAGAGAGATTGCATGTGTATGTGTTTTAGTAATCCCACAACGGGACTACAGGGGGTCTGAACGTCGTCGAAAACTCACACGAGAATTCAGCGAGATCAATGCGAGATTTGTTCAAACTGTGACATCATCACACAGGGATCCTCCTTAAAAAGGGCGAATTTGTCATTTCATTAAAAAGAACTTTGTTGCATGGCAACAGTGAAGGAGGCTTCCAGAATGCTGGGGGTGGCCTTAAAGGAACAGTGGCTCAAATGAAGTGTCTCAGAGAGGGGCTGAAGCGAGGGTTTTCAAAGACTGGGAGCTTAGTTATACTTGAATTTCAACACTGTGTTTTCTCACAGTGATGCAGAGGTAAAATTACAACTTAAAGTGGTAAATGTGATAAAAACATTTTGAATTTTGTTGTTGCATCATTATCACAGAAATCACAGAAAGGTATCAGGGAAGAAAACTATAATCTGGCTCTGGTTTGACATTGTCTGTCCTTCATTTCTATCACACCCTTCAAACATCCTCCCATTCACACACATTGGTATACAAACCCCCTACCACACATCTATTTGATCAGACTTTACTGAGGCTTAAAGAAGTGCACATGCTCTCTCTCTCCCACCCCCCACTCTCCGACTGTGAGTCACCCACAACACCACACAGCGCCATAAATCACCCGTGATAACATCAGGGGTTCCATCAGTTCAGAGAAAGCAAACTTTGCGTGTTAGACGGAGACGTGATGAGGTTGCTTATGGCGTGCGCAGAGCCCAGACAGACACCAGTTGTGTGGATGAGGGGCCACTGCAGCAGACCTGTCTGCACTGCAGTCTGTGTAAGCTATGCGCTGCCATCTGCTGGCCATAAGTGGTTATAGACGAGGTTGGTAACATGATCAAGAAAATGACAGGGCATCCATTAAAACAGATTTGATGATGTTGGACACGTGTTTTAAACCTTCTTCCTGTGTTAGCTTTTACTACGCAACCACCATGTTAAGGGTCAGTTTTGACCCGTGTCTTAAATCAGCTGTAAACTGCACTAAAAACAATTCTCTATCATCCAGTTTGGTTGTCATCTCTAGGTTAACTTGTGAGGCTTTTTTTTGGTGTGAGCCTCTGGGTCTTTCTTTGTCAGTGTACCCCTCATACAGACATCTATACTGAATTGATCTCACATGTCTGGACATGCCCGACGTTGTTTTTTTGTGCAGGTAAAAACAGGCAAAATGAGAATTTCTTAAATCTCACATGATTGAAAGAGGATCTGACTGTCAGTATGGTGCCTGACAGTGCACTTATGATTTCATTTTTTTGCTCTAATTATTGGATATTGATCTAACCGGGTCAACAGCGACCCTAACACAACAAGTGCCATAATTTTGATAGGAGCATTTTATAATTTAGTCAGTTTAATTTTTTTAATTTAAGTGGTTCTTTCAAGCATTTAAAAACAAAAACGGGTCGCTGCAGACCCTAACACAGGAGGAGGTTAAAGATATTTATGATATTTTGATTCTGTGAAGTGTCAAACTTGTGTTTCATTTTGCCGGTTTATAATGTAATCAGAGAATAATCAATGCTGCACCAGAATCAAGTGAGCTCTGTGAGTTTTCTCAGCAAATAAAATACACTTTAACAGTTTGGTGATTGTATCCTGTACAATTCTCATATTTCTCATATTCTCATAATTCTCATACAGATCCTCATATTCAATATTTGATTTCATTGTAAATCACATTAAATTGGGTTTGAAGTTGGTCCATTTGCTCAAAGCTGTTAGTGTGTCATTGAAAAAGAAAAGAGTTGCTTGTAAATTTGTTAGATCTCCATTTTTGGGGGTTGTGGTCTGCAAATAATTCAAATTAAACTTTTAAACGTGGCTGTGTGTTTCTTTTCTTATTTCTCGTTTTTTCCACAGCCAGTACCTGTTCAATGTCCTCATCTCCCACAGTGTGATGCATCATGGCTCCGGTGCTGAGTGGCGTATGGTGGGGGCCTGAGGCCGGTGTCCTCGGGTCAGGTGCGGCAGCTGCTACAGGTGTGGCGTCATGGCTGGGCAGTGGGCAGCTGGTCCTGGCCGTTACCCTCAGCACCCTCACTGCCTTGCTGCTCTTCTCTGTGCTGCTTCTGCTGTGCGCTAGCTGCAAGGGGTGAGCCACAACGCACGCTCAAACAAATATGCACAGCGTTGACCTTTATGATTACTTTTGTTGCTGATGTTCCTGGAGGTGCACGCCAGTTTTCAGACATGTCAGGAAAGTCTGAGGTCTGTTGGATTAGAACTTGTTTGTTTTAAATATAGCTACATCCTGCAGACAAATAACTGAGCAGGATCTACTCTCTCTGGAAATGCTGGCTGTGCATTGCAGGGTTGAAAATAGCACAAATACCTGGGAGAGCATTCTTGGCCTGAGTGTTTATAGGTGTGGCAACAGTGAGGAATGATTCTGTTATGTGCATAAAAACATTGTCTGCAGGGATAGCATGATTTTAAAGGCACAGACAGGAATCAATGAATCTTTCTGCTTTTGAAAAAGGCTAATTTTGTTTAAATTTAGCAATATAATAGTTTGCATGTCATCTAAAAAGCATTAATAATGTTCAGTGGATATTAGACTTAAACCACTGCCCCATTTTTTGAAAACGTGTACCTACAGGGAAATTTAAACCTTAACCCTGAAAACCAGCTTATTAATTTATTCTGTTTTCTTTATCAAGCGTAGAGCCAAAGCAATAATTAACCCACAGACTTTCACCTATCCCTGAGTTATTTTTAATTCAGACTCGCACAAGACGCTGGCAACACAATTCCCAACACTGCAGCCCTATAGTTTTCTCCGTGCTGTGTAATTATCCAACTTTTTCACTCCTTCTTTTCTCTCGTTCTCTCATTCCAGGCAGAAGAAGGCTGCCAGTGCACATCCAGCAGGAGACCATGAAAACCTCATGAATGGAGTGAGTAGCACCTCAAGGGTTTTGTTTCAGAAAATGCACACATTTCATTAGTGGAGTATGGAGACTCAAAACGAGCCAACAAAATGTGCCTCTGAAGCGAACCAGTCAACACACTATTTTTATATATTTCAAGTCAAACAAAATGAAGCCAGAACCAAAGGTGTATAAAAAACCCTTTGAGATTTTATCTGAGGTCATGGGTTGGACTAGGTGTTTGCAAATCCCAGTTACTTCCAAGTCTTGGGATATTTTTAGAGACCTTGTGGAAACTTCAAGAAATGTCCAGCTCATGAACCCATCATATGCTCACTATTAAAACACTGCACCAATTTTCACCTCAACCACAGCAGGCATATCACACCTATAGAGGTCCATCACTAGTTGCCATGCTTGGTCATCCCTGTGTCTAGTGATCTTGAGAACCAGAAACTTTTGCCATTAAGCCGCTCTACTTAGAGGTATTTGCTTCATCATTTCTTAGAAAGTAGTGAGCCCTTTACTTTACCACAAACCTAAACAACATTTTCAATCATCCACCTGCTAAGTGGTCCATCTGAGCAGCCTCTGAATCTCCATCCTGGTCTCCTCCCCCACTCCACCTGATGGAGCCCCAAGTTTTCCTGCAGAGGAGCTCATAGCTGCTATCTGTGTTAGCTCAGGCTATCTCTGCTCTGATTTAATAATAATAATAATAATAATCATGATGACGATGATGATAATAATAAATTTCTTTATATAGCACCTTTAAAAGTGCTTTAAGGAAAGAAGCGAACAAAGGCAAGAACAGATACGATATGATACGATTACGATACAATATGATACTAAACTATACTATACAATATGATGCGATTACGATACAATACTATACTATACTATACTTTACGATACATTACGATATGATACGATACGATACTAAACTAAACGATACGATTCGATTACAATAAGATAAGATATGCTCTGATAAGATATGATATGATAAGATTTGATACAATACGATACAGTACAATACTGATATGATACGCTCTGATACGATACAACACGATTTGAAAAGATTTGATACAATACGATATCGATACAACCGATACACAAGTTATCTCCCCTCAGGAAAATGTCTTTTGACCCGTGCTGCTCACTTGTGGCTGCCTCCAGCTCGTCTCTCTCGTCTAAACAGAAGCATCCACATGTTGTTTTAGATGACGTACACACTCCCTTGCAGTCCTCATTAGCTCCAGTCTGTGTGAGTGACGTGTCTGTAATCAGGCAGTGTGTAACCACTTGTTAATGAGGCTGCGGATGGAGCTTCCATATTGGCTGCATGCCCGAACAACAACACACACTCAGAGACATCTTCACCCCAATATCCTGTGACACTTAACCCTCCGACATTTTACCTCATCCATTAAAGTGACACAGAAATATAAACAAACAAATCCTCCTAACCAACAGCTGATGTAAGTGTGATTATTCCTTATGCAAACTTTCATTTCAAAATATCTACTTAAACTTAAAGCTTGTCTTCATTTTTAGTGAGTCAGCGGGGAAAAAGAAATCGATTTTTAATAAGTGAAAACCTATTTTCAAAAGCTAAATATTTAATGTGAACAGCGTTGACCTTTGCCCTGGATCTGTATCTCTTGTAACGACCCAATAACCTGACCATGGTGTCATGGGAAGTGATAGTAATTAGTGACTCTAGTTATAGTGATGCTCCCGCAGCTCAGTATCATTTAAGTGTGATAAATGTCAGGCTTCTTCAGACTAAGTGACATCCACTCAGTTTCTCATCCGGTCACTCCCTCTGCAGCTGTGTGTGTGTGTGTGTGTGTGCATGAACACACATCTCAGAGCTCTTTTGCTTTAAATGGATATTTTCATTGTAACCTGACTATGTAACCGGACTATGTGGCAGTGTGATGTATTGAATAATTGTCTTTATACATAAGCGGATTGGCTCAATCTGAGTGTCTTCTTATAATAACACAGTGAAGTAGCTCTATCAGTCATGTTTCTGTCTTTAAAACTCGTCCTTCATTCAGGAAACATTTTTGCATTTTCCAAATAGACTTGTTTTTCTTGCGCAGAGCATCATGGAAGATATTTGGGTCACAAAATAGTTAAAGATTACATCATAGACAACAGGAGCTGTGAGAGTAAGTGACCACTAGGTGGGATTGTGGAGCTTCAGATTCATACACAACCTCCTGCTCACACTGAGAGAAAACAACACACCTAAACAAAGAGACTTGCACCTAGTTATATTCTTCTAACAGTGTTTTGTAAGCTTTTTCTTCTGTGTGATAGAACAAGACAGTGTATATCTAACCTGTATTTCGATTAATCTCGCCTGAGTGAGGAAGCTGCTTAAATGCTCAGTTTCCCTTCAGTGACACTGGTTTGGATGAAAGTGTCGACTTAAGTGTTTCTTCACACATAGAGCTGCTTCTGTTGCTGATTTAGCCACGTGATGGTGTAAGTATAGGAACCAGCCTTCAGCTAGAGGACACGATTAAAAGACTTTATCGTCCGCTCTCTGCCTGAGTGTCCTTGAGCAGGACTGAGTTCTTACTCGCTGGAGGGTGGCTGTTTTGTAGCCTTGACTTTCCCGTAGAGGGGGAGAAGGTTAAACAGAGGGACGAATGCTTTTTTGTTAGGGTAATGATTTTTACTCTTCTGGAGCCGCAGATGCTTGTCGATTTCCCACTTCTGTCATAGTACTGGCTTGATTTGGCTGTCTATTAATAAGTCGACATTGACTTCATACAATGAGATGCATCCACTCAAGTTTTTCAGCAGAGGAGGCATGTCTGAGAAAAGCCTGAGTGAACTCATCTGCAGTAAGATTCAAACAGCATCATGTCGTCATTCAGCAAAGATCGATCTCCAGGTGTTTTACTTTTGTGGATTTTAATAGATGAGATTTAATCAAGTGTGCTTAATCTGCTGATTATGAGTTTAAAATAATTAGTGATATCATTTTAAGGCGCTGATGGAAAACACCCTAAAATCCTGAAATATAATCTTCAGATCACACTAAAATCTGCTGACTTTGGTTTTCGGGTTTCACAAAGGTGTGAAAGTCGACGCGTGCAGATTCATATCTGAACTCTTTTTCGTTTTTGGTGTGACGTGTTATTGAAATCTAGTAATATTTTTTTCATGTACCTAAATGCCTCATCTGGCAGCCTCTGGGTTCAGCCCCAGCAGTGAAAAACATCCCCTCCTTTGTTGTGCAGGTGTCGGAGAGGGAGACGATCAGCCAATCAGCAGACAGTCCTGCGACTGACGGGGCGGTCAGCAGCTCTCACAATGGTCCTCTTACCAGCGGTACAAGTAAGCCAAGAGAGTTAGCTTAAACCAGTGTTATTTCTTCATTGTCCATGTTATTATACTAATAAAATGATGCTGATATAAAGAGTCTAGAGCCAGAAATAGAGCATGTTCCTGCTCTCCTCTGCAACAGTGAGAAAACACTTTCTAAGTAGCTGTTTTTAAGCCTCTTCTTTGTTGATTCAAGTCTATTTTAAACCTCAACTTCTATTTTCTGGGCCATATCTATCGTCGTTTATTGTCATTTCTAACTGGGCAGGAATGAAATATCAGCAACAATAAACTTGTGTGAATATTACTCATTACAACACGACTCTTAAGTGTCAAAAACGTGCTAACCCTTCTCTAAAACACACAAAAGGTCATTTAAGGATGAGCGTTTATTAAGCCTCACTTTCTCTTTCCAGTCCTCACAGACACTCAGGACACCAGTCCCCAGCCGTCAGAGGAGTTGCTCTCCAGCCAATCAGAGCTCAGGTCCTCCAAGTGTCCTCAGGACCGCGAGCTTCCCAGCATACCTCCTAACAACGCTCTCATTGGGGACGGACCCCCAGCCTCAGGGGACAGCACCTATGAGGTCATTGTTTAGAGTCACCTTGGTGAAGATAATGGTGTTAGCCTGAATTTATTAATACATAGGATACAAGTGTTCATTGGCCGGACTGGCGATTGATTTTTTTTTATTTATCTGCTAAAGGTTCAGAGGTTTTAAGTCATTAGATTAATTGAGTTTAAAGGATTACAAAAGTACCCTTTATCTAAAAAGCAAAATAACTTGAATTGTGTATGTAACGCTCAGGTGGTGAAGGAGATGGCGACGGCGTCGCGTGACGTCAGCGTGGAAGACTCACTGTACGAGACGGTCAAGGAACTCAAAGACCCCCCAACTGAACTCAGCCTTCCCAACGGTACAATCCAGCTGAGCCCCAACGACCCTCCTCCTCATCCTCCTGCCCTCCTCAACGGCCACCTCACCCCCTGCACACCTGAGCGGGGTCCCCTGTGCGCCGGGGTCGAGTACGCCTCGGTTGACCTGAATAAGAAGAGCCGCCACAGCGCCGACATGGAGGCCAGAAGGCGCTCGGATAACGCAAACATCCCCTCTCACAAGCCTCTAGAGGAGCCGGAAGAAGAGTTGCCTCCACCGGTGCCAAAGAAGGTTCTGGATGAAAATGACAACCAGCCGTTGGTGATGAATGGGCTGTCAGGGGCTGGGCTGCACAACGGAGAGGTGAGGATTGTGGGTACTGTACCTGTAGATTTAAACTAGCTTAGATTTGCATGAAACAAGATTCGACAGAACTGAGAAGAAGTCGAGATGCTTGAATAATAATTCATTACTTCTTGTATTCTTAAATTTCCCTCCCTTAACGACTGATTGTATCTCCCTATAAACTTAAATTCATAATTTTAGAGAGACTGTATAAATACTCGCCCAACAGGAGAACAAACACAAGGAACAAAGAAAAGTTGAGATGTGTCACTGCTACAATTATCATCAGCGAAGTCGCCTCAGGGAGAGTGACAGACTGAGGGGAGAAATTTAAGAGAGAGAGAGAGAGAGAGGGGAAAATGAAAATGAGAGCTGGAGTAGGAAGAGCAGGAGAGAGTAATAGATAAAACAGAGATAAAGACAGAGTGATGATTGCTCAAAAAGCGCTGAGAGGAACATAAGGGGCGAGACAGAACGAGAGTCAAGAGTGAGAGAGAGAGGGGGAACCCAGCAGTGTATAAATGAAGACATCTGTAGTAGAGAGAAGAAAGACGGATGACAAAGACAGTGAGAGATAGAGATGTAAAAAAGAGAGGGTGTGTGAGAGAGTACAAGAAAGACTGAGTTAAAGAAAAGAGAAGTGGTTCAGTGTCATGCACTGATCATACAGAGCAGAGCTGCTGCTGCTGCTGCTGCTGCTCACAGCATGCTGCTTTCCACATGCCGAGATCCATCATCAGGGACACACATGTACAAACACACAGGCAGCACATACACCAAGGCTCTCACTGAGCTCAGAGAGAATTGCATCAGACTGTTGACAAGCACAAAAAGATAAATCACAGACTCGATCTGCCATATTAAAGGAGACTTAGTCGACTTTATCTCTTAATATTCTCACCTACTCCAGCTGGATTTCTTTACTTTTGCCGAACTATAGGAGAACAACTTAAGGAATAACTACATTTTATTTACGCAACTGGTGAAGCTGTAAGGACGGCACTTGTCTGCTCTCTTATTTAGTTAACCTCTTTGGCACAAATCTCAACAACAACTTGATGGGTTACTAGGGTGACTGTATTCTGACTTCCTAAAAAGGGGACACGACTACGCTGGGTGGAGTCATGGAATCACACTCAGTTAATTTTGAGAGTTTTTGGGTCGGACCAAGTGTCTTTTACGTGGTTCTAATTCAGTAAGTCCACGTGACACAAACTCAAAACTCTGGTACAAAACCGTGGACATTTGAAGGATTTTATAAACTTCCCCAGACAGCCCCCCAAAAAAGAGGACATGTCCGGGTAGAAGAGGACATTCGGTCACTCTACTGTTCTTATGCTGATAAATTGCTGGTGAGCTCACAGAGGGTGAAGTCTTGTGACTTTGCTCATCCCCTGACTTTCAGCATGGTTGGTTGATTTTTGACCAAAGTGTATAGTAACACTCTTGCACTTAACATCCCCCATTGTTCACAAGACCTGACATGTTCTTTATTACGATCTTCCCTCCTCTCGAATCTCTTCCCTCTAATCTAATCTCCACCTTCCCTGTTTTCTTTGTCACATCTCTCCCCTCCTTTGTCTCTGATGTTGAAGCCAATTAGCTAATCACTGCTGCTCATTTGGACAGCAGGTGCCGCTCGACTCATCTGACCCTGTATCAATGATGAAATCTTGATCTTTGTCTCTGAACCAATCTGGCAACCACGCACACGCACAGATATGTACTCAATTATAGATGCACCCATGAACATAGACACACATGTACACTTTAGTCTGTCTAGTCAGCGTTAAAACCTGCCCACCCCACCCCCCATGCTGGGCACACACACAAACAGATACTCCAACATGTGTGTGTTTACATACATTCAGCTCCTCACAGACTCCCCAGGGCTGATTTAAGGTTAACCCTGAATGTTCGTGGCTCCCTGCAGGTTGCTCCATGTATGACCAAGAGCTGTTGGTGATTTGTCTTGTCAGCCCGGGTTGTGTGTGTGTGTGCGTGTTTGAGCCCAGTGAGCGCCAGCTGGCCACCATCACTTTGACAGTCAGTCTGGCTTCATGATGGATGATGTGCTCTAAAGAAACTCTCTCACTCACACTCACACACAAATACACGCTCAGCTGCGCGCACACACTGTGGGTGCCTGTATGTAAATGTCTCAGGAGGAATCCCCTCAGGTGGACGCTTGGTAAATGCTGCTCACACACATTTCTCCGTACATAACAGGGTTTATACAATAACTGTATAGAAACACACACTCTCAAAATCTATCCGTGACCTTTCCCTCATAGTTCCTCTGATGCTGTGCAGCGGTACAGATATTGAACCACCATAAACAGCAGTTACACTTGTTTGCAGTCGTCTGCCAGTGTGTCGCCTTCAGGCTTTTCTTGTGAGGTTGAGGAAATGAATTTGACCCAGCCAGTGGGCTGCTGTGAAAAACACAAGGGTCTTGGTCCAGGTAAACTGCATGTCAGCTCTGTAGGGGAGTCTTTTTAGCTGTATCTAAGCTGTGTGTATTTAAAATGTGAGTTAGATTGTAGTTTAAGCTAAATCTGTTTTGCATATTCACTGTAAACTTGGTCTCAGTCACTAAATTGGCTTGTGTGATCCTTGGAAGGAAGATAATCTGAGCTGATTAATTCATTCTGATGTGTGAATGTCATCACGCTGGTCAGCATGATTGACACATTGACACCTGAGTCATCCATCTTCTGAGGCTGCTGTAATCAGCTTACCGCCACGCTCACATGTCCTGCGTGTCATTGTGTCTCGTTCGTCCACATACACACATTTACATAATCCTGCCTGTCAAACACATACGAACCAATCACAAGTTTTATTCCTCAGATTAAATGTCTAGATGTGTAAAAAAAAAAAAAAGCTTTTTTCTTTTAATTAGTTAATGCAAGTCTTAAATTCGATTCCTGAAAGCATCAAACCCAGGTTAAGCACCAGGTTTTAGCTGACAAGGCAACAACAATTCCACTTTAATTTGCAGACACTTGATACTCGCGCCAACTGTGGAGGCTGCAAATTAGATGAACAAATATTGTGAGACCCACCCTGAGGTGCAGCAACTGGATCAAGTCACCTTTGTCCATGTTTAATATGAAGACTCCTCCAGGGCACTCTGCCTAATTGGTCAGCTAATTAAAGCAAAATGAAAAAGGTGTCCGCTGCATCAGAGTGTACGTGCGCTGATGTATGGAAGCAATCGTGTCCCCAAACAAGCGTCATTCGAAAGCTAATCACTCATGGAGGCTGTTTGGGAGAATGCCACGGAAATGAGCGTCTACATGATGACATTACTTCATAATTAAATTATAATTAAAAGGAGACAGGTTAAAGAATCCCCTGCTCTTTCCATTTACCTTAAAGCGCCTGTAGGGAACTTTGGTAGCCCCCTTTGGAGAACGCAATACCCCTTTTACCTTTACTGATTTTGTCTATACCTTGTGTTCCTCAAATTAACAATTATTTAGCCTCTTTGCAATAGAAAATGAAAAAAAAAAACTGTTGCTGCAGCGTGCAATTAATCACTTTGTCTGACACCTACCCTGTGGCAGCAGAAACAGGCTTTAAAATAACAGGACAGATATAGTCAGTCCGTATGCTAAAATTTAGTCTTTTTAAAACCTGTAGAAAATTCCTCACATGGGTTCATCATCTTAGCTCATCCCTCTACAGTAAGTCAGTTTTTTATAACATTGAATATGTCAAAATGGTGTTTTTTTTTAACATGTTTCCACCACATCTGGAAACATGCTTTATTATCCATTCATGTACAAACTATTAAACTAAACTACATTTCTCTCTGGCAGACAAATTAGTCTACAGCCAGTCATTCATTTATACATTCAATGCAACAGAGTGTCCTTAAAATATATATGTATCTAAAAACAAACTTAAATCTTTCCTTTGTTAAAACATCTGTATGAACTCGGTCCCTTTATCCAAGAACCTATCAAATCTGATCTTTTCCAGAAAGAATGAGCGGTCCATACCTAGAGAGGAGTTTATAAAATTCATATGGGATGAAGTATTTAGTCATTGCTTGCAGCGATATTGAGGTTCTTGTTAGACTCCTGAGGTGTTTGCTGCGTCTGCCTCGTGTGTTTTTGATTAATGGCTCCCTCATCAATCATACGGAGGACAGACGCTGTGCACAAAAACACCACACTCCCTGTCACCGCCTATTGACTTCCACTCAATAATTTTATATAAACGCCTGCTTGTATACAACATTAGCTACATATACTCATGTGTTGCACCAGATATTGCAAATGCGGGTCTTATGTCTCTGCCGCCGCTGGGAATGGTTTCAAAGTTCATTTATTGATCTACCTTTTAAGGCGCACAAAGAGATTGTCCCCTAGTGTCTGTGTTTTTGAGAGCTTGTTAGTAATTTTCCAGCGTGTTTTCATGCAGATCAATACGAGGTGCAATATCTTAATGAAGTGTATCAATGTTTAAAAATTCAATGGTTAAAACTCAAAAGAATGACATATTTGTGTAACATCTTTGCAATTTCTTGTGTCAAAACCCCTGAAATGTTTCAAACAGGAGAAGCAAGCCCCCACTACGTAGCTTTGGGTGTTGTCTAAACGTCTGACTCTGCGCTCCGTCTTTTCTTTTCACATGCCGTCTGCCATATCTAAATCTATCTTTTTGTTCTCTTGTCCTACAGTTACACTCCCCTCTGTCTCCAGCACCGGGGTTCCACAACCACATTATGTCAGACAATGAGGTAAGTGTGTGTTAAACTCCCTTATTCCCCAAACTGCGGTCCCAAGACGGCAGCACTTTACTCTATACCGATGCAGAGAGCGCTGAAAAGATAAGAAAAGCAAGAAAACAGTGGAAATAGTCATGCTACATAAGGAATTAGGCTACGAGGGAAAGAGCTAGCAGGGATCTTTCGGCACAAATGCATCAGTGAAGTCGTTTTATGTGTTCAGTTTCCTTTTATTCTGAGTTTAGAAATGTTCATGACATTTCATACAGCCGTCTCAGATCTGTTATTTCAGTGAAAGAACTACGAGCACTGTTAAAAGTATGTTATCTTAAAGGTTGAAAACTTTGGATATTAAAAGTAGAGTCTCAGGTGACTTCTATGTCATTGTTCTAATGTTAGCTCATATTACTTCTACATTTAAGTTGGATTGGAATCAAAAGTATTATAGTTATTAGTTATTTTCCCTTTTCTGAGTGTCCTGTTGGTTGTATTTCATTGTTCATAACCAGGTGATTCATGAAACAGTCTTGTAAATAACATCCCTCTGTGAGCGAGCAAGCTAAATTCAAATTCAAATTTTGTTTATATAGCGCAAATCCACAACAGTTCTCATCTCAAGACGCTTTCCAAAGAACAAGAGCAGGTCTTGACCACGCTCATTGTTTGATTAACTATCAAGACCCAACCTAAGATGGGATTTGGCCCATCTCATCTAACATGAGTGACAGTGGCAAGATAAAACTTCCTTTTGACAGGCAGAGACCTTGGGAAGGACCAGACTCATGCTAGACAGCTACCAGGCCGCTGCTGGGTTGGGAGGAATACAGAGAGATAGGGAGGAAGAGAGAGAGTGAAGGAGAAATAGAATAGGTAGGGGGGAGAGGGGGAGAGAGAGTAGAGAACGAGGGGGAGAGAGAGAGACGGGGACAGCAGCAACATCAAAACAACAACAACAACAACAGCCCATGTAATGGTGAAACTAAATGAAATCAGTTTACAGGGCTAGGATATAGGTTATTATGGACAATGTTAAATTAATTTAAAGTGATCACAGTCAACAGCCCTAATAGTAGTCAGCTCTAGTTTTATGTTATTAATGTCAGTGAGGCTGATGTTCATGTCGGCAGTAACAGTCCAGAGGAACCCAAGAGAAGAAGGAGCTCAGGGCCTGAGGCGGACAATCATAAGAATCATAATCAAGAAGCTGCATGTAATCAGGGTCCAACAAAAACACGCAACTAATGAATAATACAACTAGTCTGTGATGATTAAATGCAGCTGATATATAATGACAGAAGCCATGTTGAGAAAAATGTGTTCAACACGCATCTTGGTATTCTTCTAATTTGACCCATATCCCATCTGTTAACATGGAGGGGGCAGGTGATGTCACCTTTATCACAGCTAGTCAATTATCGAGCTCTTAATGTTTTGGCTTTACGTTTAAGGGGCTGTAAAAACTAAACAGGTCAGTTATGTTGACTCTGTTTTTGTGTGTTTTTTAGTTGTACTCCACAGTCGACAAAACAAACTGTGACGATGCTCTGAACGAAGACGACAAAGAGCACGACTACAGCAGCATCGCAGAGATTAAAGGTCTCGTCCCGGCCTCCTCCTCCAGCGACCTCTACGCCACCGTCCGAGATTTCTACACCCAGCCTGACGAGCCTCAGCCTGGGGAAGACCCCATCTTGGATTGCACAGACCCTGGCTACGAAACCATCCGCATCCCCAAGACTGGCAGCTCAGATGATGATCACAGGGTAGGGCTGGGGGCTGAGGGTTCGGATGCTGCAAAGACAGAGCCTGATTATGAGAGTGTCGGAGAGTTGGGTTTGAGTAGAGAGACATCCCGCCTTTGAATTCTTCCCTTTTCATCATCGTCATGTATGAAGGAGATGCCTCCTCTTTCTGACATCTTTCAGACGTCACTTCATTGCTTTGAACCTGCGAACATTTGTACGGGGCATGACGTTTAGAGAACAGCAGGAAACGGCTCAACGAAGCTAACGTGGATGCATGAGTGTTTTCTTCATAGCTTGGGTACGGATCATCATAACTGACCTTTAAATTATCAGCCAGTGGAATATCAGCAGTACTAGAAAATGAACTGTGGTACCTCAATCACTGGGCATTGATCATGTGGAAGAGTGCACTTTGAATTATGTTTATTTAACTCACCGTACAACAAAAAAAAACATTGACGAATAATCAAGTAAAAATCCAATCACAGCACGTCTGCCAAATTTTGAGGGTTAGCTTAGGACAGTACCAGTGTCCCAAAAATCCAGTGCCATATTATCATTACATTCATGCACTTACTGTACATAGGAAGGCAACAGTATTTGTGTTTCTGTAGCTGCCAGCGACTGTTCTGCTTCTTCCAGGTGACAGTGTCATGTTTTATTGACGTCTTTTGTTCCAGGTCAGCAGCACCTCCACGGAGAAATCTCTGCTTAAAATTTAAAGGGGGGTTGCACAAAAAAAATGTTGCATTCATGAGCCTGCACCATCAACTATTGTGGTCATCAACCTCTTCTGTTAAGACTTCTCTCAGCAAATATACACAGCATTTTTCATGTGTTACAGGGCAGTAAATGTGACACTAGTCGTCCGTAGAGCCAAAATGGAGAATTAGTCTAAAAGAAGAAAAACAGCTTCACACAAACTTGCAATGTCCCAGTTCACTCTGAATGCTAATTTCATATTTATTTGAGCGTAGGTATTGTTGTGTAATTGTGAAACGTTACAATGTATGTCTGTGAGAGAAAAGTAATTAAGGTTTTATAGAAGTTTCTAGCATTTTTATAAAGATACAAAATGAAACTGAGTTGTGTGATGATAACAGTAAAGGTACGCTTTCTTCTGACTTTTTTATTCATTGTTTAAAAAAAAAAATGCATAGGATGAGAACATATTTTTGGTCACTTTACACAGGGGGTCAAACATATTCAAAAGCAGGATAAGGTGGTAAAATGACTTATTTGAAGCAGACGTTTGGTACAGCCTTGGGTTGGCATCTTGGATCATTTCAAAGCACAATGTTCGATAACATGGTACTGCATTTATCAGAAGCATTGTCACAATCCAGCTGCTTCTCTGCACAATTTGAATATCTAATGCTTTGTAAATTACCGGTAGCACTCTGAGAGAAAAAAACAAAACATATCTGTCTGTTTGTAGCTTGTACTGACGACATGCCAACTGAGGCTTGTATATATTATTGGAGCACTATTTTAACCAACTGTTACTCGCTGGAGGATTCATGTAAGCTTTTACTTATTTGTACAATGTCTAGAGTGGTATACTTTTAGAGGAAGTCTATTAAAAGCACTGATATACTGTATGTCTGCTTTGTTTTTAGGAAAACTGAAAGTGTGTGGCTTTTTATCACGTGTTCCTACTCCAGAAATAATCAAATGTTAGAAATATGGTACAATGTTTTGGTACATGCATTTAAAGGAACTGCTGTGGTACTTCTGTTGAAAAAAAAAACTGATTTAATGCCTCAGTACTGTTATTTGTTTTCAAATGAAGAGCTTTCTTTGCTGTAAATATGTCTGTCACTGCAACAGTACCATCGCTCTAAGCAGGAATATTGGTGTCATCTGTTTCCACCCACATCATAATATTACAGCATTACAGTAACTCCAGCCTCGGTTCAAGTTTCATTAGACATGCAGGAGCTTGTTGTCGCCTCAGACAAACACAGTGAGCCTACGCTGACTGGTTTTAGATTCATAAATTATATCAGACAGTTGAGATGCTGTTACATCTCCCAGCAAGAGGGAGAGGATTTCAAATGCAGCCTAGTGCTGTTGTGTTATAAACCAATATGTGCAAATGAAACCTCGAAAAAAATATATCTTTCTCCTGCAGAGGATTTATTATCATAACTAGGTACACTCTAAAATAATAACTACATTTTTGCGTCAATTCATGTGCCTGTGTGTGAGGGTGGTGCCATTATTTAACTCGAATAATGCTCACAGAATGCTATAAATGACCTCAAAGGAAATTAACTGTTGAAGGGGGTGTTTCCGTGCCAAATATTATCAGGACAACACACACAGAGACACAGATAATAAATAGACTCCTACCAAAAATTACACAATTTACTCATTAGCTGTCTATCATGGTCATACACACAATCCTCAGCAGAGAGTGGGGGTGTGGTAGAGGTTTAGAGACGCACCCTCACTACCTGTCTTTTCTGTAATGAGAACATTTATTCCCCACACAACTAGCAGACAACTCCACAGTGACACCTGCTTTTGATCACAGGGCAGAGCCTGTTTTAGAAGTTACGACCGCATCCGTCTCCCCTCTCTGTCTGCTTTTCCATTTTCTGCATGTAAATATTTTATGACATGAATTGTTCTATTAAAATATATATATATATTAAATCCGGCTGTCATGTCTTTCTATTCAGTCTGGGGGCTGTCATCTAGAGAGATTGTGGGCTGAATATGATATTTTAAAAACATTAGGTTTGACATTAATTAGGCCATTTGTTACTGTGATAACATTGGTCTGGATATTCTCCCTGTCACACTGGACGATAATCCCGATGGATGTCTCCTGGTAAACTTGATTTATCAAAGCACTGAGTGTCCCTAATGAGAAGAAACACATTTATATTAGATATATTCTTGTGTTAGAGAGCAACAACTTGAGTCACATTGTGAGATCACACTTGAGGTTCTTATTTTAGTGCATGATGTAACATTTATGTGAGTGAAAGCTGCCTGTGAATATTGTTGTGCAGTATTGTGATATAGAAAACAGAAAAAGGGGAAATATGAGTGCGTGTTTACTTTACTGCTGCATGAAATGCTCTATATTAAAACTATATTCAGTGTAGGGAAGAGTGGGGTAAGATGAGCCATTTTTCATATTTTGGATCACCACATCAAGGCAATCATAGTTTTGTCTTTAACTGAGTGTAAACATAACTATCTTGATAATATAGCATGCCAAAGAAGTGGTCTCCTATGGTCCACTTACCCCCTGTATGGGGTAAGTTGACCATAGGAGCAGGGTAAGTTGAGCCGTATCCCTACTACAACAAATTTAAAATGATCTTTTTTGGTTTGAACACAAGTCTAATAAAACTTGTGACAGGCTAAAGTCACTTTTAAGAGTGAAAAATGTTTTTTTTTTAAATAAATGTCTAACCTCTTCACCCATGTGCTTCTAACCTTCACAGACTCCATGAAATGATGCCCATCTCCTAAATATTTGGTCACATGATCAATTTCTTTTACCATTTCCAAGCAACAGGGGGTGGCTCAACTTACCCCACTCTCCCTTATGTAAAATAAAGCCCATGAAATATACCATATGCCATACTAAAATTTCAATTACAAATTAAACTACCTGGTCTGTTTTACATTCACAAAAACACACCAGTGTAATCAATGGCCTTCATTTCAGAACCAGATAACCACAGTTACTCAGGAGTCCCATGGCACCTGAGAAGTAGGCCACACGCCTTTAACGCCTAAGTTTCAGCCAGTCTGTCTCTGAAGTTCTCCTTCTCCTACTCAAAATTGTTTATTTTTCCCTTTTTCTCCTCCCGCTCTAACCCCCTCCCTTTTCGTTTCCTCTCCATCCTTGCGTCATTGTTTTGAATGGAGCATCCTCCCGGCTTGCGTTACCTTCTGGTGGAGGAGAAGGGGGGAGCGGTGGGGGCTTGTGGAGGCGTGTGCTGCGCCGACCAATCGTAGCTCGCCTATGCCGCTGGACCGCACATGTTTACAGGCAGCATTCCGCCGGTAGAGGCTCTGCACGGTCGGAGCCGCACACGGACTGGATAACACGAAACGCGGATCTGGAGTCACCGGAGCGTCGTGTTTTTAACCGTTTTCAGCGTCTGTCGATGGATGACAGCGAACACGGTCGAGCAACGTCAATTTACTCGACGAATTTTCTTCTTCTCCTCATAGTTTAGGTTGTATTTTCGCGCAGGGACCGATATCTTGCCGAATCGTGTACAAATGTCATTTCGGTTCCTGTAAGTGACTGGCTCCGTGTTTTCCCCCTCTCCTTCAGCTCGCAGGGAGCAGTGAGGAAAACAAACAGGTCGAGCGGTGGAAGATTGGTAGCCGGTTGGACGTTGAGGTTGTGAAGCGGCGAATGAATCGTTTTCGTGTTGTCGGTTTATTGCGGGGTGCTAATTCAAATTTCTTCCTAACGGTTTTTTGGTGCTTTTTGAGTCCGGTGCGTTCAAGACGCTGTCAGGAGTTCTCGCCTTCTGAGTATGTTGCCGCTTTCTAACATTTTACCAGGGCTGTTGGAGCGCGTAGTCGACCCGCTGCGGTTTTGTGTTTTCCTTCACGTTGTTTACCGGTTATAATTCGACGTTTGGCGGTTTAAACTCACCGGTTCGCCGGTTTCAGATTCGGTTAATCGGTTTCGAACATGCATACGAGGCGTTTGGTGAAGCGGTCGATCCTCGGCAGCCGCATTTATGCGCCGAGTCCGACGGGGGACGGTGCCCCGGTGACAGGAGTGGTCCAGGCGGTGAAGCAGGAAAACAGAGACGTCTCTTCGACCGCGGCAGGAGCCCGGCGCAGCGTCTACACCGTCCTCATGCAAGACGGAAGCCTCAAGGAGTTCACCGAGGAAGAAATAGCGGCTGGGTTTAACCATTGTGCAGCCAAAGGACCGCTCAAATCCAGCTTAAAGGTGTGTGTGTATGTGTGTCTGTGTATGTGTCTGTGTGTGTGTGTGTGTGTGTGTGTGTGTGTGTGTGTGTGTGTGTGTGTGTGTGTGTGTGTGTGTGTGTGTGTGTGTGTGTAAAGCGCCCCGGCCGGCAGTCAGGCGGCGCTTCACTGTTGTTGTGCGGTGTTTTGCAGCGTTTAACCGCTTCATGCATGCAGCGGACTCACCACTACCGCTGCTGCTGCTGCTGCCGAAGCTCATTGAAAATTTACACAGCTGTGGCAAAAACACCATGATTTAAAACAGAAAAGGTGCATTTTTCGCATGCATATTGTATTAAATAACGGACTGTCATGACATTTGGTGACATCAGATATACGGGACAAAGGGCTTGATAGGGCCTGCGCAATGTTTATGTGGGTGGGTAAGCCGAGGCAAACAAACACGCTGTGACTGCAGCATTTTGGACCAATGTAGGGAGCCGGTGTGCGCTTTTCACATAGATTTCAGCTTTTACGCATCACATTTATACCATAATTTTGCACACCTCATTTTGATTGCACAGTTGCATGGAAGGATGTGCAAATATTTTTGGACATTTTCATTGATTGATAATGCAGCCAATGAGGGGGGATACTGTATTGCAATATTCCTCTCATTTTTGTTGTTGTTTATAAAAAAGAGAGTGATGGGCTTCTTGGTGCATTGAAGAGCAAATAGGGGAGTTTCAATGATGCTCAAATTTGGAGTCGTGATTTTGGGCCTAATTAGCAGTGACCTAATTGCTTTCATATCCAACTTGTGTGCTGTGTTGTCACATGGTCACAGATAAAGATTGTGTAAGGAAAAAGGAGCCAATCCAGCTCTTGGGATAAAATCACAGTTTCTGGCATTGGGGAGTGTGTGTGTTTGTCTCTGTGAGAGTGTGTGTGTGTGTGTGTTTTCTGTCCTTTTTTTAGAGAGGGAGTGACTGAGGAAAGCATGTGACTGAATAATGGCTTGTTTACGGCCTGATTTTAATCTGTTTTGAATGATGTGGTTTCGTGCCTCCTTCTATATATCATATGTGTTATTGATGAGGTAATCTACAGGCTGTAATTGAGTTTTATTTCTGTCACCAAAACGGAAATGTTCACTCCACTCTGCGTTACCACACATGCAGGACTGCTCACATTTCCTTTATGTAAATGTGAGATATGGGGAGGGTAAACACTTGCAGCTGCAATAATGTCAAAGAGACGACACAGCTAAAAGAAATAACAGTGAAAATGCAAACTCAACTTGAGTCCTGTCCTCCTGTTTTGCATTTGAGGATCTGGGCATGCAGTTTTGCACTCACAAAAGCTGTTGCACAATGCAGTTACAGTCACCGGTGCAGGCTGGAGTGGTGCAGCTGGGGCTGAGAGTGGAGTCCTGTCAGCACAATGGTCAAGTCTCTTTCAGCACTCGGTTCCCACTGAGGTCGAAAACAAGCCATAAAACGAGGAGGAGGGGTCTGCTGTGTGTTTGTGCTTGTGGATTCACATGTGCCGCTTTTTGTGTGCATGAGTGTGTAATAAAGTGGGGTTGTGCTTACATCCATATGTGTTTGTTAAATGAGGTAGAGCTGGCTACTTTAACATTTAGAAGTGGGGGTTGTTTGTGAGGGTATGCTGCCCCTGTCTCAGCAGCAGCTGCACAGCTAACAAAGCGGGCACCCCCAGTTGGCAATGGGTGGCATGCTCCAAAGAATCTGGATGCTTGGCTCAGTGCCCAGAATGCCCCCTGTTTTGGATTTGAGGGGAGTAGGATACCACTTGTTGACTTGTTGGTTTGTGCAGTGTTACACAGATCCATGGCTGCTAACTAAGAGGCGTTCCATGCTTTTGTGTCGCTGTCTTTTTTTGTCGTCCTTGCAGTTGTTTATGTTTATCGTATGGCATCGTGGGAGTCAATGAAGCAAGCTTGTTGACAGGAGCTGAGTGACTCTTTGTTCAGAAGCGTTGGTCCCAGGCAGGCCGGCGTCGGCTGTCCTTATTGGTTGGCTGAGCAGCATCAGCATGAAGCAAAGTGACCACAGGGTCAAGTCTGGATTCTTTTCCCCCCATGCTAATGTATGAGTAATCTGTTTGAATAAAGGAGGTTTGTGACTTTGTGCAAGTGTTTTGCAAGCTGCAAACATACAAGTACGATTCAAACCCGTTTTCTTAGATTCCTTTTTGTCTTATCTTGTTGATTTCTTTGTCTTATTAGCATTTCTGTCTCTATTAAGCCAGAACACTCAAATCACATATTCTGATATTCTGAGTCACTGCTGAATTTCAATTCTTAATTATTATTGTTCACAATTTTGATCGCTTATTAGAAATTTCTTTATTTGCATTTCAAAACAGTGTGTTAGACAATTCAACAAAACAAACAATAACCCCTATGTTAAGAGATGCATCCTGTCTCCATCCTGGACCCTAACCACAGGTCTCTGTGCACACTTTTGACTTTTTAATTGAGTTGTTTGCCTTAAGTGATACTTAAATTCTACTATTTCAAGGTGGGATGCTTACGCCCTTGCTGTAACCCACCTGCAGTGTGCAATGCATGGAGGTGTAACTGTGGGGTGAAGTCGTTCTGCCTCTGATCCTTCCCTGGAGAACAGAGCTAAAGTAGCCGAAAGAAGGTGGTAGTATGTTGCGGTGGAGCTGACAGGGTGGAGCCAGTGTGTTCCTATGCCCACTGATATTGACAATAAGCAATTTTACTTACACAGTTAAGTCCAGGTAATTGTGATTAGACAATTCAGCTTTACAAAGTCCAGTTTAAGTCAGAGTAAAGCAATAAATAAATATTTTTGAACATAACGTAAATGCACTGATAGTGGTGGCAGAAAACACTTACTGTCCAAAAATAGTGTTTTATGTGGAAGTTGCAAAAAAAAAGGTTTGTTTCTGCTAGGGCTGGGCGATAAAACGAAATTTTATCGATACCCAAATTTACGACAATAAGAGACGTAATTTTTCCTTTGTCAATGTATTTGGTGTCAAAAAAGTAAATAAATAAAAGTTGGTTTTGGATGTGTGTAGGTAGGCTATGGTCTCGTGTCCCTTTAAGACGCCGCCCTACATCGGAAATGTCACTTCACCCTATCCAGTAACAAAGAGGGAAAGACAGGTGAAGAGATGGAGGACGGTTCAAAAGTTGTAGCGGCTGGAGCAGTGCTGAAGAAGACGAAGTTAATATGAAAGGGAGTGAGCAGCTTGTGGAGTAGTTTCATCCATTTATCATTATCAAGGTGAACTGCTCAATATATTGTGATATTGATTTGAGGCCATATCGCCCAGCCCTAGTTTCTGCAGTTGCTTAGCTGACACCTACCCCGCTCACTCCAGTTTCAGACATCAAAAATGACAACTCAAAACTTGCAGTTTTGTTGGTGATAGTCTTATTTGCTTTAGTTTACCATAAGAAAACATCAATTTGAATTTCAGTCCTTCTTATAAACATCTAAAAACTCCTTACAGGAGCTTTAAACAACAAGAAAAGTTACTGTCAGGCTGCAAACATGCAGAATGAGTCTTGTTTTATCATTAACACCCCTAATCCCAACTGTTTTTACTCAACTTGTGAATACAAAAACATCCTAGCAACAAAAGCCGCACGAGCTGCGAGACTCAGTCTGCTGAGATTTTATGGCGTTTGGTCCATGGGATTCAATTTATGGTCCATGTCAGCTTGCTTTATTATGACCTTTGACCCACAAATGTTCAAGAATCTTTACGCTTGACAAAGTGCCCAAAGCGAGCAGGTTATGAGTTTCCCTGCGTTAGTGAGTGGGAGAGAGAAAGAGGAAGATAAAGTGGGGGGAGGAGGAGAAGGAGGGTTTGTGCGCACATACACACTAGGTTTGACACATGGAGCTCAAATTTCACAACTGATTTGGAATGCTTCACAATTTCCTCGCTCCTTGAAATGCCATCATTTATAAGCCGGGTAAAAAGACGGTATCACCGTTGGTTTTATCCCACAAGTCCACCCTTCCCACACACAATACCTAATCTTCCCCTGGCGGGTGTAATCCATCTTGTTGTTTTACCCAAGTTTGCGTCCTCACGGAGCATTTATGTGCACCACTGAGTGCTCATGCGACCGGCCTCCATCATGAGGGACACTGTATACTCGTTTCTCATGTTTGTTTCTTACCTCATTAATCTGAGTGTACATTGTTTTGCTGGTGTTTGTGTGCATGTTGTGTGAGTGATCGACTAGAGTGCCATCGCCGTTTCCACAGTCAAGCCTAATCGTGTTACAGCCGTTTGAGATAATGATCTAGATCACACACAGACACAAACAAACACAGGGGCCAACATGCTCAGTTGGTATTTAGCCATGTGAGTGTGTGTGTGTGTTTGTGTGTGCGTTTCTGTGTGTGTGTGTGTGTGTGTCACCTTTTGTTTTTGAGTTTGACAGGAGTCTGATTGTCTCAACTGTGCATGTGTCCGTGTGTGTTCATGAGCGCGTAGGTATGAGCAGGTAATGGTGTGAAGAAAGATGTCATTGGTTTCTGTATGTTGTGTAAGAGAGCCGATGATGTTGTGCGGTCTTTTTTTTCTTTCTTACTTTGGTACAGGTAGGCGTTTTCAGAGCGCTGTGATAAGAGAAATGCTTTTCTTTGTTATCGCCTGTGTGTCAGTGAATCCTTCTTGTTGGTAAGTGAACGTGTTGCAGGTGATGTTCAGAGCAGCACTGGATTGACTCTGAAGGGATGAAACAGATCATTGCACATACTTCTGCCTTTATCGATCAGTTTAATAGAGGCTGCAGCATGGATGTATCACTGTTACTGTATCACAGCACCCATAGTAGGGGTTGGAATTACCAGTGACCCTACGATACAATATTATCGCGATACTTGGGCCATGATACGATATTATCAGGATACTTAGGCCACAATATGATATTATCACAATACTTAGGCCACGATACAATATTATCACGATACTTGGGCCACAATACAATATTATCACGATACTTGGGCCACAATACGATGTTATCACAATACTTGGGCCACGATATGATATTATCACGATATGATATTATTGCGATTTTTAACATTTTTCAATACAGTGAATATTGCGATAAATATATTGCGATTTATAATTTTTTTTAACTGTGTAGCTAATTTAGCATTTGCCTTTCCTTTATGTTTGTCTTATTGACACTGTATTTTATTTTCATGTAGCACATCTTGCAAACCTTTTATGTATTTGTGATACTAACTTTCTCCTGTTCCCTGATGTCACCTCTGCCAACCTCACTGGACAAACAATTGATTTTATTTTTCCATTATTATAGATTTGACTTCATATTAGCAATTAATTTGAAGAAATTGATACTCGGTAAATGAGACAATACGATATATCACGAGACAAAATATCGAGATACTATGCTGCATCGATTTTTTTCTCCCACCTCTAACCCATAGGCTCATGCACATTCCCTAAACACTGTTTAAGAAGTGTCACTTTTCTATTCAAACTAAATGTAGATCAATAGTTCTTGTACCCAGGGTCTGCAGTGCGAGACATTTTCTGCATCAGCTGATTGGAGATGTCCGCCTCTCAGTCAAAAATAGTTTAACTTTTTGGAAAGCGCTGCACTGCACAATGAAATTAAACAGTAAGCACTGTTGAGAAGCACTCTGAAATTGAGATCGTGGGCACAGTCAGCACAAAAAAACACCATAAGTGGACCCGGTCTCTTAAACTTTGATGCTTTTTGGTAATGCATAATTACTTCCTGTAGTTCTAGTGTCCTTACATCTGGAATGAATGGCTGTTTAGTAACTTCTGAGATTAAATATAGCTTAAAATCCTGAACCTAACCTTTGCACCCTTGACATATTTGACTGACACTGTAGCTTTTTACAAAGAGGCTGAAGGTCAGACTCTGCAAGCACTCCTGACCAACAACAATAGGCTTCAAAACATGACAACAATGGGTGATCTCACCAATACTATGTCCATTTATCATACCGTCTATGACTGGAACATGTTGGCAATTTGAAATATCAACACGAATTAACTCAGAATCTGGGTTACAGCGTGAACAAGAGCCCAGACCTTTATTTTTAAGAATCGAGTCATTTCCTTTTTTCCTTTAGACGTGTTATCACATGAGAAAAAGCTTATCTCTTCATTTCACAGCTTTACTCCTTCCTTTTTTAGCATTCCTACTGTCCTATGTCTGCCATCCAAGTATTGACCTATTCATCTTTGCTTCCTCTCCAGCAGAGCTCCAGTAACGGCTCTTCAGAGAGCCAGAAGGCTGAAGGCGGCTCCCTCAGCCCAGAGGCCGCCGAGGAGCTGCGGCTGGCAGATGTAAAGCGCATCGGTCGAGACCCTGACACCCGGTCAGTGTCCCTGCTGGAGCAGAAACGCAAAGTTGTTTCCTCCAGCATTGATGTCCCTCATGCCAGGTAGGACAGAGTCAATATGTATGTGTTTATGTGGGTGTGCATGTACCAGTTTCAAGCGTACCAGTCCCTTTGCTAGTGAGGGTTTGATTTGTATCCTAGAGGGAGTTTGGCTTGAGTTCAGACCCACAAAGTTCACTGAAGGTTTATGACACAGATATGTCATCTCATAAATAGGACAGAGATTATATGAGCTGATTTTTTAAAAAATCTAATCCTTGGAGCTATTTTGGCAGACCACTGAGTGCAACGTTAAATGACAGGAGTCCCCTTTGGTGCCATTACATATATGTTTATTTTCATTAAATGCCATGATGAGTGTTACGCTATATTAGTATTAATGCATTGTAAATCCAATACTAAAATGTCCTTGTTGTAAGATTTCATCCCTGTCCTCAGCCTGCAGAGTTTCTGCAAAATATCCCTCTTGGAAGAATCTGAAGTTGTTGCCTTCACTTGCTGAAGCAATTATGGTTACAGTCATTTTGGCATGCTGCTGGTGGTTTCCCACGTGGACTCAAGGCCACGATAGTCAGCTAACACGGAGTATTGCATCAGTTACCCTCCTGTGCGTCTTCCCCTGCTCGGTTAACAAAGCTCTGTGGAGTCGGACATTCTTTAACAAGAGATAAATTAAAAGAAAAACGCTCGAAATGTGTGTGGGAGAACAGCTTTTATGTTTTATTGGGAGGGGGGGTTGAATAATCCATCTGATCCTGCAGTATTTAACAGAGGGCTCTTTACAAATGAATTATTATGTTATGATGCCTGAGCTGTTCCCTCACACATTCAGCGATTTCTTGTTGCAACACAAATATTATTTCAAGGTGGTCAGCATAATCTGCCACAGAAGCTGGTCCACAACGGGGCAATTAAACATTAATAGGCAGCAGTGCGTGGCAGCAGAGAGCCATCTAATAAAGCAACAACACACTCTCACTAATAAATGTGGAACACTAATACGTTGTAAAGCACTGCACTTATTATCGAACATCACTCCCCATTACTCGTCCTTGTGCAGCTGAGGAAGCCCAATCAATGGCAACTTGCTGAAAACTGTAGTAAAAGTCGACTATTTGAGCCGCTTTATCACCGCACTCTGGCCCTGCTTTAAATTTAATAGTTATTTGCTGATGAGTCATTGATTTCCAGCCCTCTTGTTGCCTATTAAGAGGAAAAATCTCCTTTTAAACGGGATCTATCTCATGGATTAGACAGAAGTTTTACACCTGTCCCACCATAATTACCTCTGCAAAGGGATGCTGTAATATTGATATCCCTATGGTTATTGTGGAATGGCTTATTGATCATCTCTGTGCCGCTGCAAAAGTTGAGCTTGATGCCCCGGCTTAGGGATGATCACTTTATAGAAAGAGCTGCTGTTTATACTCTTAATGAGACCATCTGACACCCAGGAAGCCACAGGGAATGTCTTATAAATCAGATTTCACCCTCAACACACAATAATGTTGATTTAGAGAAACCTTGACCTTTCCAAAGCGCCACACCTTTTCAGTTATTAGTGTTTGCACATATTAAATTTCAATAAAACATCAGAGCTGTCACTACAGGTGATATTACAATAGAAATGCACCAGATAATTTTCTGTTTATTTTGCTGATCCAAACAAGTATTTATGATGCAGTCTGTTTTCCAGGGTCTCTCTCAGAAGGTAAAAACTTTACACAGCCTTTTTGTGTAACAGTTCACAGTGCATACAGCATAGTAGGGCTGGGCGATATGGCCTTAAATCAACGATATCACGATATATTGAGCAGTTCACCTCAATGACGATAAATGGATGATAACTACTCCACAAGCTGCTCACCTCCTCCCACATTAACTTCCGTCTACTTCAGCCGCTACAATTTTTGAAACTTCCTCCATCTCCTCACCTGTCTTTCCCTCTTGGTTACGGACTGGATGGGGTGGAGTCACGTCTCCGACATAGGACAGTGTCTTTAAGGGACATGAGACCTTTGTCTACCTACACACATCTTTTTTTGAGGTCCATCAAGCTTGGTTGGGATTTCAACTTTGGTGGTACCTGATGAGGTCTTCTTTTTGAAGGAAAAGGCCCCTGTTTTGGGTTTGGCCAAAATAAACCAACTTTTATTTATTTACTTATTTGACACCAAATGTATTGGCGAGGGCAAAATGACGTTGGTTATTGTCGTAAATTTCGGTATCAGTAAATTTTCAGTTTATCGCCCAGCCCTACAGCAGAGTCCACAATTTGTTGCTCTCGTGCAGCCGTGTAACTCCTTCTTGGACCATCTGTTCTCTCAGAGTTTGCAGTCCTGCTGGTTCACAGCAGAACTTTGAGAGTGGTGAGACACAGATCCACTTCCTGCAACCTTTTGGCCTGAGGTCATGCCATTCACCCCCACAGATCACTGGGGAGTATTTTCAATCTTTCTAGCACTCCATGAGGTTTATTTTTATAACAGTACATACCTGTCTTCTTCCAGTGCATGCCTATGACCCAATGGAAATGACAAAAGACAGGGGCTCGTTCTTACTCCTGTCTGGTTGCATGCTGTACTGGTTCAAATATTGCAACACAATAAAACCTCTCAAGATAATTTTAGTAACCTTTAAAAGTAAAGGCTTTTTCCTTGAATGGGATTGGAGGATTGGACAATGCATGGCAGGAAAATGGAAGAAAAGAGCAGGAATTACATCCTGGAAAGAGCATTAAGTCCATGGCCGACCACTTTAGGACTGCAGCCCCTTCATATGGAGTGCATGATTTAACCACTAAACCAAACTGGTAGCTTGTCTCCTTTAAATGTACACTGTTTTATGCAGAGATCCAGATTTGATTATACTACAAAAATCGTCAGCCTGAACCTGTCACAATAATCAGGGTCAGGTTTGGTTTGTTATCAACTAACTTTGTTTGTTTGCTTTTGCTGATATAAACTGAGCATTATGTCTTTTCTGTATCTAACATGTAAACATAAATCAGGCGGATATTTAGAGTTCACTGCCTTTGAAAGAGCCAAATATATACAGTACATGTATGTGTGTATACAATCATTGCATAACATTTGCAAATGCTGGGGTGTGTTTATATAACACTGTCCAATTTTATTATCAATGTACTCTTTATTATCTCCTCAGTTTTTGGCTTTCAGTGTAGATTTGATAACCGAAATGAAAGAATAGAGAAGGCTCAGTTTTTTTAAAGGTTCAAAGTTCGATCATACTCTTTTATCACATGTGTCTTTTTTGAGGTGTCCTCAGAGTTCAGGTCAGCCGGTTCGCCCCCTCTTAGCATCAGGTCTTACATGTGTTAATGAAAAGTCCAATTTCTTGCCAGGAGCACAGACTTGGCATCTAATTATTTTGTGTGTCGCACTTCAAAGCCCGGTCCTCAGAAACCCGAGGATCTATTGTGCTCGTCGAGTGCTGAATCAGACCAGCTGAAAAACCCACAGACCTCCAGAAAAAAATAACCCATTTTTTGTCCAATTCACAAAGTGGACTTGCACAATGAAGAACATGAAAAGTTATCTCAGGAGCAGGTATGATATCTCTACAGTAACCTCCTCAGCGCACACAGAAGCCTTATTGCCTTGAGATTAAGATCCATGGCTCTCATCATCTGCACACCTGCGACTGATTTTCATCCCTGCTCCGCTCTGGGGAAGAAATGGTGTCAGCAACGTCCACAAAGTAGCGTTTATCTGTAATGAAGACAAGCGGAGGGAGGAAAGAGGCTTGGAGGCATGGCGAGGAGAAGAAAAAAAGGGGGACTAAGGAGGAAAACGAGTGGAGGAAATGAATGTGTGTAGAGAGGAGGATAAGAGTGTAAAGGAGATAGAGAGAGCATGTGTAGCCGAGAGGATAACAGCAAACGAGAGAAGAGAGAGAGAGAACGCCTGAGGATTTTTTTCAGAGCTAACTCTCTAGAGAAGTCTGACCTTGAGGTTGTTAATTGCACTCTCAAAAGTTCCCCTCGACGCTGGTGATTTACAGAGAAAATGTCTGGCTGTTTGATGGCTCTCTAGGTCCCCTGTAACCCAGATAGAATAGGTTTTCTTACCTCAGTTGGGGGTGTCACTGAAGTACCCCCGATGCCTTGTCTGCAATCATTGGGAAAATAGAGGAAAAATGACATAGTGCTGCATAGATGTGAGACCTCGGGGGTTTTGTGTCGCTACATTTGAAGGTTCTGCCAGCTGGGCCCGGGTCTCATTGCTTTATTGAGTCGCCACCTTCATTGTATGTTTACAGCACATTTACTTCGCCAGCATTTCGTCACTTTTTTCTCTCCAGAAATCAATAGCTGTCATTCAGCGATTGACCTGTTTTCTGACAACGGCTCAGATTCCTCGTTCCAGAACGAATGTTTATTTTTTTTCATGAAATGTTGAAATTCGTTGCGTTTCAAATGAAATACAGGAATTACGATCCGTCTATGCCGTATTTATCGTCTGATTCTCCTTCAGCCAATGCTGATCTCTGCTTGTTGTCAGACTGTGCTCTCAACCAGCTGCTGGGCCTTCTCCTTCCTCCCAGGGCTTATGTTTTCTCCACGCAGGAAACAGTCAATTGTAACAAGAGCTGGCGGGGGCAGACCGCTGGAAACGAACGGCTTGGCTTTTGACAAATAGCATTCGGGAGACTAATTGCTAGCAGGGGAAGTGAAGTATAACCTTAGTTGAAGGGGAAATCAAGAGAGTGCTCAGCTTATTATTGCTAAACCTAAAACCAACAGATCTGAGAGTTCAAAAGTCTCGCCAACAATCATCCATTCGGTCTTTTCTAGTATGAATAAATCAAGGTTATATACTTTTCTCTTTACGGCGTTTTGTGATGTTGTTCTCATCCCCGTCCAACTCGATACCCGTGTTTAATTTGATTTATTGAGAGCAGTCCACATCACTGTAAATAAAACCAAAAAAGCTTGTGGGGGTTGAGTGGGACTGACTTCAAAATCAATCCCGTGCCAAAGAAGAACCGTTTGTTATTGTTAATGATTTTTATTGTTGATCAGTGTGTTTGCAGATCACCCAGTTCACTGCTCTGAGCCAACCATGTGTTCCACACTCTCGGCCCGGTGCATCGGCCAACTCTGTCGTGGATTAGGGCCAAACGCTCCCTATCCTGCCTAAAAAGAGGTCCTAAATGACTGTCAGATTAGCGTTCGTCTCTTGATAAAGATGCACGGCTACACGTTCTGTTTGTTTTTCTTTCTGTCAGCGGTTTTGTTTGTTTTTACGGTCAATTTTTACTTTTTTGGAAGACTGTAACCAATCCCGCTTCTTTTTTGCACAATGTGTTTGTGTTTGTGGCGAGGGAGAGGTTTGAGTTTCGAAATGAGGGAAAGGAGGGCAGGATGGGCTGTGTGTGTGTGTGTGTGTGTGTGTGTGTGTGTATGAGAGAACTCTGGTTTCTCCAGAGAGAGAGAGAGGGAGAGAGTGACAAAGAGAGAGAGAAAAGGAGGGAGAGAGATACTCAGCGTTTGCCAAAGAAAACAGTTTTCCTGGTTTGGATGCCAGTGGAGTTCAGAAACCATGCGATTACCATCTGAAAAGAGAGCTCTCATGATCTCCTGCTTTCTCTCTTTTTCTCTCTCTCTCTCTATCCACTCACTCGCTCGCTCAGACTCAGTGTACTTTTATCTGATTGAGCACTAGAGTTTTTTTTTTGCCACAACTTGCTTCACCAAACTAAGTTTTTGAGTGAAATGTCTTGTGAAACCGTATCACAGCAGCCTAACCGCCCTCGGATAAAAATATCTAACAGTAATGCGCTTGTATGTTTTTCAAAAAGAGGATGTTGCTTCACATTTGAACAGGGTTCCTGTTTTTCAGCAACAACACAGGTTCACCAAACCTTGCAGGATTTTCCATCTGAGCTTTTCCATGCTGTTTTGTGAGTGTAATTACGAGAGAAAATTGGAAAACATCAGCTTGAAATGATCAAAATAGGACATTTGTGCAGGCGCCAAAGTAGACCCCTATCCAAAATTTAACAAAGTTTTCATAATTGGATACACTGTTGCCTGGGATTTAGTGCAAAATCATCTTGGAATATAATAAAAAAGTCAAGGTTTTTACTTTGCAGCATCAAAAATAAAGGTTTGATTTAAAAACAACCTGATCAATGATCTTCAGGCAGGCTTTAAAGGGATTTATAAAAACGCACAGATTTAGCCACCATGAGCTCATTACAACAGGTTGTTTCAATGCCCCGAGGCCCTGATGGGATCAAACTGATGTTGTTTTTAATCCGGGCTTAAGAACCGCCAGAAGGGGCCGAAGTCCTGATCATGAGAGGTCAAAAAGTCTGCCATCATTTTCAGGTATCATCATGTTTCCGAAGCAATCTGCAGTTTCTTGAAATTGATCATGAGGTTCCAGAAATGTAGCAGCTTAAAGTGTGATATGATCACATTTTAGTCAAGGTTACACAATTATTCAAGTGTGCACGGCTTTAATATCCATATGAGTGCAGTATAAGTCAGGGTAATGCAACAAAATGAGATCTACTTTATGAGGAGGTACGAGGAAAAAAGTGAGACAAAGGCCCTCGTTTTAAATGGTGGTCTATGGGAATAATTAAAGGAATATTCAGAGTTTTTTTTTTCCTTGTTCAGCCCCATTTTGGCTCCTTTGATTCACAGTTTTCATGAAATGTCATAGATTAAACACAACCTCAATCGATTGCACCGAATCTCTAATCTCAGATGCAATAGTCGAGTATCCATAGTTCCAGCCCTCCCTGCTGTTAACTCCGCTTTAGATTCATCCCTCACAGACTAATCAAAGGCAAAGCCCTCACTCTTTGTCAATATCTAGGCATGCCAGTGGGAGCCTCCTCGGGTCTGACCATGTTGGATCATTCTCCGAGTCCTGGCTCCAGAGAAAACCACCACCTGTGATGCTGCAGGAGCGCAATTGTGAGTTTAAATTTATATGCAAATCAGCCCTTTAATTAAGTTCTTAATATCAGTGAGTGCGAGTTGGGGAATGGTTAGCGGTGGATTAGTAGACAGTTGGCCTAAATTCACAACGTTTTTTTTTTGCCAAAGCACTGGACTGAGGCAAGCCTGTGCGGGCAACGCTTGTCTTCATTGTGATCTCCATCCCTGAATTATTTTCACTTTAACGGCAAATGACCGCAGACATACCAGAAAGTTTATACATCTGGCAGGCTAATTACAACATCAGTTATCAGGAACACTTAGATTACAGCGACATCTGCACCATTTTTCTCCTGTGAAGAGATTGCTGTACGTTGTTTAAACAAAATGCATCACGCTTGCCCTTAATCTAAATCCAACACCCTAAAAGTTGATGCTGATTGCTTTGACGCTAGCTGTGGAATTGACTCATCATGTGAAACATTCATTTTGAAGCCATCATCAAAAATCTATTTGCGGTTATTGATGTCTTATATAAACATAACGCTGCTTCTCAGGAGTTTGAAGACCCTTTATGACTGTCGAGGGAGCGTACAAAATGTGTTGGCCTGACAGCTCCAATTTCATGAATCAACGGATGAATCAATCTAAAGCTGCAGAGAGAATGTCACTGATATGCTAATTCGTCATACACTGCTGCTGTTGTGTCTTTAAGGTAGTGGTCGGTTCAATAATTCCCTGCACGTTATCCATAGTACACAGTGAAGCGCCTCAGAGCCGATGTTTATGTGACAGTGGGCCCTGCTGGACCTCCGCTGCCTCCGACTAATCCATAGTCCCCGGCTTTAATGGACTGATGGCACAGAGTGCTACAGGACAAAAAGTCCTAATTGATTCTATCGACGGACGTGCATTATGGTCATCTGTGGTATATACGAGGTGGGACTAATTGACGGCGGTGTCAAGTGTCGCACATTGTGTCCAAACAAGCACTAATGAGGTGGTGAAATTATCAGGAACATCCATTTTCTTCTGTATAAAGGGAGTTTGACGCTTTGTGGCTGGTTTAATTAGCAGGCCAAGTTAAGGTCGCCTTTTGAATCAATGAGGAAATGTTTTTACATTGAGTATATGAAGTTGGACAATACCTACAAAAATGAACCATCACTTAATTGATGTTGACAGTGACAGTAATAAAAATTGTCTTTATACATTATCTCTAATTTAAGTTTTTACCGAGCCTTCTTACTAATTACACATCTATGTGAGATACCCTATTATTATTTCTGAATAGCAAGAGCAATTCACATTTGAGTATCACATTTGGAGAGTTAATGATCTCACCTTTCTGTTCACAATGTGGCAAAAAACTGAGAAAATTTTTTATTCCGGTTTATCTGCGTTAATGGCGGATCAGTCAGGGGGAAAAGAGAGAAAATATGTTACCGAATTTTTGGATTATCAAAACACTTCAAGAAGTGAGAAAGAGAGACATCTAACAAATTGAAGAAAACTGACAGCACTATGGTTTCACATTTGGAGAGCTAATGATCTTACCTTTTTGTTCACAATGTGGCAAAAACGGAGAAAATTTTTCATTCCGGTTTATCTGAGTTAATGGCGGATCAGTCAGCGGGAAAGAGAAAAGATGTTACTGTATTTTTGGATTATCAAAACACTTCAAGAAATTAGCAAGAGAGACGTCTAACAAATTGAAGAAAACTGACAGCACTATGGTTTGGGCTTTGATGCATCTGTAACAAATGTCAGCAGAATAAAATATAAATGTTGAGACTAATCAAGTTCAGTGTGAGAACATTCAGTTCTTGAATGTTGCATGTTTGTTGCGCATGAGGAAAAGACACAAATCTTGAGGACAGAATGAACAGCACTAAGATCATGAGCTGAAAAATTATGCACTTCCTCTCTTGATTTAATATTAATATCACCGTACAGACCCAGGCCAAGTTTTGGTTTGGGGCAAAGACAAAGTGACACAGCGGGGAGATGACGCGCCTCTCAAGTGTAACCCATTAAAAAACAAACTCAGCCCTGCAGACGTACCTTCTCCCCGTATCATTTCTAATTATGGCCATCAATTTGGAAGCTCCACTGACCTGTCTGTTTTTGACTTATTGATATCCGTCAGGCTGACAGGCTTTATTAATTAAAATGGAGATGTACTAATTAAGAGCACGGCATGAGGGTGTCATAATTGTAGCCCTGTTTTAATTTGAGTGTCGCTCATCAATTTTATCGCTGTTTAGCAGAGTGGGTGCGGCGTGACGGAGGGATGGGTGAGGCGGGGCGGAGGTGCCCTCATGTGACACGTATGCGCGTGTGCAATTGCCTGTGTTTGCTAGCCGTCATTAGATAACACTCCAACATGCCACTTTGCCGATAGTAAGCACAGCCTGCTCTAAAGACCAGATGTCCTAATGACTTCCTTTCTTTGTCCATGATGGTTTGCATGAGAACATTAATTATTCTTCCTCATAATCCAAGCAGATAAGAGCAAATTAAATCAAAGACCAGCCAATCCAGCGTTGAGCATATCAGCACATGGGAGGGCAACATGGGAGCATATTTGTAATAGGGGAGGCCGCACTTTTAATCGATTCAGGAGCTGTATCAGTTTGACAAAAAGATCCGACAAATCTGTTTTTGTGCGCTTCAGCAACTCTTCTCAGTTTCATGCTGACACATATTTTAAAAGGGAACAATGTGATCCTCCCATAGGGTCCCTCAGATGAGAGTCTGTTCTCAGGACTTGGATGGAAACATGGAAAAAAAAAAAAAAGCTGCGAGCTCTGCAACTGCCAAACAGTTTAGTGTTTCTTTTTTAGTATCATTCAGTCCATCTGTGCACCAGAGTACTGGATTGTATGCTTGTGCGTTTATTCTAATATGTATGTCTGTCTGTGCAAAGATGTTAACACCCAAGTGGAATGGATCTAGTGGTTTCGTATGATTAATATACCAGCCCTGCCGTATTACTCACCACTAGTGGCATCGCTCTCTGTCTCCGATGCTGAGAGTGCCCCCCCCTTTCTGAGTCATTCCAGGTCAGACAACAGGTGTCGCTGCCTTCCCTACAAGTGTTGGTTTGTGCTGCTGCTCAGGCAAATCTCGCATCTTCCCACAATTCCTCAGGGTCCTTAATGCAGAGTCAAGACTGCATTCAATCCTTTCAGTTGTCTAGTAGTATTGACTCTCGAGGAAACACAATATGGCTTTGTCTGAGCCGATACCAATAGCCTACCTTACCTCTGCTGGCTGGAATGTAGAAGATCGATCATTTTAAAAAACATTTAAAATGTCAGTATGCGCCTCTGTTGCCCGATTTGGCTAAATGAGTTAACATGCGATTGATGGCATGCCCCTGTTGTTACTATGTACTCACCAAGTCTGACTAAAACACAAAAGAACTTTTTTGACCACAAACCAGAGCTCTCCTGTGCAGACAGTCACACTTTTTTGATGTTTAAATCTTCAGCCACTGAGCCATCACACCAAGCATACTTAATTGACTGATGTCAAACATCCGTAAGTCTATAGTAAAAACAATGTCAATGACCTTATGGTCAATCAGATTGTGAATAATGCAGCGTTTCAGTTGTACTCTTAAGTCGGGATTTCCGAGCTCCGAGTCGGAAATTCATCTGGAACGCCCACCCCTGAAGTCGGATTTCTGACTCGGAAAGTTGGACGATCCTCACCAACCCTGACTTGACAACATTATTATCTAAGATGGCAGCGCAGTACATCAACAGTCAAGAGTAACAGTGCAAGCTCTCATAATGTATTATTCATTAGCACTTCTGTTTTATTTTTGTGAACTTAAATAAGGGGTGTAAGTTGTGCTGCCCAACGTCTGACTTTGAACTTGGTACTATGGTGTTTGTAAGAGTAAAATACTGTGTTATGCGTTGTTTAAAACTGGTATAGGTATCAACAACTAACAACAGTTGACAACAGCTGAAAATCATTAACAACAGCTAACAATGGCTAACAGTAGGCGTCCATCTTGGTTTTCCGACTTGTTTACTGGAACACCGTTAACTCGGGTGTAACGTCATTCCCAGCTCCGACTTCTGAGGTAACTGGAACGCAGTATAAGTGTGGGGATCACAGTATACAGAGCAGGTAGGGATACATCTGTTGAGTTGCGGCAACCCAGGATACTGTTTCAAATATGCCGTTAGATGACTAAATCCTCGGTCTTCTACCTTGGACTGAAATGGGTAACGAAGTGCTGTAGAGTCTGTGATTTTATCATGAATTGCTTTTGTGTTTATGGGTTGTCTTTGGCCACTGCTGCTCCATATTTCTTCAACATACCTTCAGTGCAATGACTCTTTTTTTCCAGGTGAGTAAAGAGTTGTTGTGTCAAACCTTGAGGTCTTATCTGAAACGCTGAAAAACATCAACATTGACGACTTCATTCATTACTCTCTACAGCTCGCTGCATCTTGTCAAAGGTGACATACGTGTTTATCCAGTGAAATCAAATGTGAGCGTACAGCAACAGCGGCAGAATACAGACAGAGGTGCCTTTGCGTGACCCTCACTTGTGTAATGATTCAAAAACATGATGCCTCCACCGCCGTTAATTCCCAGATGTGGTATGAAACCACCTTCTGGACTAACAGATGTATAAAAGATACTTACACCGCAGGAGAGGCTGTAATGTGTTTAGTGCTGTGGCTTGTAATTTCACCTCCAAGAGAGCAAAAAGATCATTTTCACACATGCAGCAATCATACAAACTGAAAGAAGACATTTCAGCACAGATCTTGTTTTTCTTGGCTGGAATGATTATTTTCTGACAGGAACAACATCTTGGCTGTTGGACATGCAGCATCTCAACAGTTGGCAATTTGCACAACACTATTGAATCCATCACAGAGTTAAATAAGCCAGACATTTAGTCCAAACTGTCCCGCAGATGTCTTTCTCTACAAAAAAGGACCTTATGTTGTGAGGCGGGAGCGATAAAGTTAATTGAAAGTTAGCCATTTGTTAGTCTGACATCTAACAGCCATCTGCCAGGGCTGATCTACATTAACAGTTCTCAAGCAGGACAACAGCAGAATATCCTTTTACTCCATAATCCAATAAGGGGTCTTTGGAGTCTCCAGTTGGATCTAAAGCTGAGGGTAGGCAGCAGACCTGAACAGTAAATAAGAGACGAGGCACTTCCAAAAGAAAATATGAAAGGTAATCCATCATCTGTCGGGTTTACGAACAGAACAGACTCATAAAAAAAGAACAGACAGCAGGTATTCCCATTCTTCCTTTCTCCAATTTTAAAGCATGTATCTCAATATCGGTGAAATAAAACTTTATTTCTCTTTTTACTCTTAAAAAAAGTTTCCTTTCCTGTTGTATCCGTCCAGTTGCCCTTGCTGAGCTCCAATTTCTGCTTTTCATTATTGTTCTCCGACTCTCCCTCAGAAATCATTATGACATTTAAAAGCCGGGGAAATGCACGAACCTCCTTGTGCGGTGCTGAAATTGCCAAACTTTTAACAGTGGGCCCCAGCTGCTTCGTCCCTATCTGTGCTAATTGGTCTTTTTCTCAGTTCATAGAAGCTTTCAAAGAAGAAAACGCTTTGATTGGTGCATCTCCTCGCTGTCGGTGGGCTGTGTAATACTCTATCTCTCTTTCACTCTTCCTCTTTGTTGCTGTCTTTGTTGTTTAAAAACATTAGTCGTTAGCTCCGCTAGCTTCTCCTGCTATGGGTGACACAACAACAGACTCCTTGTCGTGTTTGTGGGGCTTTTTGGATTGATACTGAGTTTGCATGTTGGTTTTGGATTTCATAGGACAGCTGGTACAGTTGCAACCTCATCCTGTGGAGAGAGTCTGCTAAGGCCGTCTCCCCTCTTCCTCAACACGCTCGCCATCATAACGCCGTTAATATCAACAAGGCGGTAGCTTGTTTGAACTATAGATCTGTCACCCCCCCCTCTCTCCTGCTCCCACCCTTTTCTGTCCTGTAAACAATGGGAGTCAGTTGCCACGGTCACGTGAACCACCAGCATCTGCAGACGAGCTTGTTATTGTTTTGATTTGAGTTCCACATGCCGAACTTGACTCCCATGTCAGCCGAACTCTGTGTGTCAGTGTGCGTGTCTGTGTTTGTGTGTGTGTGTGGAGTCATTTTAAGGGTTTTGGTCGGGTGGGACTGGAGTGTTCTGCCAAACTCAAAGGCTGCCTGGAGAACTTTGTGTTTTTCTGCATGTGTGTAGATCATAGCAGCTCTGGCAGCATTACCTCACTATGAGCCGAAAATGGATGTGTTTACCACGGGCTCCTCTTTCTCTTTCTCTCTTTTTTAAAGATCCCTGTCTTATTTTCTCTCTGGCAAGTATTCGAGACACACAGCACTGATGGAGGGAAACATAACACCCCATTAGACACACACACTCATAAAAGCATTTTCTGGAGTTGGGGTCTGCAAACATGAAATGCACAAACACATACATGCATGCATACATTCGGAAACACACACACACACACATACACATAACATGCTACACAGCCTCTCCATATAGCATGCATAATTCATGACCTCCCATTGACATCTATGTAAACATGGGTGCTTCCCTCAGCTGCTCTGCAGTGGGTCTTTGTCACAAGGGTTGGCTGAATTTAGTAAAATAGCTTCCTCTACTTAACTCCAACAACACACACTTCCACCCAATAACAACTTATCTCCAGGAAGTTGTTGTTTTAATCCTGCTTTGTGCTGTGTTGTGAGCTACTTAAAGCCACTTCTGAACACAGCTGTAGAGGTTTTTTTTTTTTCTTTTATTAGAGCATGTCCACGTTTATGTCGAGCCGTGCCACTTTTTGTTTATCAGCTCAGAGGAAAGCAGGTTTTTACAGCCAGTGTAACAGATTAGATTGGATCAGAGTCTGTGTTGTCTCTGTTGTAAGAAATAATATCTCCCTCCTTTCTTTCTCTTTTGTTTCTCCCACTTGCAGTCCACTCCTCTTTTCTCGCTGTTTATTCTTTTCTTTTGTCCATCTCTCTCATCAACCCCTTTTGACCACCAGCCCTCCCTCCCTTAGTGAACGCTATAAACCCCCTCCTCCTTCCTGTCCATATTTTACTCCCCTCTCTCCCTCCTGCTCTCACCTCCCCTGGCTCACTGTACTCTATCTTGCTTTCTCCATCTCCTCTTTCCCGCTCATTTTCCCCCTTCATTCCCCCATGATCAGTGTCCCCCCCCCACCCTCCCACACTCCAACTCTCCCTCTCTTCCTTTGTCTCCTCTCCCCACTGCCTTACTATGAATGCATGTGTGTTTTTCTATGACTGACAGAGAGAGATGTTAGCCCACTGCTGAGCTGTGTGTGCTGGCACTGTAGACCCGGCAGTGTGGCTAGCTAACACTAACATAGAAAACCAGCAGTGACAACCACAGTGAGACGAGTACAAGTTGTTTGTGTGAGCTTCCTCTGACAAACAACTTGGGTTTTAGTACCAGCGCCAAAGCTTTCTCAAAACTTGAAATCTTCCTCCACATTTCGTAAACGTCTCTATTGTCCGTTTCCATCCGGATAATCCAGTGATGTATGAAAATGTCGTAATTAATAACCCACATAAATTAACATGCAGCTTTCTCTTCATGCATACAGAGTCTCTACCCACAAACAACACCCCCACACACATTTCTAATTATGCACGCAGATATGCCAATCATTTGCAGTTAGCCCCCACAGGAAGGGTTAATGATCTGCACACAATCACACATTTACCAGTGATTATGATATAACCGGCAGACGGACAGGATAGAGGCATCCCCTGCTGGGTTTCATGTTGTTTACAATCGGAGTTTATTTGTTGTTGTTTACATTGTGATCGCAGGCAGTTGTGAGTGGAGATGCGCTCTAGTGTTGACCCACATCTTAAGCAACAATTGGCTTGAAATGTCTGTCAGCTCTCACATGGCTGCAGGGAGAATTGGCGCTGAAGAAGTACACCGCATACCGACGCTTGTACTCTGAAGGTGGGAGTGAAACTCAGAAGTCAACATATTTACGGTGCTTAGGGGGGTGTATTTGTGCTGTCTCCTGATAAATGGTGCTGGTAATTGGAGGCAAACAATCCGTTTGTAAGTTAAAGCCACGCTTTGTTGTTGTACAAAAAGAAGAGCCGGTAATCTTACTATAATGTGAAGGATTTGTGTCTGTGGGACCCATTGGTTATAAGGACATTTGATGTTTCTGTTGGCGTGTTTCTGCACGCTTCATCCACATGCTGTCTGTTCTTTTTAAAGTGTTTACAGGTTCGACGTTTTTTTTCTTTCAGTGCTGAAAACACCTTGACATGCACAGTGACGATGAGCAGTGGTTACCGCTCAATTTGGCGGCTTTAACCGGACTACTGTAACAAGCACAAGAAAGAATCAAACGGAATTATTGAACGAAGCATGTCCGCCTCTGCTGCAGTAGGTGGTGACATGTTCCCTTTAGGGTTGTTACTATTGGGTCCTGTCCCTTTTGAAATATTATGTATGAGAACAATCAACGTAACACTTAAGCAAGAGGTGAATGGGATATACTGCACGAACTAGTAAAACTGCGAGTTTTACAGCTCTTTACTGTTTTTTTTACAGTAAGACAGTTTTGTCTTTTTTAGATCATTTCTACGTTTCTTGAGGTTTTTTCTAGAGGTGAATAGGATATACTGGACAAACGGTGAAAAACTGTGCATTTTACAGCTCTTCACTGTTTTTTACAGTAGGTAAATTTTGTCTTTTATATATCCTTTCTGTGTCAATTGAGTTTTTTTCTAGAGGTGAATGGGATATTCTGTATGAATTAGAAAATCTGCGAATTTTACAGCATCTTACTGATTTTTTTACAGTAGGAAAGTTTTGTCTTTTTACATCCCTTCTGCATTTGTTGAGGTTTTTTCTAGAGGTGAATGGGATAAACTGTGCGAACTAGTAAAACTGCGAATTTTACAGCTCTTTACTGTTTTTTCACAGTAGGGAAGTTACGTCCTTTCTGTGTCGATTAAGTTTTCTACTAGAGGTGAATGGGATTTACTGTACAAACGGTGAAAAACCGTGAAATTTTACAGCCCTTTTCCTTTTTTTCACAGTAGAACAGTTTTGTCTTTTTGACATCCTTTCTGCGTTTGTTAAGTTTTTTCTAGTCAAGCAGTCATGCTATTCAACTTCAACTAAAAATGGTTAGCGCTAGCCTTTTTTTTCTGCGTGTCATGCCTCCAAAACCAGGTCAGAAATTAATTTAAATCTGGTATCTGAGCTTTTGCACACTTATGTTCAATTTATACTCACCAGATTACTTTAGCTCACTTAAGTGCCTCCTCTTAATACCAGCAGTTACCCAGCTTCTCTGGGTATGTAAACACACTACACATCACCTGTTTGCCTGCTCCTCCACTCTCCACAACAACAACAACAAAACCACATCAACAGCAGCGCAGGCTTAATGCCTCTTTGTCCCCAAGTGTCAGCTTTGATGGAGAATGTCCTGTCAGGCTGCACACAAGCAGGCAGCCCTCGCCGTGCGGTTGCTAACCGTTGCGTCAGAGGAGGCAATATTTTGTTAAAGTCTTTAAAACAAGGCCACGATTTGCATTTTAAAAACTGCTAAAACCTTTTTTAAAAAAGCCTGTATTGATTTACATGTTTGCACGCTTTTGGCCGCCACATAAAAAAAAACAACAAAAAAAAAAAGTGTCCTATTTAGCGGCTTTACACCTAATGTTGCAAAATCTTTAATTTCGATGCTAATACATGAAAAGTTGTTATGTACGCATGCCTCAGAGTAACAGAGCAAAGTCTTTGTGTGGACTTGTTGACATGGTTGAGAGGGGAGAAGGAAGGGGTGGGCTTGATATCTCCCCCCTCTTTCTCCTCTCTTGGTGTTTTTTTTTTTCGTGGCGGCTGTCTCTTCACGCTCAGTGTCACATCCTCATAGCACACAGCAGTAAATTAATCAGAGATAATGCTTGCCTGATGGAGACCTTCCCCCAAAACATACTCTTCACCCCGTCCTGCTCCCTCTCCCCTTTTCTTTGTCTACCTTTTTTCTCTTCAACACAATTTACAATCGCTGAAGAAAGGTTACCCCAACATGCTTGTGACGCTAATAAGTGATTCTGCCTGGTTTCGATGAAACTATCTGGCGGACAATTAGGGAGGTTTTTCCTCTCCGCAGCATGAAAGCAACCTTTGAGTGCGGTAGCTTCGAGAAAGGGCATCACTGGAAAACCACATTTCACTCAACTTTTACAGGGCAAGTCAAGGTTAACAGTGGCAGAAATAGAGGATTAACTGAGGAGGAAGAGGACGGAGGAGAAGAGGTGGGAGGAAAAAAGGGGGAGGGGTGTAAGTAAAAGGCCTTTAGGTAAATGTTGGAGTGCCGACCAGATCCTTTGTCCTGCCTCGGGGCTGTGTGAGGTGATTGGACCAGCTGATAGGCCTTTTATAATGCCCTCCATCGGCTCAATCTCAGGGGCTTTTATGAGCACCTTCAGCAAACACGCACACACACACACACACACACACATGCGCTGATACACACATCCACTACCCCCTTATTCAATGTAGGTGTAATTGGGAAAGAGGCCCCTTCCTCCAATGTGTGTATCGCTCTCCTGGGAGCTGACAGGCTGGAGGTGTGTATGTCTGTGAGTGAGTGTGTATGTCTCTGTGTGTGTGTGTGTGTGTGTGTGTTTGTCTGCTGTGGTTACAGGCAGAGTGTTTATAATCAAAGTCAGCAGCGATAAAAGGGTGCTCGTGTGTGTTTATGTTGGTGTGGTTTATGGCACTTATTGGCAGGTTGTGTGTGTGTATATGTGTGTATATGTGTGTGTTTGTCCAGAGGGCAGCTGGGAAGAAAGGATCATTCGAGGCTACCTCTCTCTGCTATTACGACCCCCATTATCACCACTGGACCGGCCACTAAACACTAATGAACACACAAACACACAACGCTGATGAGGTGAAAGGCAGCTGAGGCAGCCTGGGGAGCAGGTTCTTGAAGGAACTCCAGAAAAAGAGGGAAACATGGAGCTGGACGTAAGAGACCTTTGATTAGTGCTGTTCACTTCAGCTCAGGCAGCATATAATGAACCTGCTTTCAGCTGGTGAAGTCATTTTCTCCTAGTTAAATGTTCCATAGCCTAGATTACTAAAATGAACAACACATCAGAAAAAGATTCACTGCGTTGGTCTTTGAAATTACAGTCACCTCTGTGACAATCAAGCAGATTTTTTTCAGTAGCATGTTGTGCGAAAAGATCAATTTGTTGCTTTAGTCTGACTGAAAATGGACATGTAAACACATTTGTATACACATTAAGCTGGATGTTAAACAGCATGGGTGTGTTGCTAGGAAGCAAGGTAGTAAACAAAACCTCAACAGACAAAGAAAACTTTCCTATCGTACTGAAAAACAGTATGAAGCTGTCAAGCAAATGGTGTTTTTACCGTTCGACGTACACCAGGAGACGGTCTGATAGTAACAAGCTGAAAGGGGGCATGTTGCCGCCTACTGTAGTCGAGGAGGGACATGCTTCTGAATAGTGGATGTTAACGGGGACAAGGACAGCAGACTAGTCCAGTTAAGTCATCTAAACAAGCTCAACTTCACCATTACAATTGGCAGGTGGAGTCAAGGCGTGCACAGTCACACCTCTTTTGTAACCAAAAGTCACATTAAATTTACAGATGAAACGCTAAAGATCCAATCGTTTGGTACAAGGGATGCAACAATCTACATTTTTTCCACATCTGATCCGATCTTGATTCCTGAATTTGGATATCTGACGATACGGATACTATTCCAATACCAGCGCCCTGTTAGCTTTACCATCATTGTTATCATTATTGTTTATTTTTTGAGACTGACCGGCAAGAATCACTTGTACAGTCATTTCAGCAGACAAAGTTAAAGCAAAGAGATGACTTATGGATCAGAAATTTTCGCAGGTTGGATCGGAAATTTCTGATCCATGAATTACGTTGGTATCAGAACTCGATACCAATACTGGATCCTCATCTTGGTTTGAAGCTGACTCGAATGGTCAAGGAAAGTTCATTGACTTTTGTGTTAGTGTCATATTTTCTCTCAGTCTTCTCTACCTCCAATCCGACAAAAGCCAAATTTGTCAATGAGAAGGCAAACAGAAAGTTCCTACAACATCTAGAACAAGCAGAGTTTGCACCATTAAATGAGGGCTTGATATGTCTGCTACGACACAAGTACCTCAATTTGAGAAAGGGAGAAGTTGATAACAGACCCAGGGACAGACGGAAAAACATCCTCAGATGCTCTCTCTCTCTCTATCGCTCTCTCTCTCTCCCAGCCCTGCACTCTGAAGCTCTTCATTTACTCCATTTCTGACACAGAGCTCAGACACTTCACTTCTTCAGCCACTTCCTTTTGTTTACTCCAGCGCTGCATCACATAAATGATCAGTGTTGTTGATCCGGCATCGCAGACATAAGAAAAATGGAGCTGAATGATGAAGAAAGACAGGTGGTGGTGGGGGAGAGATAGAGGATGAAGGAAAGGAGGAAAAAAGGATGAAGAATGAGGATGGGTGGGGGTGTTTACCAGCCAGACACTCTAAAGGTCGTCACGACTCCCAAAGCTGCTGCCTTTGTTCGCGTCAGTGGGCGACCCCCTCACAGCCCGCATTGACTCTCAGACACACATTCATATAAACTCTCATTTGCCGGCCTGCGTTCAGGCATCCATGCACGCCCATACTTGTGCACATAAACAACAGCATCTCTGAAAAACAGACACATTTACTTATAAACTATCACACACACACAAACACACACGTGCAGTCACATGAGGCCAAATGAGTAGCTTGAAGCAGTGAGATCCTGTGTATTCCCTCTGCTCATTAGGGCATACAGCAACATCAATTCAGGGAAAGCCCATCACTGTGTGTGCTTCTGTGGGTGTGTGGTCATATATGAGTGTGTGTGCGAGTGTGTGTGGATTGTGTGCAGATTTCATTTTGTAAGATGGCTTATCCCCGCTTCCACATCCTATGGTTTCTTTCTTTTCCCTCGCTCTAATCATCATGCTTTGCATTTTAAATGCGTCTCCATCACTACACTCATTACAGCCATTGTTATCATTGCATTCATCAGTTCGTCTATTTTTGGAGTCATACCTCGGGGGTTTAGCTCAAACATTTGTCATTGTTGACATCGTTTTAAGGTGTTTTCAGGCACATTTTACTTTGAAAATACAAAATTGAGAATCAACAATTATGGGCTCAGACTGTCCACACACAGAGGGGATGTTTTTGAACATGTAGTTTCTTTGCATTTCAGCCTTTAGTCACTGCATAAACAGTATTTTCACTCACCTATAACAGAGGTTTTTAAAAAATGCCTTCAAAGGTGGAGATTTTTAAGAGTTTAGCTGTGTCTGTATTTCAGTGAAAAGCAAAAACAATAGATCTGGGAAGCACTGACGTCAGGTAACCAATGTTTATGTGTGTTATGTATGTGCCAAGTTGGCAGACTTCCAGTTTATATCTGTTTGGCAGTGTTTTGGGGCTGATGGCTGAGTCACAGAAGATCATTTCACTTTATATCTGATTGCAAAACTTGAGCAAGCAGTGTGTGATTCTTGCTTCAAGAGCTCTTCCTAAACATTTGTTTGGTGCACCTTGACATTAAAAGAGGTGTCAGGGTTAGATATGTTGGTTGAGTATCTTTAAACTTGGTTTTGAAGGTGCTTACTTAAGTCAAGCGTAAAGTAGGGCTGGGCGATAAACCGAAGATTTACCGATACTGAAATTTAGGACAATATCCAACGTCATTTTGCCCATTTCTATATACTCGGTGTCAAAATAAATAAATAAATAAAAGTTGGTTTTGGATGTGTGTCGGCAGGTGAGGAGATGGTGGACGGTTCAAAAGTTGTAACGGCTGAAGTAGATGAAGTTAATGTGGGAGGGGCTGAGCAGATTGTGGAGTAGTCATCGTCCATTTATCGATATTGAGGTGAACTTCTCAATATATCGTGATATTAATTTGAGGCCATATCGCCCAGCCCTAGCGTGAATTCAGCTTTGAGAGGAACAAGCTTAGATGCACTGACGTCATTGTCATGGGGTATCAGCTTATCTGTACATTAACATCTACAGTTAAAAGGTCACAAGGTGTACACCCTGACTGAAACATTTTCATTTAGTGTTTAAATCTACTGTAGAAAAACTTTTAGTATCTTAAAATCAGAATTGCATTAATTGAAAAAGTCTGATTCAACGTTATAAAAGCTTGAAACCTCCTTCATCTGCATCCTTCCAACGCTGAGCTCTGTCTTCTTCTCCAGCCCTCAGTGTCTTTTCCACCTGACGTTTTCCTCTGCTGCTAATGTAATATCGGATTAAGGGGATCCTAGTCAGTGCTGTGTATGTACTGTATATTTGTGCGTGTGTGTCGGGCCCAGAGGCTGGTACAAAAGTGGGACATCCAACCTATAGCACCAGTATAGAACATGAACGCCAACTGTGCATGTGTGTCTTTGAGTGTGTTTAGCCTAAGCCCAAAAGATAGCACATATGAAGGGACCCCAGCCTATAGTATGTGAATCAAGGGCATGCTGCCATGGCTCATGTCAATCAAAGGCATATTCAAAGGTAAAGTGCAGGGGAGAGAGCGGAAGAGCATTTCCCCTCATCTGTCGCTCAAGGGGTTAACTGTTTTATGGAGGGTAATTCAGGACTTATATACATCAACCTGACACACACACACACACACACACGTTTATAGAAGACCCGGTTATCTACCCTCTAGCTCTTATACTACATAAACACACAGCAGACACTACCTGAAGACTATTATTCAGTTAACTGTCGCAGCATGTGAGCCATTAATGTGTTTTTACACGCAGTCAGACTCACTTTGGCCATGACGCGTTTATCTTTGAGGACAGAGATTTTCTGCTCATCCAGAAGCGGTTGTCACAGAGCCATAAACAAACATGTTGGACTGTTTCTGTGCTATATGCTCTTTAAAAAAGACGAATCAGTTATTTAGTTATTTATATAAAACATACAATCCTTTGAAAACTGTCCTTTCAGGCAGCAGATCCATACGTAATTGTGCATTTGTAGCAACCGGGAAAATAAATACATTTGCTCAAACATATGCATACGGTTTCCAGTGTGTTTATGACTGTGAAAGGGCTGTGTTATATTGTCAAATAAAAAAGATTGCAATATTTATCCTTTCTGCTGTTGTGATATAAAAAATGCAATGGTTTTTACCAGATAAATGAAGTGTTTTTTATGTACTTAAAGCTTCTGTGAGGATTTTTTTATGTTTTTGAAATAGACTGACAATCATATTGATGCCTTTTGTATGATCGCCAAAAGCAAACAAGATCATTAGCAACAAGTTACATGATTTTTATTTTGTCATTTTAATGCCTGAGAGTGTGAGGTGGTAGGTTTTCAGAAGAGCAGCTGAAGAAACAGTCCTGTTTTTCCAATTCCCACATTAAATATTCACAGCAAATGATGCTTGTCACTGTTGAAAAGAAAACAGTATGAGATTTTTTTTAAAAGTCATTACTCAAGCGTGTAGAAGAGAAGGTAAACTAGACTGTTTTGCCCACAAGGGGTGTCAAAATGGACTCAAAGTAGTAATTTCTAATGAATAAGAAACTCACTGCTTTTCCTACATGTGATTTTCTAAACATTCGACCAGATGTGAGCAGCAGCAGGTGTGGATGTTTTTAAAGTAATACTTTTCTTTTGAGTCCTAAACCGGTCTCAAGCATTTGCCAGAATCTTCTCCTATCGCATTTCAAGGTAATGTGACTAACAGATAGAGACTCTGCATGCACAGCGGTCAATTCTATAGGGATACATTAGAGTGACTTCAGACAATCTATTTATTGTATATTGATTCTGAAAAAATGAGGAAGTGGTGACAAGATGACTTGTTTTTGGCCGTATGACACAGTCAAGTGAAAGTGCTGTGTGTCTCCCTGCTCTGCCCTCCGTCACAACCACTACACTGTTAACTCTCAACCACTGTTTGTCAATATTTCTGTTTAGCTTCTGGTAAAGTTAGATACTCTACATTACTTTTATGTCTGTTTCAATCAAGAAGAGAGAAGAGTAGCGGGACAATAATACCACCTGGTGCTGCTGTGTTTATTAGTCAGACCTGCAGACTGTTTACAGCGAGCTTTACAGCCCCGCACCATGATTGACACCCATAAAATCACAAAATTGGAAGATACAGATGGAGAACACACTGCAGATGCACACTAACACACACCTCCTACCATTATGAATCATAAATTAGGGTAAATATTTTGGTTTTACCTTATTTTTTCACACACAGGTAGAAAAACGTACCGTGAATCAGCAGGACAAACATATTCTCTGTCTTTGCTTTGTGGTTTAGATGAATAAATATGCGAGTAAGCCTGCTCTGCTGATCTGTAGACAGTTTTGTGAAGCTACAGTACAGCTGTAACTGCCTGTCTATAGACACATGAAGAAGTAATACACACACCGCACACACTAAAGGTCTTTGGCTCCACGCCCGGCTAATGTACGCCACACCCTGCTCTGCTCTCACCAGAGGGTGTTCACTCAGAAGTGTGTGTTGTTCTGAGACTAGTAAGCAAACACAGTGTGCCTGTTTCCATCGGCACGTACTGCTGCTTACTCATGTGTACGAATGTCTCTCTCTCTATAGCTCTGTATGCTAACCTCAGCTGTGTGTGTTTGACAGCGTGCATGTGTGTGTGTGTGTGTGTGTGAGAGAGACAGACACAGAAACAGAAGCCAAAGAGCTAAAACATGCAGACGCTTTATCAGCCAATTAGCTGCCAGCAAATACAGATGATTAAATGTTTTGTGGCTTTCAGCAATAATATTGTGGAGTCTTAATGGCTTCATTATGTACTCTGCTCTATACATTACAGACCCTATACATCCAGTGACACAGTGTACTCTCAACAGTGGCTGTGCGCAGGGTCTTTTGGCTTTGTGGTTAGAAGGTTCACAGTTGTGTCATAAAGAAATCAGACTCGTAACCTTTCAGATAGATCACATCCTCTCCTCTCCCTTTTTGCTAGTTAAAGAAAAATCCACCACCACCTTGTCTTTTCTAACAGCTGTAAAACAGTCTGTGTTCTTGGGGTTTGATTGATAATAATCGTACAAAGCAATCTCTTGAACAGAGCAGTGTTTCCGCCTTTGATCTTGAAAGCTTTGAAAGTCAGCAACCACCCATAATGATGTCTTCATCGCCCTCGCCGCGCTAATGAAAGTCGATTTTCGCAGCTACACAACACAGGAAGCTTCTGAGGCTGACACTGTTTTTTTTTTTCATGTGTACAGCAGAGAGGACAGAGAAATACGCTCATGGAGTACCGTGTTAAAGTTGTGTGATAACGCTCCACCTTTCACTTCCACTCGCCTACTATACGTTGTAATCTAAAACCGTCTTTTTGTCCACTGTGATAAATGTGATGTATCCACTCTGCATGCGGGTATCTTGATGTTTCCGAGCGCATCTTTCATCCGTGGAGTAGGACTGATCTGGGTTAAAGTTCAATGTAAAGCTTGAGTTACAGGGAATCAGATGGAGGTTTGGCACTTCTTCTCAGGGAGCTGCTGAGACTGTTTGAAGAGAATGATGCCCGTGGCTCCTATTTCAAGGAGTTGGCTGCCAGGCCAGTGCATATGTTGTTATGGCTAGGAAGATGACTTGGTCCTTTGATTATATGCCTGTCTATGTGTGCATGTGCGTGTGTGTGACTTTCAGAGCAGATGTGCAGTTCAGTAAGGCTTGAAAACCAATAAATGTATGCACACTGTTGAAAGAGGAAGAGATTTAAATTTTCCTCGCAGAGCTGTCTGCACTTCTAGTTTTCATCTGAACTCTGTTAGCACTTGTGGATCTCACAGGCTGGTAGCAAACCTTGTAGTACAAACTATAACAGAGGAATGATCATTCTGCTGAATAAGCAGAACAAAGGGTGTGAAATTGAAGGTGTAAATAAGATATACTGTGTTTTACCATCATTAAACTAATTGTGTAATTGTCTGCAATAAATAAAGAAGACGTGTGACTCTTGAGTAGCATGCTAAAGGTTAACATAAATGCCACACTAAAGGAGTTCAATGTTTTCATGATCTTTAGCTCTTAAAATCAAGTGCAACTGAGATCAAATTTCAGAGTAATGATTTCATTTAGCTGACGCTTTTGTCCAGAGACAGGTGCTGTAAGCAAACAAGAGGCAATGCACAGGGTAGGGCTGGGCGATATGGCCTTAAATCAATATCACGATATATTTGAGCAGTTCACCTTGATAACGATAAATGGACGATAACTACTCCACAAGCTGCTCACGCCCTGCCACATTAACTTTGTCTACTTCAGCCGCTACAACTTTTGAACCATCCTCCATCTCCTGGAGTCACGTCTCCAATGTAGGACAGCATCTTAAAGGGACACACACATCCAAAACCAACTTTTATTTATCTATGTTTTTGATACCGAATATATTGACATGGGCAAAATGACGTTGGTTATTGTCGTAAATTTTTGGTTTATCGCCCAGCCCTAGCACAGAGTATATAGAATCATTATTTCCTCCTTTAAAACAGTGATTTACTGTAAAATCGTGATGTTGTTAATAAATACTACAGTGACTGACCAGTATATCCGGCGAACAGTGATTCAAATATTAATAACTTATGTAAATGACTGCTTATTCTGGGCCAATTAGCAGTAGTGATGAGGTTTAACACTCATGCCAAAAAAGTTCTTCTTACCCTAGGCGAATCAAACTGTTTCTACTTGCAGCGTATTTTCTCTATTTAATGCTTGAATGAAAACTGAAAGCAGCCGGTTCGCATCTCCACTCTCAGTTTGATCAAACAGGTTCATGTTCTTTTTTTATTTTTGGCACATCACCTCTGAGGACAGTCAAACTCTGCCACCATCACTTAAAATGACCCATGTGCTCAACTCTCTAATACGACAAACATCAACGTGCAGCTGTCAGCAGCACCTGTCCAAACCTCCCGCACACCCTCAAATGTGTCAGGTGAGAGCTCAGACTCCACGCATACGCACCTTGTGTGTAAAGCAGCTGCAACAATACTGGCTGCAGGAAATTGAATAAGCAGCACAATGCTATAAACGCCCCGCCTTGGTAAATTTCTCCGGTTTTATTGAAAGGCTGTTTTTGAAATGTGTGTTTTTCAACAAAAGGATTTTTATCGGTAAAATCTCTGGAGTCTGAATAATGCGCACAAGCATGTCAGAGGCAAGTCGTGTGAGTGTGAGTGTGTGTGTTCCTTCATACACATCTGCCAATCAAGAGCTGTGTCCTTCATGCATGTTAGCCCCATGTCATATGCAGATTCCTTTTGTGGTTTGATTCTATGAGCAAGAGAGAGCGAGAGAGAGAGGGCGAGATCAGATAAGCACAAAGTTGAGGAGGAGTTTGCTGATTTATAGGAGCTTATTGAGGAGGAAATGGGCGTCATAGTCCAGTGGCTGTAATAAACGAGCAGACCTCCCTGAACTGCTCAGCATCAAAGAGATAGACCGACCCCCCACCACCCCCAAAAAACCCCCTCACAAAAATACACATGAAAATATACACACACACACACACACACATAGACAAAGTCCTTGTTGCTGTCTGTCTTGCTCACTTACTTTCTTCACAGTTTGATTTTACAGCAGCAGAGAGTCAAAGGAGCCCGAAGTGTGGGAGGGAAAGTGAGAGAGTTCTGAGTCCGTCCAGCAGGAGTGAAGGGAGGAAGAGGAGGGAGAGGACTGAGCGGAGACAGAGGAGTGTAGGAGTCAGGGGTGTGCTTGGCAGCGCTGGTCTTTGTTTCAGAGAGAATTCCTGTTACCCACCACACCTTTCAGCTTCCTTCATTAGAGCTGAGTGATAGTTTGGAGCTGACATCAGGGACTAAAGCCAGCAGGCAATTGTTTATACTAGCTGATGATCGTCCTTGGCCCATTTAGTCCGGACTGGTAAAGAGAGATAGTGTGTGAAGTCGCTAACACACTCGAACTGTGTATTAGACTGTGTTGTTTACGTGCGAAACCCCCGCTGTGTTGTATCTGAACTTTTCAAGAATGTGTGACCCACGATAATTCTGTTGACTCTGGACAAAAGTTTTCCCTCATTAGTTTGGTGTGTGTTTGTGAGTGTGTACGGGCAAATGGAGTTCCAGTAAAAGAAGTTGGGAATACTTTGTTCCAAAACAAGCTTTTGAGCAGTTTTACATTCTTGAATTCAATTTTCCAGCATTTTAAAGTCTGTGACAAAGTTTTGAATTTTGGGAAGACTGCAAATGACCGCTCTCATGTGGAGCTTAATTTGGGCAAAACATGCTTCACACTTCAAGAACAGTCAAATCATACAGTTTAAAAGAAGCTGGTGACTGAAAAAAAAACATGAATATGGTGCACTGAAGGTCAAACATTTTACAACAAATCACATCTTGAGACGCTCTGCGAGAAGATCTGGTCTAGAAGATCTGTCGCCATCAGGATGGGACAAGATTGAGCCTCAACTAAGATCAGATTAACTCTGATCTCATCGTAATCTACCATGAGTGTAGCACTTTTCAGCATTTAGCAAGTCACAGCAACAAGTGAAATCTTCCTTCTGACAGCCAGAAACTTTGAGCAGAACCAGACTTATGGTAGACAGCCATCTGCTGAGGCTGCGTTTGGATGAAAACGAACAATAACAACAGCCGTAACTCGTTGTTATTGTGTGTTTGACCCTAACTTAATTTTACAGCAGAATATCCCTTTAAATCAGCTGCAGAAGAGATCCAGGGGAAACTTCAGGACGAGGGAGCTCAAAATCTCCAGAAAAGACTGGTTCATGACTTTGGTATCAATCATTTTGTTCAATTTAAACTGTCGAGTTTTTATGGCAAAGTAATTTTTGGGCCATTCATCGCTGGACTGCTACATGATAAATGTTTTTTCCTAAAACAAAAGTTTCTTTTATAATATTTGCAATGATCTAAGCTGTAAGCTGATGTCTTGGTCTGTCTGCAATTCAGAATTAAAAGGAAACTTAAACAGCATTTTCAGTCTTTTATTGGCTGAAAAAGAGCAACTTAAATTTTATCAACTACTTTTTGTCAAATTGCTGCATCAGTTTTTGTGTCTTTTCCTTGCTTTTTTTTTTCTTTACTGGAGGAAATTTGTGGTTTCATGAACTGGGCAATTCTGTTTGTGACTGTCTTTGAAAAGATAAGGGCTGTGTTGTTTACTGACACAGCTGTGATTACACAATGAGCCTGAGAGTACTCACCAGGATTACTGTGTAAAAAAAACCCTCAAGTTTTATTGATTTGGCAGGGGTGTAACGTTCTTAAATTCAGCTGCTACAAACTCAGAAGTACACACACAGAGGTCCTGCTTCATCCCTTATCACATTCAATATGAACCCAGGAGCGAAATAGGCATTGTCATATTTCCTTGATTTGGTTTTTAGATGATGGCTGTCACCTGCTGAGTCTGTCTCTGGAGATTCACCGGGTTTTCTTTGAGTTCCTGTCAGATATCTCTCTGTTCTGTCAGCTCTGCATATAAATGAATGGGCTACTCAGTTCGTCCACCGTTAAACAGAGACTGCAGCTTCTTCTGTGTTATTCCCCCCTTACATGCGTCTGTGACCCCTCCATACTCAAGGAACTACTGCTGTGCTGGGAGTAGATTTATTATCAAGCTGTGAGAATAATTGTTTGTTATTGTTCAACGTCCAAAAAACGCCCAAGATGCCCGTCCACTGCGGCTGTGTCGATAAAGTGTTTCTGAGAAGAGAGCAGGATTACATTTTTCCTCCTCAAATGATAAAAATCCTCCTTCAACATTCAACTAAACACAAAAATGTGTCGAAAAACAAAAGTTAGGCCCACATTTTGGCATCACACCTACCTGTCCCACTAAGAAAGTCACAGTAACTTGAACCCCTGTTATTTTCCCTGTCCAGAGTTTTGTTTGAAACTGGACACGACGCATCCCCCACAGTACTGAAGACTTGGCCTCACACACACAGTTAAACACACACACACACACAAATACACACACACACACACCCTGCCTCCCTCCTTTCTGACTTGTTCCTATGCAGGCCCTTTGTTTTGTTGAATTGACTAAAAAAAGAAGCTGGCACATCTGTCCAGGAAGGTACAACAACTCTGAGCACACCTCTCACACAAAAACACACAATCGGACACACACGCACACACACAGCACATTGGCAAACGGGCACACAGCCAAATATCTCTCTCCAAACTCAGAACCCCTGAAGAGGGAGCTGTTGTTTTACTTGTACCTCCATACCTTCACAGAGATTAACCCAACTCATTTTAGAGTCATCTGAACTCTTTAGTGTTTGATTTCTCCGCTTTATTCAGCATCTCTCGGGAAAAGTTGAGAGAAATAACCTGTTTATCTCGTTCGGTACCTTTTCTGTATTTGGCAGGAAAGACAACAACCTGATAAACACATCAGTCGATAAATTCTGTAATGTGAACCAGGGGTGGGAATAGCCAGGTGACTCATAACACAATACGATCAGATACAGTTTGATGTTAAAAGCAGCAATACACTGTCAAATCAGGATACAGCAGTACTGTGATAATTAAAACACGGTTTCTGACAGGGCTACAGATTATTCTGTATTGAAATTTTGTTGTGAATTTAAGTCATTTATACCCAAAGTTATCCAGCTTTGTTTAACTTATTTTTATTTTACATTTTTTATTTCAGACATATTTGAAAAGTCCAATTTCCAGCATCACCAATATGAACATTTTCTGTTTTTTAAAATTTGATTCGAAACAAAATCAATTTGGATTTCATTGTATATTATGGAACAAATCATTCCTTTTACTTCAATGCCACTTTGTCTCTGAGAAATTTTGTTGTCTTATTTTTTTTGTTTTCGTTCGTTTTAAAACAAAATAGTTTCCCAATCAAGGAAAACAAAAACAAAATCATCACCATTAGACAAAAGCATTAATTGAAGCCGTGTTTTTCTTTCTGAAAGTCTTGTTGAGTTTGTCAATAATTGATAAAAAATATTGATTTTAGTGCATTATTGTTTTTGGCACAATGACAGTTTTAAGTAAAAACTTACATTTGTTAACCTTGTGTACACAAACGGTCGGTCCAATGAAAGTGCAGTAAAAACATTATACATTCATATTTTTTTTCACTTTTAAAGCATCACATCTTGTCAACAACTTCAGACCTATCCAAAGATATAAAGTTTATTATAATTTTTTGATTTTTTTTTAGGTTTTTGGTGTCTTTTGTCATGAGAACCCCTAGGTTTTTCAATGGGAAAAACACAAATTTTGCAATATTTCCAAAAATGAGGTGCAAAGTGAAATATTTGTAATGAAGATATAACAGCCCTGACCTTGTCAATAATTGATAAAAATATTGATTTTAATACATCATTATTTTTGGCACATGAAAGATTCAAACTCCTCCTTCTCCTCTTTGTTTCCCCCTTTTCAAATTGCGTTGTACCTCTCTTGTCAGCAGTGATTTTTTTTTTATTGCATTTTTTTTAATGAATAAAAAATCAAAGTAGTTGTAATTTCCTGTTAATAGCTGGTATAAGTCATCAAACGCACATTACTCAGGTCATTCAAATAGGTGATTCTACCTGAGCAGTATCCATTAAAAAGTCAATAGCTTTTTTACGTCTTATAAAACACCTTGGCAGTTTTTGATATTATAAATAACTTAATGGCATCGGTGGGAACATGTTTGTTTAGCCCCTGAAGATCAAACTCATTTCCCATTTATGAATAGCCGGCAGCAAGATAAAATGACATGAATTTATTTCATGTAATCTGCATTAGTAAACAAGCTCATAACTGCTTGATTGTGCATCCATGATGTCGTTCCTTTAAAAAGCCTCAGGGGTCAGAAACGGCGTCTGTTTTATAACAAGTTAGTGAAGAAGGAAGAACATTGAAAACACACACAAAAACACACACACACACATACGGGCATATTTAGCAACACACAGACACACTAAAGGCATGAAACTCATTTAACAAAATTCACTTAACAATCCATTAGCCCATCCCGGCATGTCTCCTGTGTCACATGTGTCATATGTTTTAACATGTCTCTGGCTAACACACACACACACACTCTTACACACACACACTCTTGCACTCACTGTCCCTGTGTTAATTATGGTCGTATTAAGCACTCGGATGAAAAAACTTAGTTTGATAAAACCTCTAATGGCAAATGTGATTTGGGAAATTCCACTTCCCGCTCTCTCGTTTTCTCCCGCTCATACATCACGTCTTAATTATCAGTCCACCTAATGTGTTTTTCTGAGATTTACTCTTTCATATTTCATCGTAGACAAAGCACCCACTAATTATTGTCTGTCACTGTTTCCATGACGATAATATCTACAGTCCCATGCCGGCCTCCCAAGGTGACCAGGAAGTGGTTTTTAAGGCGACACAGGCTGGGGGTTATGGTTGAAAGCGGCTTGTTTCTTGATTTATGTGGAGGCTGTAATGACATCATATTCAACAGAGGAAAGGGTAATAAATTAGACATCAGCTAATGGACGCCGAGGCTCTTTCTTTGTTAGCCGCGCACTCCTCTTTTCTTCCCTTCCTCTCCTTTTTTCTCTTCTCACAGGGAAAAACCAATCCCTCTATTTGGCCTACACTTTTAATATTTGAGTTTAAACTTATTAGACTAAATTAAAACTTAATTATTTAAAGAAATGGGGGGGAAATATTAATAACAGGACAATTACTTCAGAGAATCAGTCTCTAACTTTGACTTAAATACGGAGTTCATATCATACAGAGAGCTGCGATGTTGTAGAAAGCAGTTGGATTAACTCTTTTATTTGTTGTCATGTTTTTTGATGTTATCACAAAGTGTTGAGATTTAAAGTTCTTACAGATCTAAAAATAAAACAGCTTGAAAGCTCAGTCTTATGTGTCTGGAAAGCCACACTTTTTTATCAATGGGTACTTTTGCTCTGATTCATTTTTTCTCGAACGGCTGCTTCCCAAAAATAAATCATCGCTCTGTCTGTTCTGCTTTATAGAAGAACTCTGGAAATCCCCCTTTCGCTCCGTTTGCTTCTTTAAGCAGCTCACATTCAGCCCTCAGTGGTAACCAGCTGCTAAAAAAGGCCGGACTGCCTGCATGTGGAGAAATGCACAACTGCACCAAAATCAACAACCCTGTCTAAAATAAGTGTTGCGCTGCATAGACACCTGTGTGGGTTAAATCAGACCTTCAGTGATGCTCTGTCGTCTTTTATCATCGTACAAAACCTGAGAGCATCTCTTCACCTTCTGATAAAAAGCAGCTTTTCCATAAATATGTCTTTGCAATGGTAAACTCCTTTGTAGTCGTGCCAAATACAACTTTGATAGTGAGCACGTCTGGATTTTGGGACTTTCGTCTTCCGTCTAGATGAGCTTCAGCAGGTCAACCCAGTCGAGGAGCGTCTGTGTCCTGAAGCGATTCTAAAAATAAACATTGAGAGTCACGTCTGGGCTGTAACACTGTTGTTCTTGAACCTCTACACTGTTGGTTTTGGTTTTACAGTCCAGCGTTGCAATGGACTGGCGATTCCTTCTTGCAACAGACACTATGTGATTTGGTGTTGTTTTAAGGCCATTTTCATGTTAGTGTTTTCACTCAATATCACATATCATTACAAAATAATTACAAGGGCCCTAAATGCTTTATTTCTATAAAAGTTGTTTTTTCTGTCACCAATCAGCCATTGGTGAGTACAGATGTTTTTGCAATTTTCATAAAGCTCCAACATCTATAATAATCTACATCTATAATAATATTTTACTTTCAGTTTGTGGCAACTTTGGCTAACTTGTCTTTAATATGTTTGACACTCCTTTGAGGAACTATGGGTTTGTGTGCTTATTAGTGCTGGGCGATATGTCCTCAAATCAGTATCACAATATATTGATCAGTTCACCTCGATAACGATAAGTTGATGATAACTACTCCACAAACTGCTCACCCCCTCCCACATTAACTTCGTCTACTTCAGCCGCCGCTCCAGCAGCTACAACTTTTAAACCGTCCTCCATCTCCTCACCTGTCTTTCTCTCTTTGTTACAAACTTGATAGGGTGGAGTCATGTTGCCGACATAGGACAGCGTCTTAAAGGGACATGAGACCATAGCCTACCTACACACATCCAAAATCAACTTTTATTTATTTATTTGACATTGAATAACCGATACGGGCAAAATGAGGTTGGTTATTGTTGTAAATTTCGTTTTTTTGCCCAGCCCTAGTGCTTATTTTATCCTCTACATACAGAGTTTTCTCACAAAAATCTCATCCTGCTGACTTTTAACGGCCAAATGTATCATTTATTGTGATTATTTTCTGTCTAAAATGTACAACTAAAGCAGTTAGACTGTTGCTTACCCCTTCGCAAGGGTTTCAGGCATCAAAAATCAAAGTGTGAAAACGGTCAGTCTTGTTGCTGATGATCTACTTTGCTTTAGTGCACCATAAAAAGTCATCAAACTGAATTTGTTAGTTTCATACAGATGGAAAAGACCCTGATGTATTCCCTTTTTAAATACCCATAGTTACCCAGGCATACATCATATTTTCTGAGTTAATAATCCTCTCTACCTGACAGGTATTTCAAAGTCTGTTCACATCCAGGTGATATAAAATTGAGCTGAAATAACAAGTGTAACCAGCAGATCAGTTTAAATCAGATGTGAGACTCCAGTCCTGATAAAGAAGAGTAAGTGTTGCATCATGTGACAGATTTTGAACAACTTGTTTATCCTTCTATCTTCTATTTTCTAAAAGGGCAAACAAGTGAGAACTGGCATGTTTATTTCAACAGTTTGTTGCCTGATACTGAAGACTGACTGTGTGTACCAATTAAGATGCAGTATGACCTGCTGTGAAAACTTGGTGAAGGGGCTGATGTCATGTTTTTCCAAGGCAGCGGGAGATTTCATCATTGTAATAAAATTGACTTTGATCATTTGGCTTCTGTACACCATCAAAGTGGCTCACCCAGGAAAAAACACACACATATAATTACACATAATCGACACACTAGTGCTCGTAGCCTTAATAGAGATCCTGCACCATAGTTACTGTCAGTAATAAAGCTATTGACATCTCTTTGATCACATGGATTGGCTCCCCCTGAGGAATACACACAGAAGGATTAAGATACCTGTCTGCTAGTTCACTGTGTGCCAATTAAAGAGACAAACACTGTACGTGGGTGGTTGCAGTCCATGGTATGGATCGGCTAGTGTGTGTACTTTAAAGCACTGAGCTTATGTTGACAATACAGGCTTTAGGGATTGGGAACTAGTCCCACATCAGTCCAGTTTGGTTTTGCATTTATTCATTTAAATTCTTTACAGTCGCATTTTCGCTGGTGGCTGTTGATTTATCCAGCAGTGTCTGGGTAATTGCGTCAGTCCACCACGGAGGACAGAAAACAGCGAGCGGTTTATATGGATTCATTGCACCAGAATGTCTGGATATTGTCTTCATATCTGACCAAGATGATGGTTTACTGCGTTATGTGTGTGAGTGTGAAATCTCAGAATACCTTGAGGATCTTGTCTCGAAGTCGCTCAGAGTTTTAAAGTTTGAAGAATGCGTATCAGTCCTCTTTTTCTTTGTGGTTGTTTCCAACAGGCGGTCAGAAGAGGAAGACATGGATAAGGTGACAGCTGCCATGGTGCTAACAAGTCTCTCCACCAGCCCGCTGGTCAGGAGTCCACCTGTCAAAGTCAACGGTGAGTCTCAACACTCATCAAGTGATCAACAAGTCTTAATCCTCCGTTTATCATTTCCTAAAATCAGGCTGACTTTCATTAAAGTAGAGGTGCACCGATCACAATTTTCTGGCCGATCACGGATCTTTAAAAAGGTTGACCTGCTGATATCGATTATGGATGATAACTTTTTTTTTATTACTGACAACATCCACCTTCAATGCTCCAATCTTATTTTAATGAAAAACATTGAACAATACTTGTGGAACAATACAAACCTTTTTGTGTTTGTTTTAACTGCACATGAGGTAGTTCTATCAAATATAAATGAAAAGTTTAGAATATTGCCGTCCAAACTACTAAATCATATCCGTTCCTTTAGTCTCTTATTTTCCACATTTTAAAAATTAACATTACTTGCACAACAGGTCACACTGCAGGCCTGTTTTGAGCCTCTTACCAAAGGTGCACAGCCATATTTTGCTTTTTCCAAATTAAGGGTATCACAAGGTTTGAGGAAGTTAGTTAAATAATAATCTACAGGACAAACTAAACTGGTAAGCGGGCCTGTCATTCTGGCAAAAGCAAAAAGCTACAAAGGCTGACTTTTGGAGCTTTGCTAAAGTAGATAAGATCGATGGATAAAATCGGTTTGATGTGTAAGGATCAGCCGATCAACCAAAACTGAGGAAATCAGCACCGATTTAGAAGAAAGAAATAAGTTTGAAAGAAATGCAGTAAAAAGTTAAACAAGACTAAATTAACACCAGCTACAAAATTATTCAAAAAAGAATGATGGAAATTGGAAACTGAGCAAATATGAAATCTCAAAATTAAACGCCAGATATTAAAGAAAAAACTGTTTGTTTTTTTTCCTTTTTAAAAACAATAACTTTTTTATATAGCATCTTAAAAATAAAAGTTTGACGGACAAAGCAGATAAATAATAATCATAACAGCAGAGATCATAAATCACAGATTTAGAGTAAATAGAAGGACAGAAGGTAAGTGGATCAGAGGACTTCACAGAAGCTTTAATGTATGAGAGCTTTTATATAAAAATAAATCCATGAAACACCTGAGGTTGTATTGGATAGTTAGAACCATTTTATAACATGCTCAAAACATGAATTTTCTGAACTTATGAGAAGAGGTCGCTGTCTGACTGTTTTTGTATTTTTGTTTTTGTAATTTTCTGTGTTTGGAAGTTGTATGTCTGTTAACGAAAAACTGCAAAACAAAGTCTAAAAAAAAATAAATTCACAAGATAAATTAAGTAAAAATGACAAAGTAAAAACACACAAAAGTACGTCTTTTAAAGTGAGTTTTTCAGGAGGGATTTAAAGATGTCACTGATCCTGCATGCCTAAGTCCTCCAAAATTAAGCGGCCTTGATGCAAAAAGCTGAAACTCTTTTAGATTTGAGGCCCCACCTGAGGATCTCGGGATGCAAGAAGACTCATACAGTGTCAGCATTTCTGGGATGTTACTGTAAGAAGCAGTGAGCTGTAAAAGTGATCAGTCAAATCTTCAGTTCAGTTCTAAGGATTGGAGTGACGGTGTCATAACCTGTGTGAAGCTTTCTCCCTCTTTTGTTATAAAGTAGATCTGATGAAAAATGAACACAAACAAGAACAAAGCCGCCTAAAGCCTGTAACGTGCATAAATCTGCTGTTCACTGACTCTCCGCTCCCTCACAGCTGTTATCTTGTGAACACATGCGGAAGCTGAGATAGATAAATTACCGCCACCTGCAGTGCTTTAGGATCCTCTCATCAGTGACTCCTGCAACCCCACAGAAAAAAAAAAGCAAACCGAGTCTGGATCTGTGCCTCTCAACACGATGGCGGGAATCCAAAGCGCCCCATAACCGCTATCACATGCAACTCCTTACAGTCAGCTGCACAACCCACCGACTTTGCATCCAGCAGAGCGGACATGCAGCCCCTCTAGCCACCATGCACGTGTTATCACAGTCATATACACACTTCATATATACATCATCATGCACACATGCACAAAGTGGCTTTTACATACCAACTGCACATCTATATCCTAATGTAGGGGATCATGTAGTGTGCATCTACATCAGCACACAGAAGGTTTCTCAGGCAGCGAGTCACTTCCAGATGCTGGCGATGCTCGCGCCTCAATCGACATGCAACTGAGACATGTTTTCTCATCTTCCTAACTTGATATTTTCACCTCAAAAGCAAATGTGTTTTTGAGCAGCTTTCAACTTAACTTTGTCGTCGATGTTGAAAAAGAAAAAAAGTTTGGATAGATTCAAAACCAAGCAGTCAGACACTCCTCCAAGAAGCCAAAACAAAGCAAACAAACTGGGTCTGCTCTCAACTCTGTCTGCTCACATCTTACAAAAGTGCATGTACTTTTTTTTTTTTTTTTACACACACTTTTGTTCGCATTGAAGTTTTCCCCAGCCTCAACCTTCACAAAGTGAAAACTCTTTTGTAGCTGATACTCAAAAGAAACGCTTCTTTGATGATGTGAAAAAAAAACAAGACCTTGGAGAAGTCTCCTCAGAATCTCAGAACAAGAGAGTAACCTTTTATTTTCTCGTGTCACAGCCGACTGTATCGCTAGGAGGCTCTTTTGTGTGAAGTGCAAATAAAGCCGACTGATTTTAATCTAATGTCTTGATCTCCCATCAATGACAGAGGAACACCCACATGTTTTTTTAAGTGTTGTATCATCCACAGATATCCCAAAGAACTGTTTGTCAGCTTTATCTCCATGCTCTAACTTTTCTTCTCACTCCTCTGTCTCCTCCCTCTCTCTTCTCTTTTTCTCAGAGAGCGGTTCGTGGAAAGACAACGGCTCGGCCGGCCCCTTCACCCCATCCAGCAACAGCTCCTCAGGGGGCTACTGGAGCTGGTCCGCCCCCAGTGACCAGTCCAACCCTTCCACACCTTCTCCACCGCTTTCTGCCGACAGCTTCAAGCCCTTCCGTGTGCCCAGTCTGGGTGGCGTGGGACCCGGTCCTGCGGGACCTGAAGACCCGAGTCTGGACGACCAGGACGGCAGCAGCCTGCTCTTTGATGAGCCCATCCCTCGCAAGCGCAAGGTGAATTTTCAGAGTTTAAAGGTGGAAATGCTTCTGTTTGGTAAAATCAATCAAATCAGTGTTTTGTAGTGCTGAAGGCATCTCCACTATGAAAGAAAACTAGTTAACGTAACCAGAATGATCATTTTGTAAAGGCAAAGAGGTTTTTTTTTATTATTTTATTGTCTTCTGATCAACTAAAATCTCATCTTTCATCATCTTATGAAAAAGTAATCACCTGTAAAAAGTTTATTCCACATGCTGCAGGTGTTGAAGAATTTCCAACTCAGGTTGAATAATGAGCATACACAGGAATCTGCAGCCAGATCAGCCCATATATATTTCTCATAACTGCAAAAAGGCGACCTAAGTGAGGATTATTTTTTAGATCAAGCAACAGACAAGCTCTGATTAACTTCTAATAACACTTAAGTATTGTCAAAGGTTAATTTAATCTCAGTTTGTAAATTGGAAATATGTTGTCCATTTACTTCTCAATCTTCACTTCTCAACCTTTGAAAAAGTGAAAGAGATTTTCTGATCTGAATGTTTTCTGCCCCATCAAGTTGAACTCTTCAAATATTCACTAACACTTTTTATGAACCCACCTCAACAGAAGCACATTAATTAAGCCTAATACAATTCTTATCAACATATGTAAGCATTCATATCAGCTTATAATAATGTATATGAAAGTGTGTAAAGCCGTTGGCATAATTCCTTATAAAGGTATGGTTTATATGCATTATATCTAAATGCAACGGAAAACACTGTCTGTTAAATCCTTGGTTTATCAACTCATAACTTTACCGGGTTATGAAGGTTCATTAAGAACTTATTCTATGTAAAGTTATTATTTGGTAACACTTTGTTTGACGCCTGTCTCTAGAACACATTATAAATATATGTATAATGCATTATAATGACGTTATAGCACTGTATGACTATAGTTATAAACACTCTTAAATGATCATAATGCTTCATAGCAATAATCATAACACATTATAAAGCATTTTATCATGACTTACAAGGTCAGGTATTATAATGTGTTATAACTGTTAACAACTCACTGATAATGCCCACATAGATAATTCAGTGCAATTGTTGTTAACAGTTATAACACATTATAATACCTGACCTTGTAAGTCATGATAAAATGCTTTATAATGTGTTATGATTATTGCTATAAAGTATTTTGATCATTTATGAGTGTTTATAACTATAAGTATACATTGTTATAACATGATTATAATGCATTATACATATATTTATAAGGCGTCAAATAAAGTGTTAGCTATAATTTCTATGATTCCCATATCAAAAAAAATATGCTCACTGTTTCTAACACTTTATAAAAAAAATCCCTATAAGTTGTTATAAATGCTCATTATCACTGATAAAGGTTGATATAAAGTCTTACGGAAGCTTTTATAAGGCTTTATAAATGTGTTTGTGTTGTTTTGTCAGAGGTGGGCTCATAAAAAGTGTTTTTTTATAATAATTCCTTTATTTCAGTCTGTTTCGCTCTCTTACTCCTCTTAATAACAGGCGGGTCTCTCAGTATGAAAGAGGGTCTCGGCTCGTCTTTGTTGTTGTGCTGTCAGACAAACCTGAACTGCTTGATTTCCACACGCTCTGAGAAAAAAAACACCCGGGTTATGGATGTAGTCTGGACTCTGACTGACTGATAGGCAGAGGTGGAAATGGGACAGGAAAGGACGCGGCTCCTCTCGCTCTCGTGGTTGTTTATTCTTTATTTTCCCCAGATGCTGCGAGCGTGACACACAAGCGCACACGTACACAAACACGCAGTTTCATTCTGTCTTCATTTCTGTTTGTCTCATTTTCTACACATGGCTGACAGCTCATCACATCCACAGCTCAGTGTCACTCTCATTATTTCCTCAGATGTATATTGCTTTGCTCTCTCTCTCTCTCTCTCTCTCTCTCTCTCTCTACCCGTCTTTATCTCCCTCTCCCCTTATCAGCGTTCCTTCTTGCTAGTTTGTCGTTCGCTGTCAGCGTCTTCCATCTATCTCTCCTTCCGCTCTCTCTTGCCGGTGATTCCTCCCCCTCTCTCTTTGCTCGGTGTGTCCTCCCCAGACATTCACCTTTCATAATTACTTCTCATGCAGCCGCTCCACAACAGGAGTAATGATTTTAATGCCTGCTACAGCAAACAGTAAGATCCTGCCGGCTTCTTGTCTCTTCAAGAAATCGATGTAGACTCTTGGGTCGACTTCACGTCTGTGCTCTGTACTGTACTAATTGGGGACTTATCACAAAGAAGAAAAATAAAGAAGGTTATGGGTAAAGATTAGGAGAGTCTCACATGAATTTATCTTCTCTCTCCTTTTGGCAGGACAATGACATTTAGAGCTCATCATTTAATTAACTGTGAAATGCTCCTGTAAAGAGGGAGACACACACACACACTCATGCACAACGAAGGCCTTTTGTTACCCAGAAACAAAACATTGTACAGGGAACAGATGATTGTTGTGTGTGTGAGAGTGTGTGTGTGTTTCTGAAAGGATGAAGGGGGAAAAAAATAAACAACAGAGTGTCAAAATTAAATCAGCCGCCTCAACAATAGTTTGACGGAGAGGCTGAGAGGGGGGTTTCTTTCCATCCAAACAATAAACAGCCTTTCTAAGAAGTAGTGGTGTCATTACAGGAGGAATGTTTACTGTAATTTAGTCTTAATAAAGATTGTGAGATTTTAAACCAAATCTAGACAGCACCAGGATCAGTAATCTGTTGAACATGTGTTGTGTCTGAGTTGTAGCACACCCCCCTGCCACTAGTCAGGGCTGTAGCTTTGGTTTATAGTGAGCTACCTGAATGTGACGGATGGCCTTTCGTTGCTCAGTGTGGTTTGGCAGTATTTCGATCAAGAACATGGAGATACAGTCGTTTGTAGGCTGCTGTAGTTAAACCTGCAGCTGCCTGACAACTCTCACTCTCAAGGACAGCTCATCTTGGTTACTTCACCTCAATAACCTCACTTGTATTATTTTAAAGGAGCTGCTTACCTTCCTTGAAAAGTTAAAGAACTTCCATCCATACCCACTGAGCAATAGACAGCTATCTAGTTTTTTTAGAGCTAATTTCAACCGTCTAGATTCTGTATATTTTTAGACAGAATTTAGACGTTGCGCTTTAACCCGTTATTGGATAACAACTGTCCAAGTACTTAACCGAAATAATTATGATAGCTGTTGAGCAATATACAGTGTAGCATAGATATAGCCCAGGTTTAGACTTGGTCTAAATTTGGTCTAAATTATATGTCTAAAAAACTGTCATTTTTAGACCTGTGGTAGCCTGATTTTAGACCAGTCGTCTAGGCTACATTTATACGTCTATTAGACTTCTTTTAGACCAAAAAGTGCTCAGTAGGAAGGAAAGCTCATCCTAGTTATTTCAGCTCAATAACTTCACTTGTATTATTTTGAAGAAGCTGTTTACCTCTCTTGAAAAGTGAAAATACTTCCATCCATCATCGGCTCATACATACAGCCATCCTAAAGCCGGATATTTAAGCCCTTTTCGCGCCTCATCTGCAATAATATGCAGTTAAAGGGTGCAGTGTGTTCGCACGAAAAGCTGAATGGTGTTAGACTTCTCTTTTGGTGTTCATGCACAGTTTGAAAAGCTGGTGCAACAACCTCATTTAGCAATAACAGTGAAAGAATATCCTCAACTGACCTCTGAAATACTTGAGTATTAAAGAAATAAAGCCAAAGTGACATCTTCTCATTAATATTTTTGTAGTATAAGTTGTGTGGCGATTAAAAAAGACCTGAAATGTCCTCCTTCCTACCTGATAATGAGGAGGACATTTAAATGATGGACTTTTGGATTGGTTGGCGAAGCCTTCAGGGAGACACCGCAGATGTGTCCCTGAGATTGAATGAACTCAGCGATTTTTGGTATTTATCATTCAACGGCAGCTAAATTAGTTCATATTTTACTCTTCTTTTGTGTCTTTTACTTCTTATTTACTTTTTAGTTTAGACTCATTCAGCATCAACCAAACGCTCATCAAACTGAGTAATAAATCACAGCATGCCCTAAATGTTGCTCTCGACAGTAAACAAGCACAAGTCTTTCCATCAGTGGGAAATATCTCAGCCCCTCTGACTGCAGGCTCTGTGTTTTTCTCCCACAGAACTCCATGAAGGTGATGTTCAAGTGCCTGTGGAAAAACTGTGGTAAGGTGCTGAGTACCGCTGCTGGCATCCAGAGACACATCCGTACCATCCACCTTGGGTAAGAGAAGTTTACAGGCGTCATCACTGAGCATCACAGCATTACAAGTTTGCTAATTCACGTGTCTACGTCTGTGTTTGCTGTGTTTGTAGTCGTAACTGTGACTCAGACTGCAGTGACGGCGAGGAGGACTTCTACTACACAGAGATTAAGCTCAACACCGACTCAGTGGCCGACGGTCTGAGCAGCTTGTCCCCCGTGTCCCCTTCCCTCCTCTCTCCTCCCCCTCCTCCCCCCTCTCCACTCCCGTCCCTCAACCAGCTGGCGGACTCCCACCGACCTCCGCAGTCCTCCGACACCAAGGAGCCTCAGGCTGGTGGGACCACTCCGCTCAGCCGCTCTGCGCCCAGCGCTCTCTACCTCATCCACACGGACCACGCCTACCAGGTGAGCAGGAAGTACTTCCTCGCTCAGGGCAAGGTGGAGATCGATGTTCGCTGTCAACATGAACATGAAGAATCGACACACTCTCTTGATCAATACACACACATATGTACAGAGTATCCCTCACACACACCACTCAGGTCCTCATTAACCTGATCATGTTTTCACTGTGTTTGGAAAAAATACAAATGATGTCATAGCGACCAGCAGTCTGGAGCTCCCGTTAGCAGCTGCGCTAACAGTTGTCTTCTATCAACACATGAGCAGCAGGTTGAGGTGGAATCAGGACACAGCTCCATCAGCTGACACTTGCACAGAGCTGCAGGTTTCTCTTTCAGCATCCTCACTCGTAAAAATATTTTGGTAACACTTTACTTGACTTTACTTGATGCTGTATGTAAATATTAGGGCTGTTATTGATAAAAAAAAAATACTAAAATCTTATCTTTTCATCCCCAGACATACACTGCAAACATGTCCATTACCAGAATAAGTGGTAACCCTTTCTTTTACGGTACAGTTATTACCAGGTAATTAACAGGTTAATCGTAATTAACGATACGCTGTTTGAGCCAAGCATTATCACAGCGACTGTGCGTACAACTTTACTGCGCAATGTTGGTTTCAGGAAATGGAGAAAAAACGTGGAATTACTGAGAGCTTTTTGGCTTCAAATCCATGTACTGGCGGAAGGTGGAATCAAGTTGTCCATAGTATATACAGTCTATGAGTTATACATATATTTATAATGCGTTATAGAGATAGGCGTCAAGTAAAGTGTTACCAATATGTTATATTTTTCAATCAGTTTTTTGATAAAAGAAAAAAACTTTCAGAGTCCAGCAGTTTCAAAGCAGCGTGAAACAAGCAGCCGTCAAAACACTAAAAAGCAAAGTCAGAGTTCAAGAGACTTTCTTCGAGGAGTCGGTAGAAAAACTCTTGATCTTTGTGGACAAAAAATCCCACCATTCTGACCTTTGACCCCGCCCTCAGGCCACAGCTCCGGTGTCCATACCATCCAACAGCAGTAACTCAACCAGCTCAGCTTCCACCAGCTTCACCCCCACTAACAGCTCCAGCTTCAGCATCTCCTGGCAGTCCCCGCCTGTGACCTTCACCGGGAGCACAGTGAGGAAGCTTAAAAGCGTAATATGTACTCCTCACACTTACAGCGGTTGTGTTTTAGGTTCTGATGATCTGAAATGTGTTTGTCCTCGGCAGGTGTCTCCCAGTAAAAGCCAGGGTTTCGGCGAGCAGCGCTCTCAGACTATCGCAGTCCTTTCGTCTCCTCCCAGAGCTACCACCGCCCTCAGGTACTGATCCTCACCGCTCATTTAAAGGCTGACAGAAAATAACATGTCTTTAATTTACGTAAACTTGAATCAAACATCCATGTCTGTCAGATTAGTACTGTACTAGCTTCACATTGTCTTGTCTGTGTCTTGTCTGCAGTCGGAAGGTGCGCGGGGAAGGGAAGAAGTGTCGCAAGGTGTACGGCATGGAGAACCGCGACATGTGGTGCACCGCCTGCCGCTGGAAAAAGGCCTGCCAGAGATTCACCGACTGAGCATCCTCCACGTACAGCGCGGCGGCGCGCCTCACCAACAGGCACCGCCGCCGTTTTTCGCCAGAGAAAGAAGGGAGGGGCATCGTTTTGCATGCATTTGGTTTCCCTCAGCTCAAAAAATCGCAACTGTCCGTCAAGCTCCGGCTCAAACCCTTGTGGATGCCCCTCCCCACTTCAAACTCCACTGAACCATTCCAGCCGCAAAAGGAACCAAAGGACAGCGGAGTCAACTTTGAAAAAAGCCGTCCAGGATTCCCACTACTGCCTCGCCATTCCCGTCATTGTCAGTTTTTGGGAAACCCCAGTGCAGCTAAATCGTGTAAAGAGAAAAAGATTTCCAGATTTCTCCTGTTTTTTATGTTGAGTTCAGTGTTGCATCTTTCTATGTTTTGTAAAGCTCTGGTTTTTAAATGTAAAGTCATAGAAAGGGTCCAGGTTAAAAAAGGCCAAAAGAATTTTTTTGCGTTTCATGAAAAGAAAAGAAAAAAAACTTTTTTTTATCCAAAAGAAGAATGGGCCTCTTGCATCTCCTGCAGTTTTTGAACATTGTGAAAAGGCACAGAGGTGAAGGTCCCACTTTTTGTTCTCCCTTCATCTCCTGTTTCATTTCTGGACTATTTTCGGTGATCCGTCATCACCCGCGACATCTCGCAGCCACTCCTTGTTCCTCACCTGCTCTCGCTCCTGACAGCCCCCCGAGGGAAAGAAAGCGAGGGGTGTTAAGAAGGAGAGGGAGGGAAAAAAAGAGACACACAAAGATGAATGATCAATGCAAAAAAGACACAACTTACAGTCAGGGAAAGCAGACAGACCATGCTGGTGATTTACCACATTCAAAGCAAACACACAGGTATGCCCACACAATCAAAGCAGAAGGCAGAAAAACCCTTTTCTATCTGGTGTTTTTATCTGTTGTGATTCATTTGGTTTGTTTTTATCAGGGATGTGATTCTTCAGAAAGCAAAAACCAGCAGCTCAAACTTTGGGGTTCAACTGTACACAGCACTAACTAAACACCGTCTGTTACATCACACATGACAACTTCGCAACCAAAAACTCCTTTATCTTCTTCTTTCTGTTTTTGGTTTGTGTTAAAGTGCCATGTTTTCTCTTTGTCAGTGTGTTTTTCTTTCTTTGTTTTGTTTGTTTCGCTCTTTTTTGAATTTCGGTGGAATCGAGACTGTTTACGTACCACCTGCTGCAGAGAGCGTGTTCGGAAACCATCCCTGATTCAGCTCCGGAAGCATGAAGCCAGCAGCGTGCAAGACCATAATAAGATAGAAATGTTTCACCACATGCAGAGAGACAGACTGCTCTCCTCCTCAAGCAACTTCTACACCTTTCAGCGGGAACAAAATATCTCTGTGTGTTCGTACGCCACGAACGAGGAGGGCTGAAGACCAAAAGTGAGGCGCATACTTTTGTGTTTAGAATCGTTCTTTCTTCCGACACATCTCTGTTATTCCCCGACTGAAAAAAGGGGAAGTAACAGCAAATGTTTGAACCATTATCCTCTCCAAGGGCGGAATGAGTTTCCGAGTACCTGATTTGGGTCACTCCTGTGTTGTTTCCACTCAATTCAACTTCAGCAACGTGAGCAGAGCTTCGGCGCCGGCTTTCCTAAGAGTCCTTGTGATCAGCTCGTGACCTCGTTACCGACGAGGTCAACGGTGTGTTAAGTTTGAAAAAAAAAAAGCGGTGATCTGATTTATCATTTGCATGTGTTTGATGGGAAACAAAATTCACAAAGCCAAATAGTTTACAGATGTTTTCTTTGTTGTGATAAATGGACCAACTCTTTAGTTACCCGAGTAAAAAGCTTTTAAAGCTCCTGTGAGGAGTTTTTAGCTGGTTATGAAACTGACTGAAGTTGACACTCTGTCTTTGCGAGCGACAAAAGCAAACAAGAGCATCAGTGACAAAACTGATCTTGACTTTGTTGTCGTTATTTTTTGATGCTTGTAGCTGCTGCATCAAGCTAATGAGTTACAGCATAGAAACAGCTTTTGTTTACATATTTTGCAGACAATACGATGTTTTTTTTTTCTTTTTATCAGAAAAAAGTCCAAGTTTACAGCACAATATTTTGTTTTGTCCACAAGGGGGCGCCAAAATAAGCATAAAGAGAAAGTTCCTCACAGGAGCTTTAAAGTCAAACACACGGCTCCATCAACAGATGGATGCACGGTTGCGTATATTCGCTCTGTTACACATATTCAGCAGATTTAATTCAAACCAACACCAGCTAATAAACTCACATGCTAAATCAGTCAGTACATCTGCAGCTGAAAACTGTAGCTCCGTTGTTACGTTGTTGTTTTTTTCTTCGTCTGTTCATGTACATATGTAGTTCTCGTATTCTCTCTATAAGCTCCATGTTTACGACCAGTTAGCTCGGTCGTGACATCCGCCACCTTATGAACAAGACAGGTTCAGCTCTGACGCTGTGTGAGGAAATAATGTACCGTTTAACCTGTCCGGCTTCTATGATTTTAGCTAAAGGGATAGCCTTAAAGTCACTCTTTAAAAAAATATCATTGTGCTCCATCCATGTCATTACATTGATATGTCAGAAAGAAATATTTAGATGATCTCAAAACTAATTTGAAACCTTATTATTTGAGCGTATTATTGTTTAAAAAGGACAGATCTATATATACGTAAAGAAGAAACATTGAAAAAGACGTTAATTTGGCTGTTTTATTTCTACTTTTTCATATATAAACAAATATGTATGACTATAAATACTGTTTATTGATTTTGTTTTCATGTTCTGCTGATGGATTTTTGTACCTATTGTTACTGTAGGAGGGAGCGAGGGACAGTTTTCACACAAGCCAAGCTTGTTTCGCTCTTTCAGCGGACGTGACCCGTACGCTCCCGCCTCGAGCTCCTTCACGTCACCCTCCTCGCTCCTTACCGCTAAGCGCTCCAACACCACACTTGATTAAAACCTTTATCTTATTTCCAATTCTCCTCTCTCTCGGTGTCACGCAGGACCACTTGCAATTAGTTTGATTGACATCTTGCTGTGTTTGTTCGCATGTGTGCGGTCACATGAACGTGAAGGAGCCTCGGGCGAAGTGTGCAGGCTGCCGCTGACACTTGGTGCTTGCCCACCCCCCTCCCTCCTCTCCAAGCATTTCTCTCGCTCCTCCTCAGGAGTTTAGACACCTTTATCAAATGGCCTGTGGTGTCCCCCCCATGTCTGGGTGTGTGCAGGTTGGAGAGAAACACACTTAGTGGTTCAAAGATGTTTTCTTTTTTTGTTGCTCCAGACCTCAGAGGCTGGATGTGGCCTGTGTTTTGTTTTGTTTTTCAACTCCATGCACTTCCCACAGCCTTTTTTGTACTGTTTTGGTGCTTCATGCGTGTGTTCTGAGAGTCTCCTCCATCGGTGTGTTTGGAAAAAATCTGGCAGCGAAAATCAGATCATGTCAGGATTCTGTCCAGGAACAAATCCCAGCAGACCATTCAGAGGCTCTGGCAGCATCTCCAGGCAGCTAATTGTTGAAGACGCTCTTTTCATGGTCCATGTTGTTGTCATCAAATGGCACGTGTTGAGATTTGGCCCAAAATAAGCCATAAATCTTCAAGACCTCAAAAGAACACATGCTGCCTTTAGTCCCGACTTTTTCCATCTCCTGGTACGTCAGCGAGAAACTGGGATTTGTTCGTGAATAGCGTCCTGGTCTGAATCGAGCATCTTGGTCCCGTCACTGCCAACGGCACAAAGACGACTTTTGGGGCATTCAAAGACACTCAGCCCGGGGTCTCTTCTTGCACTTTGTACACGCTGGTGCTGTGGCTTCGGCGGCAGGGGAGAAATGAAGGTGCTATATAACCATGCGGCGCTGTTTCTCCCATAATGTCATATAACTCCATTTTGTAAACATTGTGATGCTGTAGAACATGAAAATAAAAACACCCTGCCTCAAGTTTACAAAGTGTCCAGGCACAGTTAGTGAGTGGGTCCCAACCAAACTATCATCTCTCCTTCCTCTCGTGGATTTAATGGGTTTTAAAAGTCTAAAAATTTACTTTTAAGCACTTCTACACCTAAACAACTTAAATATTAACAGTTCAACTAAGCTCATAGAAAGTCAGATTTTGATCATACATGTGGTCTCCATTTAACGACTGAGTTGTATCAGTTGTGATGTGACTGCAGATACATTTCAACTCTCTAGCGCAGTTTTACCCAGAGTTAAATTCTTGCTTCAGGGGAGGAAATAGTGTGTTTCACACCCTGCGCATTAACATGTCACAGATTTGTTTGGGGTGTTGTATAATTAACTACCTTTTGGGCAAAACTGGCGGCTCAGGCGGGATCACGATTCATATTTTAACTCCCAAATTGACACCCTAATGATGCCAAACACGCCATATGTTTTTTCTTCCTCCTGATGTGATCATCCAACATGTTCATATCAGAGCAGCAGCGAGCGCTCGGGCCTATGTGGCGCTTACACCGGCGCTCAGAACCAGGGTTTCCACCGTTATAAACACGTGTTGGCACAGCAGAATTAAAACTGTGCTATCAAAGCGCCACAATAGGCGGTCTTGTTGCCTTGGTGAGAGTGATATGAATACTTATGAGGACTTGTTTTTTTCCTCCTTTAAGTGGAGCAGTGGCGGCTGTTCTGGCTTTTGTTCTCTCGGCTTGGCCCCCCCCACGCTCTCTCTTTCTCCCCAACACAACTGCCTATTAAAGAGCCGAGCGATCAGCCGTGATTTATAATCTGAATAAAACAAGATAGAATTACTCTGCTTACTGGGGTTATTGAAATCAACTCTGGTGAGTTACGAGGGGCCCCTCAGAGTATATACATCCTCACACACGTCTGTGGTCTGTGTCCAGTTTGGTTACAGAGCGTTGACGGCTTTAGCAGCAGTTCATGTGTTGACAGTTTTATGAGACTTCCTGCTTTATGATCCTGATCTTTACCCTTTCTGTGATTAATATTTTATACGTGACAAGACTTGTTTGTGACAAGAAGCTGACACTTATTATACCTTTATATCATTCACATATGAGTCAATATACAGTATGCTACAATGTAAACACATTCAGCTGCAGTACAGTATATCTAAGCTACAGTATCAGTGCGTATTATTATATCCCTGACTTCTCTAAATTACTACTTTGTTTATATTTTTAGCTGCAGGAGCTGAGGTCAAAGGTTCAAAGGTCTGTGGTTGGTCTTCCAGTGGGTGACACAGTTTCTGGACCTCCCTCTGACAGCAGGTGGTGCTCATGTGAAAGTTCCTGCTTTAGTGATTACTCTCATTTTAGTCGTAATCGTCCTTTAAAAAAAAAAAAAAAAACGCAGAGATTGATTGTGGGCGCGCTCGAGCGCACCTGAGTCGCCACGGTGTCGCCTCGCATGACCCTCAGTATAGATTGAGTTGGCAGCGTGTCCTCAAAGAGACCGCCTCCCACCGACTGTAAGGCTAGTTTCCATGGCAACCCGACTGACAAGCAGGGTTATGTGATTCTGCTCCTATCGGCTGTCAGAAGCGGAGCTGGAGCAGGGCTGTTTGTGTTGTTGTCAATAGAGGAGGAGGGACCCTCCATCCTTCATTCATTCAAGAATAAGAAGGAGGAGGAGGTTTATAGTTTCACTCCAACATTGTTCATAAGAAAAGAAAAAAAAAGTCTTAAGTCTGTGTTTCCAATTGTTGCACCTCCCCCATTATGGTTACTTTTGGAGGAATAGAGGAGTCCTGAATGTGCCTTGAGGAGAGTTAGAGTTTCTCGAAAACTCTGTGAGCAGGAGTGTTGCTGTGAAATGCTGGACCACAGCAGCGATGCAGGAATGTCTCTGGTGTTGGCTAGTCTGAGTTCTGCTTTCTATACCTGTAATTCAAAGATTTGTTATACAAAGAAACGTCCTGTGAGTTGCGTTCGGAGGCCCTTTTGGCCGTTTGTCGGTTCTAGGAAGATGTCGAAAGGTCTGAGAGTGATTTTTCTACTCTTTGCTGTGAACTATTTTTTGATCCAAACCTAAAACGATACTGTGTCTCAACGTGCGTGTTTTTCTTTCTTTCTTTCTTTTTTATTTTTTTGTCTAGTGTTTTTCCTCTTCTTTGTTTTCCCAAACATAACTCCTCTCTCCCTTTTGTACAAGGGCTTGTAGATAAATGTATGTCGATGTGAAGATTCGCTGTTGTGGTGCAATCAAAGAAATGTTTGGGAAATCAAGGAAACCTCATTCAACGAACAGCTTGTGAAACAGTCGTTGAGCTGATCCTTTTTTCGTTTAGCACGGAGCTGCAAAGTTATTTCCAGGGGAACATGAAGGCATCACTGTCTTTGTGTGGAGGTGGGGATAATGATCATAAAAATACTCAATAATAATAAAAAGTATCTTGAGATTTAATTATTCAGATTAAGACCAAACTGAAATTTTCTGCCTCAGCTCCATCACTTTTGACTCACATATGCAACACAGAGAGTGCCGACCCACCCTCTCTTCAAAAAGGATCACCTCATCGACTGTTTTATCGGATTACAATCATGTAGACCTCAAGAACTCAATGACTGTCGCACTGGATTTTTACACTCTTTTTCAAACAGTATATATATACTATATGCTCTGGTTTAACTGTATTTTTAATACTGCATGTGCATGCAAATAAGGAAATTATGAGATACATGACTTTATATAAATGTGCTCTATTTGTGCTTTGGCGTCCATGAAGGGGGTTGGGAGCAGCCTGGGTTGCCTCAGTTATACCCTAATCGAGTTTCGACTGCACGCTCAGAATTGGCTTTCATACTCAAGATGGTGTGCAAAAAGAGGATGCAAATTAGTAACAGAGTTAAAGTCGCTGTAATTCCTTGATGGATGATATTTTCAGTCATCGTGTTTGTACCACATGTAGACAACACTCGTTCTTTATTTTAGTCCATCCAAAGGTAACCAAAGTTCATTTGAATGCAGTGATCTCTAGATATTCTCGAAATCATTTCACAGCTCTCCAGAGAGTCACATAGTTCACTCTACAATGACTTTGCTTGGCAGTGGCTGCTCTCCACCCCCTACTTGGTTGTTACATTTTCTATCCTTTTGAAGCCTCTAAGTGTAAATGTTTAACGTGTTTCCAGACTGTACAACTGAACCGTAGATGCAACACATTGTCCTTCCTTAGATCTGTTCAGGGGGCAGTGCATTAGGCGACACTGTGTGTGTTGTAAAATGATAACTACCTTTATAGGACAAGAGCTGGTGATGTTTTTTTTTTGTTTTTTTTGGGAGATGCTTTCCTGAGGCGAAGCCCTGCTCAGACGGTCATTTAATGAGTGACTCTGCTTTGAAATCTTAAGCAGTCATCTAGAAATAGTTTGACATTTTAAGGAAATGTTTGCTTTCTTGGCGAGAGTTGGCTGAGAGGATTGTTACCACTTAAAGGGATATTCCAGCGTAAAATTAATTTAGGGTCAAACACACCGAATTAGACACCCCCTCGAGAGATGAGTGTTCCCAAACACTTGCTTTTTTAGTTATACCAACTTAAGTAACGACCGCACGATAGCAAAACACAGGGTTCTAGCCACAGGGTTCTAGCCACCAAACATCTTTTTAACTTTGCCTAATTTCTTTAGCAAAGAGACTAAACACAACTCACCTACTCTCTTCCAGCAGCCGCTTGTTTGTAGTGAGACCTCAGGTGAGTCCATTACGACTGCTGTGGGGTGACGCAGCTCAAGGAAGAACATTTATGATCATTTCTTTATCATTTCCTTGAAGTAATAATCACCATATTCATCATTTTGCACTGCAGACGCGGTAGTTCTTCTGACTTAGCGTCTCAGTCTGATTGTAATTCCATGAAGAAATGACCATAAATGTTCTTCCTTGAGCTGCGTCACCCCGCAGATTCTTGGTGGCTAGGACCCTATATGTACTGTTGATGAAGTTAGGTGCTGTTCTGAGCATTATTTGTGGCTATAGAGTGGCGTTTTGGTTGAGGTTTGTGCGGTTCTCCTCAGACCGCTGTGTTTTGCTATCGTGCGGTCATTACTAAAGTTGGTATAACTAGAGAAGCAAGTGGTCGACAACATCTATCGAGGGGGTGTCTAACTCTGTATTACGGTATATTTGACCCTTAATTAATTTTACGCCGGAATATCCCTTTAAGGAGCTGTGAATAAGCTTGTTGCCAAAATGTCAAATTATTCTTTTAATGATGTGTCTTTTCATGCGGCACTCATTCAACAGTCAGCGCAGGACTGTGCAGGATTTTATCACAGGTATGTGCAAGGTGACATCTTTATCCTACCCGGCACAACCGCCCTAAATTTGTCTCCCCCCAGTGGATAGCATTTACTTCAAATTTCTGACCCTGATACAGCAACTCCTGTGGGAAAGGGTTTCACTTTGCTGACGGCTGAAGAATTATTTACAACACCAGAGCGCTCTGATATCTCAAACAGTGTCAGCTCTAGCAGGAAAACACTCCTCTCCCACAGCCTCTACTTGGTTTATAGGGAGAGAAAACATCCGTGAGCTGCTTTAAATCTAAAGGAAGAGCTCCAGCGTGAGTCCCGCAGGTGAACCTCCCCTGAGTCATCAGGAGTAACAGTATGTTCTCACCAGCCTTGCGTCCCATGACTGGATGAATTGAATAAAATGCATTATTCTGTGCTTCTGGGGCTGCGCCTCATGTTCTGCAAGGCTCTCCTCTTTTTTTTTCCATCCAGCTCTCCAGAAACTACAACATTTATATCCGCCTGCATCATTTATCAAAAAGGAATCTGTTAAGAAAGCATTCCAGTATGCAACTAAATATCTCAGCTGCAAACATTTGTCGCCGAGCTGTGTTTTCTTTTTTTTATGTAGAGCTTTCAGGAAGGATTTCTTTCACTGCTCTTATGCATAAGCTGATATTAAACAACCTGGACCTCTTCACACATACACACACACACAGACACACACAGGAACATTTTTGAGTGAACAAGGTGTGAGCACCGACTGTGCTAGATCATACCATCGCGGCGATATGCGCCCATGCTGGTCGACATATGTCCCCGTGGCTCCAGGTCTCATCCTGAGATGATACGAGGGGCAGTCTGGTTTTTAGCTCGCATCTCATTAGGCCGCTGGTCTGAACACACTTAGCATCAAATGTATGTGTGTGTGTGTGTATCTGTGTGTGCAGTGATAACATGATGGAGTGTGTGTTTCAGATGACCGCCTGAGGTATTTCCCATCTGCTCAATGTAGCATTTACACCCTCTCCTGTTTGTTTGTGAGAAAAGTGTGAGCACAAAAGCAAACTATGAGCATGTGTGTATGTGACTGTGTATATGTGTGTATTTCAGTCTCTTATCAAGCCATTCCTGCGGCCATAAATGCACACTTCTCAGTGCGCAAGCTGTCATACCTCATGCATTATCAACCAGTACATTGACATGGCATATTAAACCTCCCCTGCTGCTTTTTTTTCTTTTTCACACCATGTTTATCTTCATCACGTGACCAAAGTGAAATGTAAGGAGTCCACAGTTAAGGGTTTCCTTTGAGGGATGCCAAACAGGAGTTCTCATCACGACCTCTGACACTAAAATGACGCAGTGATCGCACTGATGCTTATCCAGACTGCGGACGCATGCTGTACACTTGTCTTCCTGCTTCCTCTGAGGCGATTTAAAGTGCAGAGGAATCAAGGAGTCAAGATGCTCGGCCTCTTATTGGGGCACGGGGAGCTGTTTATGTGTCCGTGTGTGTGTGTCCGAGGCGTTGAATAATTGATGAGAAGCAGCGCATGTACACAAACTCCATCTGTGGACCTGAGCTGATAAGAATCACGGCGGTCCATGAAATTGGTTGCTTCCTTTCCCTGCGAGGTTGCTGGAGATTCAAAACGTGGGGGAGGGATTAGTTTTACGTGTTTGCATCCAGCAACTCGAGACGAACAGCTGGTATCAGTCTTCTCAGCTAACTTGTAAAACAACTTTTAAGCGAATCTTGGTAAAAGAAGTCATTTTGGACACCTGAAGGTTTATTTTTGCCTTCTACGCTCTCTCTCTCTTTTACACTCACACTAACCAAGCCATGTTTGAACTGAATGTTCTCTTTCTGCACATTTTAAAGGCCTGCTTCATCATATTACACATTCGAGACAGTTTCAGTGTCACACATTTAGCCTGCACACAAGACTTTTTATTGTTAACACCACACAACACTCACAAAGCACTTGCAATATGTATCTGTTCTGTCACATATAGTATACTCGGTTGTACCAATGATGTTTTCTTATCTTCTTTTTCATGAAGTAATCAAATTATTTCTATGAATACATGAAGATTTTTCTCTAAGAGGAAGAATCGACACACACTGACTGTTAACTGATGACTTTTTTTTTCTTATCTGATCTCTGTGTGTACAAACTGCCTTCGTTCTTGTTGTATATTGTGTTGACTGACAAAATTGCGTTCTGGTGCTGTTGTTGTTTGACTCTGTGTGCAGTTTAAAGACCTCCTTCAGAGCGGTCCGTGTGACTGGGCGACTCTGGAGGTTTCCGGTTTAGAACTGAATAAAGATTTTTTTTGGCAGCTGTTTGTTAGCCGCTGTCACGGTGTCGTTTCTTATCCCTGCTGAGTTCAAGCAACACTTTTCAATGTAGTAACACAACCAGAGCACAAAAATGATTTAGTTATAAGACTGTGAAAAGTTAGCCTTGTTAGTCCTGGATCACTTTGTCAGTTCAATCACTCTCTTGGATTAAAATGCACTTTAGCTTCAAAAGTCTGATGCGGAATTAAGTGGGTTAACATCGAAATGACCATGGGACTTTTGTGTTATCTCTGATTGGTGGAAATGTCAGTGTTATGACTCTCCCATGGACTGTATATAGAATGGACGCCGTCTGTCTCCTTGCTGGGTGAAGCCACTCCGAGAACAGCACCCTCTGGTGACGGGCTGCAGTATAGGTCATAAGTCCCACCTCCACCAGCAAAGCTTATGGGGCTGTGGACAAACTTTAGAAATTTAATACACAGAATATAAATTTTCTCCCCCCTGCTTGGGGTGTTGACATGTAGTTACTGTAAGACTGGTTTGTGCTCAAGTCCTCTTTTTTCTGTGAAGCTCAGTTTTTAAAGTTATTAGGGGGTTCATGTTTTCTACGATTGAAACCTGATACAGCCTATTGGCGTTCAGGGATTGTGTAGCTCACCCGGGGGATACGCTGTTTGAGCCGAGCGTCATCACAGCGACTCAGCGCAATGCTGGCGGGAGGCAGAACCAAGTTGTCCACAGTATATACAGTCTATGGACTCTCCCTATGTTACAACCAGCCCCGGTCTCCCCTACACCACTCATTCTGTCATTGTTTCGTAAATATTTACAAGAGCTCAGGGTCAATTATTGAACTTCAATTCAAAATGTAAAGATTTTGTAAAGAAGACAAGAAAATGAACCAAAAAACATTTAAGTAGATCATAATAATGTTTTGATAAACCACAAAGAGGTTTTCTTTATTTTTTCAGGCATTGCAGAGTTACTCTGAAAAAAAGTGGTGACTTCTAGTTTAGAAACTTGGTTTGCAAACTGCTTTTTTTTGTGAGTAAGAATTGAAAATCCTCATTTTATAAATTAATTACTGTTACTACATTGAAATTTGAAGCTGTATTTCCATCTCACATCCACAAGGCCTTCCAAACTCTAACATTATGACTTTAACACAGTCCACTTTTTTAAATCAAATCCCAACTTTTTGTTATAATAAATCAAATTTCTGTACTAACACAGAAAATCCACTTTTCCTGTGCTGTATGATAAAACTAAAGTCAAATTCATTTCTCCTCTAAAAACCACAAACTGTCTGGCAAACATTGTTGTTTTCGACAAGGATGCCTGTTGCTCATCCTGCCAAACGGATTAAGACCCTTTTGGAGCTCCTAGAATTGGGCTTCTGGGGACAGATCTGCTAAATATAAATAAAATGGGCTCTGGTGGTTCTGAGTCAGTTCAGTCTGCTCTCCAGGCAATCTGGTGTGGCGTGGACTGAGAAAAATAAAGCCATCAGGTGTTGGCTCTGTTCTTGGCTGCCCTCTTGTGGTCAAAAAAGGACCTTTGTTATTGTTCTCCATGAACCACTTTTTTTTACCATGAGAGTTTATTTATACAGATGGATTTTCTATGTTAGAGACACAAAAATCAACTGATTCAACACAGTGATATGTTGCTTTGAAGGATTTCCCCTTTAAATAAATCATGATCTTCATCTTCACCCCCTTGTGGACATAAATGTCAGAAAGTAAGACCACAGAATGACGTTGCTTTTGAGGTATTTTTAATTTTGGTAAATGTCTTCACATGGCTCCAATTAAAGAACATTTTGTGTGTGTGTTTGAAGTCTGAAGTAAAAAGGCTTGAATTACTCCGTGGTAAACAAGGACATGAGATGCTGAAGTACTTTTGAACGAATCATTTCTTTCCACTCAGACTAGCAAACCCTGGTCTTATTCACGCAGTAACAGTCCAAACTGAGAATCCACTTCTATGATAAGACAGTGGTCCACCAGCAGGGGAGGCCTTGAGCCAGGCTGTACAGATGAGGAGTCAATGTCCATGTATCTGGGTTTCAAAAAACTCTGCAGTGAACCCAGAAGACTTACAAGACTCCGTCAAGTTGATTTTGATCATCACTGCAGTTTTCTGGAAACCTCTTAAAACAAAATTTGGTAGAAGAATGACACCTGTATTGTAAATCCTGTTCTTAATCTTTATGTTGTCGTACACTGCAGTACTTTCCAAGCTCTAAACACACAATAAAGACACACCGCTTCATCACTTGTGACTTTAATCCTCTTGCTATTTCATCTTTTGCATCAGCGTCAGAGTGGTGGAAAGTTAAACACTGTTGGACATGGTTGGAGAAGACATCATGGAGCAGCACACAGGGGATTGTGATTTAAAAAAAAGGCCTAAATCATGTTGGATCTCATACTGCAAATTGCGATCAGACTGAGCGGGACATTTTGTCAGAATATTGTAATTTGAACACATGAATCAGGACGAACCGAATCTTTTCCAGGGATTGTGGACATTTTTATGGACATGCTAGTATAGAAGAGTGTTTCTGCATCAACTTTGCAAAGGTTATAGTCATATGCCAGCGATTAGCACTGACTACTTCCTGATGTCAGTGTTTTGGCGTGTTTATATATGAAGACGAACAGGGGATGTAACAGGAGAGCTGGATGTAAGAGTGTTTCAGTCGAGCACAAAGAGGCGAAGTCACACTGCAAGCAGAGGTGAATAAGGAAGTGTAAATTGCAAATCCCATACATAACACCTTCTCTTTTCAGTCTGTAGTATTTTATAATGTTCAGAAGAGTCTCATACCGTTATATGATCAGTGTTTTGGTATGGTATGGGGAGCTTGGTGTTACCTCTTACACTGAAACAATGGAGTAGTGTTTAAATATTGACTCTGGCTCTAGAAGAGACACATTTATTTCACTCTCACCTCGGGTCAAGGCTGAACCTTGACTGTGTGTTTGCTCTGCCACAGCGCTGCCGATCATGGCCATTTTTTTTTTCCTTCAACAAGCAAAACACGGAGATAATTCTGTGACACATGTAACGGAGGAAAAGAGCTTTTATTGTGTGGCGTGTTTCGATGACCACCTTTGGAGTCTACTGCTGTGATTGTGACTCTGCATCAGCAGCTGGTTGAAGTTTTACACCCAGTATTGCGTGATAAAAAACAAACATTCATATTCAAATTTTTAACAGTGTTTGACTACTTTTTGGTTACGTTGAAACCTAAATTTTATATAACACAGAATAGACAGAAATTAGAGAAACCCAGGAACAGTTTACCCACAGTAGATAAAGAACAGCCCTCAAAACAAAACAAGAACTCCAACATAGATTCAAAGGGCCATGCAGAAGCAAAAAGCAAAACAACAAGCTTTAACAGTTAATCCTAAAACAGTCAATATTTGTAAATCTTTTTATATTTGTGCAATTTTCTTCACTTCAACAAACACAAAGGTAAAACGGAGTTAATTCAGCGAAGACGAAGTAAACAAGGAACATATTTGGCATCTGCTGGTTAGACAAAAGTGGAGGACAGTAGGGAAATAAGAGTCACACAGCAATGAAGGTTACTCCCACAGAACCAGAAGAAGACTCTTTCATAAACCATCGGCACTAGACCCTAAGCCCGCTGCCCCACAGCTGATGGGTTCAGTTTCCGCGCAAGCTAATAAGTGAGCAGACGCACGTGTCAGAAAAAAGACCAGACAATTAGATCACAGAGAAGGCCGGGGTAAGTCATTTGTTTCCAATAAAGAGGGACTGGCACACAAAAGTTTAGGGGGCAAGTGCTGACGGTCCAGGGGGTTAGGAGGTCAAGAGGGGGGTTGGGGCTGGAAAGAGGTCAGGAGGTCGGAAAGGGGGCTAGGGTGGTCTCAGTTCATCGGCGTCTCAGGGGTGGGCGAGTCTTCCGGTTGAGTGAGCAAAGACTCAGTGGTGGTGGGAGTGTCGCTGTTCTGGTCTTCAGGGTTGGAGGGGGTGTTGGATGCTGATGGACTCATTTTGGTCTAAAGGAGGGAAGGACAAACAAGAAAAAGACTATGGTGTGATTCATACAAATAAAAAAAGAGGAAATGCATTGAGGAGTTCTATGGAGACCACTGTATCTAATCAACTAAACAGTTCCTTTAAATAAGGCAGAGAAAGTTTAAAAATCCTTCTCTAGATGTTTCTCCTGTTGTTTTCCAAGTTTGAAGAGTGGGTGAGCATTCCCTGACCTTTGAGCTTTACATTCAATTATGACGTACTGATTGAAAGCGTGATGCTCGTAATTGAGTGAGGCTCTGGGGCAAACCCTCAGAGCAGCTTTGGACTAGACTGAGCTGCTCAGATGGTTTCAGAGGGAAAAAAAATCACATTCCTACAAAAACACAATTGAGAACATTCAGATTTCTTTCCTTCACTCTTGTGTTTGGTGTTTCCATTCTTCTTCCCTTTATGTTAAGGTTAATGACACTATTCTGAGGTTCACGCGAAGTCACTTCAACATTTTGACAACTGTTACCTTCAAAGTCTCCACTTTCTCCTCAAATGACTTGAAAGTTGGTGCATTCCTGTGAAAGGAAAAGACACGAAGAACAACATTACAAACACTTAAAAGATTGAACTAACATTTGATCTCTCAGTTCAAAGTTTGTGAGAAAAGAAAGAAGAACTTTAACTGCAACCTTTTCTTTGGAGGTTAGGTTATGTGACACTAGTCAATACAGTATTTCTTCGATTTATCATCATATAACCTCTACAGATGTCCAATTTCAGTCAATCAGACTTAATTCATAAAAAACAATAAAACACAAAAATCATCTGAAATTTTTGATCTGCTGACATGAGTTGAAAGACAGTTCTTTGAGTTTGCATCTAGTATCTCTCTATAAGCACCAGCACCAATGACTAAAACCTGAGTTTTGTCTGGTTGAGCTGTAAAATATTTGCTGCCATCCATGAATTGATATCTAAAATACAGTTAAAATGGTGTAAACTGGTCCTGGGTCATCAGGAGACACAGCATTGTAATACTGTGTGTCATCTACATAACTATTAAAGTTGCTGCCAAGTTGCCTGATGACACTTCTAAAAGGTAACATATGAAAGTTAAAAAAGCATAGGACCCAAAATTGACCCCTGAGGGACACCACAATTAGTTTAATAATTTTTACACATTAATAAAAAAACATTTGTTGTTGATTTCTTCATTCAAAGATAAAATAATTTGGATCTGAAGACCTTTTTTTTTTACAATCTGGTTTGTATACATGTACTTGTCACATGACTTTAAGAGAACAGTCAGAACAATTCTGCATAAATATAGCAAAATGGCGTCGATTTATCAGCATCTGATTCGCTGCTTTGATTTTTTATACAATATATCACAAGTTCTCTTTCACTTTGTACAGACACACCATGCAGCCTTTGCCTTTTTCATATTTAATTCAACATCTGTAGCTTTGTAGTGTTAATGCAACGGTGAGCCAACCAACCTTAACACAAACTAGTTTGATCCCCCTTACCTTATGACAGGCATACTAGCTGAGTGCTGTAATGAGCGCATGCTATCCGACAGCATTATAAAGAAGAGAGGGAGCGTTAGTGATCATCTCAGCAGAGTACAGACACTTTCACACACACACAGAACAATAGAATAAAAGAGAAGGGCTGGCACGACATATATAACATTTACTCTTCTATATGTTCAACCTCCCAGGATTCAAAGGACATAAATCCTATAAATCCTGCTTTATCCCATTAAGATCAATTGTGTTTTAACACACTGGGTATCTGCTAATCCTATATAACATGGGGGGGATATCGTGTCATCACACACACACATACACAAAAAAACCCAGCATGAGGCACGCACACACACTCACACACACACACACACACACACACACACACACACACACACACACACACACACTCGCCCCCCCTTTGACCCCCTGTCAGGTCGCTCTTAACCGCCCCCCACCCCCCTGAAAGCAGCTTGGTGTTGATGAGGCTCATCTGTGGGGCTGCGTTTCTCAGCACACTGCTGCTTTGTGGAGTCTAATAATCTTGTTTGCAGCTCAGTAATCCAGGGAGAAAAAGGAGGATGACAGGGGAGAGGACAGATTAAGATCTGAGTAAGGGGGGGGGGGGGTCTAACTGGGTCTACATCTTAAAGGGAATAATCTGTTCGTGGTGGTTTTAATTTATCAACTTGAGTGTATTCATGCTTTTGCAATGTCTCTATCAGTTTATACTTAGTAGATAGATCAAACAATAAACATTAGAAGAGAAGCAAACGAGGAGTAGGAGCTCCTGATGTCTCCTGTGTGACTCACCTGACGTCCTCCAGCTTCTTGCTGATGGCGGAGCCCACATTGGAGAATGCTGCGGTGGCCTTCAGACCTGCCTGAGACAGTGTTTCAGAAGTCCTCCTATAGCTGACAGGAGAGATGTAGAGACAGAGAGAGAGAGAAAGAGGGGGTGAGGGGGGAGTGATGGGCAGCTAAAGGGAGGATATGAAACTTATGAGAAGAGACTCGGAGATCAAAGCATCAGGGTCAGAACTCGACGGTTCAGTGTCTTTTTCATTTGAATGAAATCTCACAGCATCAGAACGCCCTCAGAAGAGCCACAGGCGACTTGTTGAAAGCAAAAGGCGTCTTTTCCTTGTTGTGAAGAGGGAAACAGTCTTCCTTCAGTCTTTTGATGCATTCAGATAAAGATACAAGTTCAACTCAGCAGGGATACATGATGAAACTGCTGGTCATGAAGTTGGCCTACTTTGAAAGATATCTGATTAAAAGGTGCCATTTCTTTTTCTAGAGAAGTGTTTGTGTTGAGGAAATATCTAGGGAAAAGATTGTTGTGTTTTGTGCATGCTGTGTTGGGAGGAACTTACGCAGTCGACCCGGTGACCTCCTGCCAAGTTTTGGAGATGTTCTGTTTGAACTCATTGAGAGGTGTGATGCCAAGTTTCCTCTTTATGTCCGCCAGCTGCTTCTCTTTAGCTGCGAGCACCTGGGACAGAGTCTGGATCTCATCCTCGACCTGCAAGAACACATGGATGTCAAAAGACATGTATAAAAAAAACACTGTGATCTAAAAAACTTCAAGACTAGGGATGCACCAATCCGATATTTGGATCGGATATTAGCTCCGATATTGACAAATTAACTGGATCGGATATCTGGTGAACGACGCCAATCCAGCGTTTAGATACAGTTTTGTTTTTCTGTATATTAATTTTTTTTTTCAATACATGGAAGTCTTACTTCTTTTTGCTTTGTGCTAATGTGCAATTTGGTATTTGTTACCTTTGTTTTTAACAAGGCTAATGTCAATGCCTTGTTAAAAATAAAAGGTAGTATTGGATCGGTATCAGATATCGGCCGATACGCTCAGCCCAAGTATCGGTATCGGATTGGATCGGAAAAAAATGGATCGGTGCATCTCTATTCAAGACCTTTCAGAGTTCCAACTATTTTATGCTAACATTAAAGCTGCTGAAATACAGTGTTTCATAAAACTGGAAAATAGAGATAAGTGATTGGATAGCTTGATTTTTACTAGCATGGAGGTGGCGTGGCACTAAAAGTTAACATAGACTACGTAGCACAGAGAAGCTCCACTTCTAACTCATTTCACTATCTGCAAATAACCTCTGCAGAGAATATGAATATGAAAAGTCTGCCGTCAACCACGACCCACTAGCTAAGGTTACTGTGGGTCGCTTTGAAATGGTTTGATTATTCTTGCACAGTTTGATCTCACTGCTTGCTCTGGGGATTTTAATGATTTTGTACCTGAATGACCCAGTATATGTTTTTACTGATTCCTTTATACAACATCTATATACTATAAAGCTTTTAAAGGCACATTTCTTAACTGTTTTATTCACATGTTTTGGTGTATGCAAAAGCCCTCTGATCTCTCTCTCTTACCTTGACCAACTCTTCTTGCAGCTCCTGCCGCTCCTCTTCTGTCATGGCTGGTGGAGGTGGAGACGGAGCCACAGACGTCGCTGCATCTTCTCCCACCTCTGGGATTGAGTCGGGATGCTGCTGGGAACCTGGAAGGAAAAGCAGATTTCTATAGATCCATCCATACCATCCTCTTGGCAAATCATAAGCCTGTTCTGGGGCTCTTTGTAAAGTGACGCCTCATTTTTCGTTTTCTTTAAAGATTTGTTCTCATATATGTGTCCATGTTTGCTCAGAGACAGGGAACAGGTGGTGTAGAGGGGCTGGTCTTGGTCGTCAAACCCAAGCTGTCATCATTTTTCCTCTCGGGGATGAGGAGATGAGAAGAAGATGGCGGTGGATGAATATGTAAGTCATATCAGAGAGAGTATAAAAGAAGCTAAAAGATGTTAAATATGCTGTTTGATGAAAAGGCTGAAGCCCAGAGGAAAAACTTTTCATTCCTACTGTACAGTTGCAAAAAAAAATAACACATTCTCCCTCTCTCCTGCACACACACATTATATTTTCTCTTCACACACAGCATACAGAACACACTCTCCTCTTTGATGCAGCTGCCTTTGACAGAGTGGTGCCCGGTAGGAGCAGCAGCCCATCAATAATACAAGGAACTTTTTAGATAGAGACATCCTGGGTTGAGACAGCGTTAGAGAACACAGGAGCAGAGAGGTAGTTAGGACCTGTCAGTCAACCGGACAACATGCATGTGAGGATGGTAAGAGAGCCAGAGCTGAGCTGGAGACACAAACATGCCTCTGAAGTCCTTTATCTTTTTATCTTGTGTTTCCTGGAATTTCAGGGAATCAGAGTAAAACAGAAAATGGATTAAAAAAAAGGATGGGACTGGGAATAGATTTTGTGAAACGGTAGCCTTGTAGTCCTGACTGACCTCTGAACTTGTGTTATAGTACAGAAATGTCAGTACGCAGGTGCATTACCATGTAAATCAGAGTAGGACAGCCATAAATGTTTATTCAATCCAAATTTGTCCTGTATTTGTGCGGTTGATGTTGTTGCTTATGAACAACAGCGTACAGATGGGAAATGATGGTTCTGAATGTGCTTTGGACACCCCAACATTTGACTGACTGGATATGTGAGAGACTTTGTAATTGAATCAGACTGCTCCACATTAGGCTGTCTCTTACGTATCAAACTACAGCAAGCAACTGATTAGCATAGCTTAGCATTAAAACTGGAGGCACAGAAACAGCTAGATTCAATCCAAAGAAAGAATCTGTTTACTGGGTTGACCATACGTCTTCTTTTATCCAGACATGTCCTCTTTTGGGGGACTGTCTTGCCTGTCCAGGGGGTTTATAAAATCCTTAAAAAAAAGCAAACATTTTATCTCATCTTTTTTTTTTTTCACTGGCGGAAATGGACTTCCATAGTTCTGAATTTGTGTAGCACATACTTTATCTTCGCATCACAGACCATTGTATTTGCCATACACATTCAATGGTAATTTGGAATATGTGTTTAACTGAGTTAGAAGCGTGTAAAAAAAATTGACCCGACCAGCAAAACCCCCCAAATTTTGCACACACACAACTCTGCTCCATGTAGTAGTGTCCTCTTTTTGGGGAATTACAATATGGTGACCCTACTGTTTACAAACACCTCTTCAGCTTAGAAAGTTTCCCCTGCTTGTGTAACTGGTACAGCTCCTACTGTAATAACTAACTGCGTAGTTATTAAACTTTGTGTGGAGCCAGATTGATTGATAAGACACTTTGATTCAAGCTTTATGACAAGCAGGCCTTTTAATGGATAACCGATCAGTTTGAAACAACACGAATGAACTCTGGTTTGAAGTTTTATGTTTGTTTCATCTTGGGACAGCACAAAGTCACGGATAAAAGTGGTTAGCAGATCCCTGGACCTATGACCTTTAGATAGACACTGTTTTACACTCCTCAAAATAATCCCCACCCTCTCCTCCCTTCTCATTCCAAACACACTTTCTCCTTTTCATGTCCCAGCCCAAACACTCCCTATTCTTGAAAGTATTTGGACTGAAACATATTGCTGGCCAAAGACAGACATACCAGAAGCACATGTACAAAGATAAAAACACTCCAAAGAAATCTAAAGTGGAATGTCCTCACAACTGTCCAGAGAGCTGAATCTCAGACGAGACTCTCAGATCCCAAAAACTTGGACTAGAAATCAGAGTTGTGTTTCTCTACAGCTGCTTTTTTTCTAACTTAAATATCCTACATTTTGCTGTTTAGAGCTTGTGACACGACAGTGAAACTCCATGATCTCCTGAGGGTAAACAAAGATTTTTTTAGACTAGCTACCAGCTTTGATTTATCTGCTATGTCAAATTTTGTAACACACTCCCGCAGGCTTTAATGTGAGACACGGATGTCTGAGTGTGGAGGTAGCTAGTTATGTAGTAAATGTATGCCTTAGAGGTGTGTTTAAGAAGCTGCCTCAGGCAAGAGGGAAAAACAGGCATAAAGAGAGCGAGAGAGAAAGAGTTTGGTATGTAGTGTGGGTGCAGGCAGGAGTCTGGCCTGCTGCACCAAACTGCAAAACAACCATCAATACCAGCCGATCCCTCTGCTTTAGCTCATTTCCTCTAAAACTAACATTTCACCCTGTGACAGCATCACTCTGCAGCCGTCAAATCCATGACAACTTCCCAGCATGACTGAAAAGACTAAATTTAACTCCCTGACAGCCCATAATTATCTCTTTTATTGTGAGTTACAAGTAATTGCTTTGGTCTACTGAACTGATGCAGCCTAATGATTTCATAGCTGCATTAAAAAGCCACCACTCTGTTACTGTGACAGAGCCACTTTGATAAGCTGCTGAAAGAAACCTGTAAATGTGGGGAAATTACAGACTGCAGCTGAGTACTGTATATAGAAAAAAAAGTTCCTATACGACAAGCTTGTGATGTTAAAGTAAACAAAATACAGACTGACAAGAACTGTGTAAATGTCTGTTTCTGAACCCTAACTCAGTCCCAAAACAAAAGGGGTGGGAGAAAAAAAGTCGATTCACAAACCGTATTTTTTTGCAATTTTCTTGCGATTATAAGGCGCACCATCAATGAATGCGTCTATTCGCATCTATTTTCATACATAAGGCGCACCGGATTATAAAGTGCATTAAGCCAAACAAGACAGTCAGATAAGTCAAACTTTATTCAACTCATTCAATAACTCCGTGAGGCTTCGGTAGCTGCAGTGCTCCGACAAGCCAAAAGGATTTTAAGTGAACCTTATAGTGCGAAAAATACGGTAAGTATCGCAATTTTTTGTTTTACAATTTTTAAATCAATTTTTATTTTCAAAAGTCGATTTTTCTTTTTCAAATTTAAGAATAAATCATAAAAACTTGAAAACTTGTGATGTGTATTTTTTGGGGAAAACGGTTCCTGGAATAGTCGGTAGACAATCATAATCATTCAACTGCTTCACTGGTCTTAAAAATGCAGACTAAAAGAAAATCGAGAAAATCGACAATATCGTTGAATCGCAATTTAAATCGAATCAGCATCCAAAAAAATCGGAGAAGAATCGAATCGGGTGAAAAGCATATCTTCCCAGCCCATTATGTACTCACTAACTTCCACATGTGTCATGGATACTACGTGGTCCTAAATTCCCAGATTTACACATATGACAACATGCCCAATTTCTTGAACCCCTCCTACATAAAGTAATCATAAATTTTAACTTTAAAAAGCACTCTCACAGCAAGATAAATATGTCACTTAATGCATGAATTTTACCATGTTTAGCCTTTTTGGTTTTTCCAGAAGTACAAGCACTGAAAGAAATCTGAGTTTACTACATTTTGAATAATAGGCAAAGAGAGATACTAATAAAACCGAAGAGGATATAGACATTTTGAAAAAGCATAAAACCCTCCTGAGGAGCAGTAAAATGAAGATTCATAAGAAGGAATCTCTTAAGAAATTGCAAAATGAATGAAGTCTACTAATACGACAGCAGGAGTAGACAAGTCTTCAAGTCTTCAACTAAATTCAAGTAAAGTGAAAATGGTCAATAGCCGCCAAACACACTCCTTCCCCTCCAAAATCTTCCAATCTCGTGTTCCAGACCCATGATTTATCTTTCTGTCCAGCACACACACCCACACCCACACACAGTCATCACATCCTCCACCCGTCCTCTCCTTCTCCTTCTCCTCCCTAAGATTACCTCTGCATTTGAGTGCTGGCGAGCTGGGCGGTGTGTCACTGAGGGCTGGGGAGAGGTAGAGGTAGCTGGCGTTGACTCCTTGTTCAAAGTCAAAAGGAGAGTGGTACTCCTCCAGGGGCTCCATGTTTACAGCTCGTAGTGTGATGTTTAGTTGGAATGACTACACCATCTCTCTACCACCACCACCGCCGCCGCGTCAACCTAAGCAGAGCCAGCTGAGTGCTGATTGTCCGCATGTGATCCAGGCACGTGTTGGCTCTGTGTCTCCTTGTTTACAGCGTCCTGCACTCTTGTAGTGTATGTGTGATACAGAGACACAATATCCAAGTGTGTACGTATATGGGAGGAGGTCTTGAATCGGCTGTCAGGTAGTCAGAAGAGTGGATGAGAGTTCCTCCAAGTCGGTTTTCTCCTTTTCCATGTCTGCAGAAGACCCAGACGTCATCAACTTCTGCTCCTTTCTCGCTGTTAATAAGTTACCTTTCTCTTAAAGCAGCTGTTACATCACACACAAACCCTCTTCTTCAGCAATCCCAAAGGTCAATTCCTAGTCCACGCTCCGAGTATCTGCATTGTTTGCAGATGTTGACCTCTGTTAGCGGAGACGGTTGTGCTGCGGAATCGCGTGACATGCCGGTATCAATTCTTGCAGGTCTCTCCCTCCCTTACTCTCCGTCATCAAGCCTGTCATCCCAAGGAGGAAATAAAAAGAGGTCCCATTTGTGTGGACCGGTCACGTGACGCTTGTTGGAGGGGGCATTAGATGAAAAGCATAATCTGCAGTGGCCCAGATTACAGCCAAGCGATAATCCAGGGTGGCTAGTCCAGATCGCAGCAGCAGTAATGCTAGTCAGCTTGAGTGGAGGGGAGAAGGTGCCAGAGGCTATACTTGCTATTGTGAGTGAGTTCTTGAGGGAAAGTGTCCTATATGTGATCGGAGGAGCACTCAGTTATACACATGCCGATGTTTATGTCTATATGTTCACACACTGTCTTAGACTGATGAGTATTTCAAGTGAAGGTAATTGCTCAGTACTTCAAATTCACCATGAAACAGACAGAAATGAACGCTGATGCTTCTATTTCACCTACAACAGCTAACAAGACCACCAACAACTAGGGGTGGGAATCCCTATTGGCTCCACAATATGATATTATCACGGTACTTGGGCCAGGATATGATGTTATTGCGATTTTTAACATTTTGCAATACAGTGAGTATTGCGATACAATATATTGTGATTTATATATTTTTTTCAACTGTTTTGCTAATTTAGCAATTGTCTTTCATCTTACTTACACTGTATTTTATTTCCATGTAGGACATCTTGCAAACCTTACATATATTTGTTGTAGTAACTTTCTCCTGCTCTATGATGTCACCTCTGCCAACCTCACTGGACAAACAGTTAGTTTATTTATCTAATATCATAGATTTTACTTCATATTAGCAATTAATTTGAAAAATCGATACTTGGTAAATGAGATGATACGATATATCACCAGACAAAATATCGTGATACTATGCTGTATCGATTTTTCTCCCACCCCTACCAACAACAGCATGTTTTCTTTCTGAATAGCGATTTTTAATGCTTGTAAACTAAGCCAGGGTGTCAGATAAGACACTAGCTAGCACACTTCACAGTATTCTCTACAGCGACAATGCTCAGTCAAATGTAGCATTCTTAATGAATAGGATAGTAAACTGCAAACGGCAACGGCAAAAGGACAGACTGAAAAAATTCATTAAATCTGCGTAAAAGATACAAGAAATATTAGGGATTGTGAAGTGAGTCATAGAACAGTAAATCTGGGTTATCTTAAATAAGTATCCCTTTTGTTTTAGAGGTATGGCTACAACCTCAATTAAAGTATAAAAAAGGCCTCACAACTTTAGACCCTGTTCCTACCTTGCATCAATGTGTTTTTAGTGATCAGAACATAAGTGGCCAGCTTTCAGGAGTGTTCACGCCTTAAATCAACAATGAGCCTCCAGTTAACGGCTACCTGACCAGATCTCTCTCTTGAATCAACATAAACCCAAATTATCTTAAGTAGACTCAAACAATCATTAGACCTTAATGATGAAAACTTTAATTATTTTTTTTATTAAACTACTTTTGTGTGAGAGGAGAGAGAGAAACAGTAGTTTTTGTATTTACGAGGGCAGCTGTTGAGGGAAATAGGTCTGTTATAGAGTCAAAGATGGGGCATGACAGGCGCTCCATGTTATATTACCTCATCTCTTTTATCACTGACCTGTTTTACCTTGTTTAATGCATAAAATATATATCTCTGTGTTGGAGTGACTTCACAGGACTAAAGATTTCCACAAGACAGCACAAAAATATTCAACCTCTTATATTTGAGATGAGGGTGTTTTTTTACTCCGTGTGATCTTTGCTTTGGATCCGGGGAAGTGTTGATTTCATCATGCATCGATAAGTGCTCACACCTAGAGTTAAGGCTCATCACTTGTGGTCTGTACGACCAGATCTGACTCTGACGCTACACGTGTAAACAGTCTTTGCAAGGGCAGGGCGATAATCTGAAAATTTACAATACTGAAATTTACTCCAATAACTGACGGTTTAAAAGTTGTAGCGTCAGGAGTGGCGGCTGAAGTTGACAAACTTAATGTGGGAGGGGGTGAGCAGCTTGTGGAGTAGTTATCGTCCATTTATCGTCATAGAGGTGAACTGCTCAATATATTGTGATATTGATTTGAGGCCATATCGCCCAGCCCTAGTCTTTGCAGTGAAAAAAGCTCTGAACTTTCATCCTCCTGTTTCAACATTGTCAATATACAGAAACACACTTAACATGCACACTTAACTGAATGTCAAGTGAGGATCATACCGTGTAAATTTCATGCAAAACTATTGTTTACTTTTATTGTTTAATATTGATTAGGTGCAGTGACTGAATAAGCCAGATGTTTCTGAAAGCCTTGACTGTAATGACACATATCACATTGTACATTAATTCAACCTCTTTGCATCCTGTGCCTCATTTAGTGCCGTTATTCTTATCTAATTCAAGCTCTTCTATGAAACGGTCAGAGAAGTGTGTCCATGTACGGGGTCTGCTAATATCAGTTTTATTCAGAAATAAACATGAAAAAATTATTTCCTGTTAGGCTCAGATTTTTGGACAGAGGGATCAAAGTAATCGATCATCAGAAAGTATGTAAACCTTAATAGTAATTCCGAAAGAGCTGTCACAACAGTGGGTGCTTTGACTCTTTTCCAAAGAGTTGGTTAGACTTCTGCTACCACTCTCAGATATTAAGAAGGAAAAGCTATTTATTTGTCACTGTTTGCCTTAAAATAAAGAACTATTGAGGAAAGTTTGACTGTTGAGGAACAAGAAATTTATCTTAGTTTCAATCAATCACGCCTCCATGGTCAAGGAAGTACTTCGCATTAACTCTGAAGGAAGGGGCACTTTACTAGAAGAGCTGAGACACTGGGGGGCAAATTCAACAAACACCCACACACCAGCATGGAGAAGTTTTAACTTCTAATTTCAGTTTTTTACATTATAAAATATTAAAAGAATTTGATTTTTACTCTAAAGATATTGGATGAGTTATGATGTTCTGTGTAATTCAAGTCACAAGCCCTGCTAATATATCTCTGTTGCTCTCTGATCCGCAGAGTCAGGCTCTGTTGCACTCTGCAAAGTCAGACCAGGAAGTGACACGCATACAGGCACTCATACTATCAAGTATCAACAGGCACACACATGCAATAAAGCACGCCCACACCAAGGACAATGTGTCCTGGTCAGTTTCTTTCCTCTCCTTGTCCTCTGAGTTTTGATCTGCTGGTTAATTCTTGAAAGGGAGGAACCCAATTGTGTGTTATTGTTGCTTCTTTTGTCCTACATGAACATATTCAATGAAATCAACCACTCGTGAAAACTTTCTTTCCATTTTACAATATCCACACACAGATAGAAAAACAGATAAAAAGATATGTATACTCAGAAAACAAGATTTTTCTAAAACTGCGATATTCAGTTGTGTTTATATTGTGTTTTTTCCATCGTTACTAATGCTGAACATTTTACTTCCACTTTGTTGCAGACCTCCTGACTGTAGAGCCACTGATTTCTGACAGACACTAGATTCATGTGACTTTTATTAGAAAAAAAAAAATCACCAGTGTGATTGAATTTGATAAACTGTTATCAGAGGTAAACAATCCTTCAAAGTTACAAATTTTCTTTTATAGAAACCTGTTATTGAATTATTAAATGATTCTGATTCAAAAAAACATGAAAATAAATAAAAAAAAGTACAAAAAACAATCCATGGCACTCATCCATCCAGTCTGTAACTCCGGACACACGGCCATTTTCAAGTGGTTAATGAAGCACAGCATGAGAGCCATTACTTTACTATTCATGGCATACCCTATCACATGGTTTGCCTAAAACAAGAGTCATGAGACATGGATGACTGGGGATGCAGCAAAAAGTGCCCACAAAGTTCCCATGATGCACACATCATGGGAAAACAGAGGAGTGACTACAGCTCAGATACTTTACATGTACTGTACACTGAACTGAATGGTTAACAAATGCTCAGATGCTTACCTCATGAATATCTCATGAATTATACTTTCACGACTCCCAAACAAAAACTATGTGAACGCATCTACATTTCACTATCACCTAACTAGAAGAAAGCCTAACAAGCAAGGATGAGAACGTTACTTAAATCAGTTTTTCACAATGAATTTGCCCAAACCTACTCTCTGTTGGCCAAACAGTAGTCAGCTGGTAAAACTGGTGATGTATGACTAATTCTTAAAACCAATTTCTAAAACTGATTCATTCTTCTGATTGAATTTTGTACAAAAGATAAAGTGAAGAAGTTTGTTTCTATCAAGAAAGAAACTGAGAAAACACTACACCCTGAGGTTACTAAAAACATACTCTTCTAAAAATAGAAAAAAAAGAAAGACTGACGCCCAACATACCTTGCAGTTTATCTGGATTAAAGATTTCCACAGCTAAACACAAATATTGAGAAACTCTCTTAGGTGATGTGCAACAGACATCCGGGTGGTGGACAACTTTCAGGAATCAGTATTTTTGGTGCTCATCCTCCAATATGCAGTGTTTTAGGTCGTGTATGGTTGATAATTCATACTGCAACAATACTCCACTTGCCAGCGAGGCCAAAACTTTCTCTCTGCAGTGTCAAAGTGAAAACTACTGTGTCTGATTGACCAGAAAAGTGAGACCTCTGCTCTGCTAAATACCACAGTGCAATGAAAAAATAAAGGAGAAGGAATTTAATGGCCACTGCATAATCTTTAAATCCTAAAGTTTAATAAATGACTGGAAAAAACTGCATTCAGATGGTTCATCTGATAGCTTAACACAAACACGTTATGTGTTGTTCTCTATTCTGCGGTGTCTTTGTCTTGACTAACCAGTCACAGACGCTGCCTCTCCCTGTCTTTCTCAATGATACAGTGAGCTGAGAAGGAGATGTAAAGACCAAGACCGTAAACCCACTACTAAAATCACAGCAGATATTTTAACCATATAACCTGTCCTAACAGTGAGAGCTCAGCGATTAAAGTTTTGAAGTAAACAGGAGGACTCTTCTCTGATCTTTAAACTAACACATGTGACCCTGCAGGTTTTCTGGTTAGCCTTTGTGCTTTCCTCTCCAAAAATGGCACACATCAAAACCAGAGAGAGCTTTTTTTAATACTGACAAAAAAAAAACAAAATTACAAAACTAATGTGAAAATTTCATAAAATAAATAAAGATAGAATAAAAATTTCCTCCCCCAAGGGACTTTTGTATTTCTGTCAAGTAATCAGAAACTATTATAAGCTAGAATTTGAGGTTAAATAAGAAACGGCAGTTTTCCAATGCATTCCCATGCAAATAAAAATCTAATAGACATGGTTATCTTAGCCAGTAACATGTTATATATGGATTTAAATGGAAAGACAAAAGTTTTACATCATATTAAAGATTTTAGAAACCAGCTAATATTGCCATCAGTGCTAAACTGCAGTATCTTCTCACTGCAACAGAATTCAAATCAAAACACTTGTTAGCACACTTGACTTGGACATACTTGAGGGTAGGGCTGGGCGATAATACAATAACGGTATATATATCGAAAATTTAGTTCCCTCAATATCAATGTAAAACATGGTCAATATCCTTTTCGATAGTCGGCATTCTGCCATGTTTTGGTAAACTATACGATTAGCCAATGAAAAGGGGAGTTGCTCAGGGTGAGCTTCATGCTCAACCAATCATGTGCTGAATTAGATCCAAGTAGCCGACAACTGCATAGTAGCAGGCTGCAGCTACACACAACCATAGCACTTTAACACTTGAAGCCAGCAGCACTGTCTGTGAGAAAAAAAGAAAAAGACTGCTACCCCCAGCAGAAATGCAGATGAAGGCTCAACAGATGACGACATCGTCAACAACACTGGCACTAAAACATAAGTGGTGTGGAGGTATTTTATTTTTTTGAGGTCGGACATGAAGCAGAGTAATGTGCACTGCAAATTATGCCGAGTACATGTTCTCGCAAAGTCGGTGAGTACCTCAAATCTTTTTCACCACCTGAAGCAGTGCCACAGAGACCTCACAGATGCAGTAGCTTATTATATTGCAAAAGACATGCTACCAATAAGCACTGTTAAATTTCATTTTTTATATCGTGGTATAAATCAATACCGACTGATATGAAAAAAATATATTGTGAGTTGGAGTTTGTTGGAGTTTATCTTCGCAGTCTTCCTCTGGCTGCTCAGAGCACAGAGCTGCACACAGCCAAAAGCTTCCGGTTGTCTCTCCTTGAAATCCAATAAGACAAAAATGTTGGCAACTGCTCAGGATCAATCACTGAAAATTGAGGCTGAAAAACAACATCAGCCTGACAGTCTAATTGATGAACAGCTGATCTGAGCAAAGACCACAAGCCTTATAAAAGACACAGAAAATACAAGCGAAATGCAACATTCATGTAAAGGCCAAAAGCTGTGATGTGCAAATTAGTCGAGTAAATCAAAATCTACTTTGAACAACTTTCTAGAAATATGTAAAAATACTGCAAATGCCAGGATTGTATTCTGCTTTGTCTAGCCTAATGGTCATTCTTTGTACTGCTGATAGAATCAACACTCTGACAGTGTCCCAAGAAAAATGTTGACATATTGCAGCAAGGAAAATCCAAATGAAGCATCAAAATGATCCGTGTGATTCAAATTAGAAACTCCAGCCTCAGTGGACAACAAGCACAAAGGGATGTTTGTCATCAGAAAGGTCATTTACGAACACAAAACTCGACTCCACTACCCTGACAGCTCCTGTAAAGCACCAGTCCTCCTTTTAATCCTCTTACAGTACTTCAAATTTTTAACTAAAACAAAAACCAAAGTTTGTGACAAAAAACTGAACATAAAGTGGAAGATACAAAGACTTTAAAAAGGGAAATCTGACTTGACATTGGAGCCTTTAAAGCCTAAAACACCGGTGATTGAGCCGGCTGATATCTAACAGGTGAAAGTGACAAAGAAAAACATTAACATGGATGGAGGAACAGATGGTGCCAGATTACAGCTGCTGTGGGTGCTTGCTTGAAAGTGGGGAAATAAAATGGACTTCAGGGCCTGTTGTTTTGAGAGTGTGACTATAAAAAGAGAACTCTTTGGTTCCCATGATGGCATTAAAACGGAACAACTAAGACAGATGAAATCTGACTTCTGGCAGGTTAAACTTAGTCCTGCAACTTGTTTATGAAACCAAGAGTTTGTGTACTTGTTTTTTTATATTAAATGTATGTATCTTTTACTGCTGTGCTTAAAGTTTCAGCATCTCTAAATGACTAAAAATTGACTTTGCAGTATGTTTTTGGAGATTGTTGACACGTCCACCTGTCTTACGGCGTTGTTTGGGCAGTTTTAAGCTTAAAAAGCTTGACTAAAGCTATGTGCTAACCTAACTGTAGGTGCATCAGTTGCACACACTGAGCAAAAAATAGTCATCTGTGGAAAGGGTAAACCTTAAAAGCATATGCAACACACAGGAAACCTACTCTATCAAAGAGGAACTATGATCACAAGACAAGTTGTTCCAGACAAACAATCACAGAGGCAGTTGCACAAAAGAACCGTTAGGATGAAGCACCTTTCTATAACATCCATGAGCTTCACCAACTTTTACTCCAGGGCAACATCTGTTAATATACGAAGCATGCTGTGCCTTTCCTTTTTGCAATAACTTTCATCTTGAGGCGAAACAAAAATGCAGACATCAGGAAATGACACATCTGCAGGAGGTCGAAGACTGTTTGAACTAAAGGGAAATTAGGCCAGGGCAGCGCCTTGTTTACCTGGCATTCTCGTGAGTCGAACAAATTTTAGTCACCCGCTTGTATCCACAGAGGGATAAAGCTTTGCTGCCAGCTGATCAAATAAAATGAGTTTTTGAAAAAGAATATTTCAAGAATGTCAAGTTAATTCAATGCACTTGTCTGTGAAGCCAGTGTTAAATATAGATAAGTACACAAACCTGTGGAGAAAAAGCAGACAGCTGGAGATGCAGGCACAGACAGCAGGTGGGAATACACTCAAAGAGTACTAATGATTGATACACCCTCCTTTTTTATCTGTATTGAACAACTGGTCATCTCCCAGTGTGAGTAAGCCTGCTCAGTTTTAACATTTTTCACTACCTGTAATTCCCATTATGATGTTGTTGTTTTTTTTAATTAAACACGAAGACTATTGTGCCATTATAGAAAAAAAACAGCCATGTTGATAGAGTATCTTGACTAGAACAGGTATGGTGAGGACAGAGAGCATGTGATAGGCTGTCAAACGGGTGTGACCTACTTGTGGATTGACTTTGTGACTAAAGAATAAACCCATGAGTCAACTTATTAAACTATTTAATACATGTAGTCTGCGGCCAAATTACTCCTGTGTGCCCTCTAAATTTAATGCATAGTTATTTGACTACTTTCACATAACTGACAACCCCAAATAAACTAGCTCTATACGTTAAGAAGCACATGTTGTAAGATTTTATTTCCGCAGTAAATCTGACAGGAGTAGACATTTAGTTTCCATGTATTAAAAAGGCCTATATTCTTTAAAAATTCCCCGCTTTGTTGTCTTATCCTCAAAAGGAGGATTTTATTTGACTGTAAAAGTAGCATATGCTCCTCCAAACGGACACGCTCCGCAAAGTTAGCAAGTTTGCTAACTTTCTTATAGCAGTTAAAAGTAGTTTGCAAACATTTGTAGAAAGAACATATTCACCGAGAAATGTTTCATTAAATCATTTACCTTTCTCTGCATCCTCCATGGTCTCCTCAGGGCGTTGATTCTTGTACTTTTAATGTCCAGTAGTTCAGCAGGTTGCTCACTTGGCTGCAGCGGATCTTCCTGCTCCCTCTCTCATGTTGCCAGGCAGCCCGCCGTACGTCGGGGTGGGGTTGGCCGTGACGTCAGGACGCCGCAGTGTAAACACGGGCGAGCACGTGGTCGAAGTTTTTACACCGTCAACAACGTACAGCTGCGCGTCAACGACACGTCATGATTTGGCTCTACTGTAAAACACAAACGTGTGGATCTGCCTCTCCTCTGCATTTCATGATCATGAGTTAAACCAAAGAACTAAAAGAAGTTAAAGTATTAGATCGTGGTGATTAAAACTATCACCTGAATGATGAAAATTGCGATTATTATATGCATTCTTTCAGAAATTTAAAAACTCACTTTTACAGACTTGCTTTTATCTTTTTTCTTTTCTCTTTTTACTGTTATCTTTTATCTCTTCTACCTCTATCTTATTTGGACTTTTATGTTTACGCATACAATGTCACTATTTGTGTTGTTTATAGTGTAAATACTTGTACTATATTTTTACTTATTTTATCTATTTATCGCAACATTTTTACTTATTTTTTATCTTCCATTTTATCTATTACTTATCTCCTCTTTTACTGTTTTTACTGTTTTTACTTTTACTGTATTTGTACTGGAGTACTGTAACGAAAGCAATTTCCCCCTGGGGATTATTAAAGTATTTCTGATTCTGATCATGACTTACTGTCCTTTAGCCTTTGTTTCACTAATAATCTTTTCTTATAAAACCTTTTATTGAATTTATTCCATTTTATTATTAATATTACCATCATTATGATTTTTTATCATTATTAATATCATCTTTTTATATTTACTGTCCTGTTTACTGCTTTCAACCCCCCTTTTTTATAACATTTCTTTTTCCTACCTATTTTATGTTTTTATTTTGGTCCTCATGGTCTCATTTTATGTTGTAGGGTTCTTGTATTGTCTGGGTTTCTTATGAGAAATGAAATTGGCCTTTAATTCGCAGGCCTTGTTTTTCACTGAGCTTTTGTTTTTATTTCCATGTGACCTTCTCTGCTTTACGACTGTTGTCAAAGCACTTTGTAAACTTGTGTTTTTAAAATTGCTATAAAAATAAAGTTATTAAAAAAAACAATTATTATTTTTTGTGAAGATACAGTTTTATTTTACTCATATATGTAAGACTGCATTGAAATGTACTTCTTTTTCTAGGGGACAGAACCAGAGTATATCATAACAAATACTCATATTCTTCTTTATTACAGGCCTTGTATCCAATATGCAAGTCTACATTATAACCAGACAACAACATAAAACATTTTTCAGTCGAGATAGGACTCGCATATCACATGTAATGCTGTCAGATGAAGCATTTCCATGCCTTTAGAAGCATCGGTTTACTTGTTGATTTGGTAAAATTACACAGGTTCACATTTGGTCAGTTGGCTAATTAGTCATGTAGTAGGTATTCATTTCAAGTTTTGTTTCAGTTGATGCTAATGATTTATCTTTGAAATAGTGTTGATCAAACCATAGAGTTTGATTTATAGAAAAGGGGAAAAAAAGGAAATGTGATGCTATTTTGGGAGGTTTGCACTGTCAGCATAAGTGAATGAACTAGTGGTGTAATCATCTTACCTAGAGGGAAAAAAGGTCTGTTTACACATAACCGTAAGAGTGACAGAAAACCATGCAATCACTGATGCCTACAAGCCTCACTCACTCACTTCATACCAAATATAAACGTGTTAATATTTGCTTGCCTATCAGTTATTACAAGGCATAAAATCACATGAAAACCCAGTGGCTCTGTCAAGTCCACAGTTAGTGCTTGGATGAGCTGGGGGCACTAAAAAGATTCAGGGCATGCATTATTCCTGCCTTGGGAATTTAGTGATTACAGCTGGATACACAATCCCCAAGTTATTGCAAGCAAACCTTGGGTTAAACCCCACTCTTGTTCACACACTGTGTGTTAAGCCCTTAATTTGACGGAGCTGAAACTGTACACCTAACTATGTGAAACATCACACACACATACACACACATAGTGAGAGGGGGTGGGAGATAGACGTTCACATGAAAGAGTGCCACCTGCTGGACATAATCGTGATGACAGGGAACAGATGATATGAGACACATGTTGATATATTGGAATATCATACTTTAAACTTCGACATCTATGTGGTCTCAAATCCAAATGACTACAAACCACAAGGCTTCAGCATATGTTAAAATGTAGAAGTTTAGTCATTTATAAGTAGCCTACATATTTATCCAAAAAGCACCTGTCAAAGGAATTTTCAGCTTTTATCAGGTATTAGTAAATCAAAAAGATTTGTACTTATAATTTGTACCTGAATTTAATCCCACGGATTGTAATCTATACTATGTATGTCACTAACATCACTGTTTACACACGTATAACTAACTTTAACTCTTTTATAGCCTACATTTATAGGCTTTGTAAGCTGCAACATAAATCATTTTAACTGAAAATGTTTGAATTAAAAAAATATACTTTAAATAGTAAAGAAATTAAGATTTAAAAGTGCTGTCCGAGACATAATACTATCGGAATATTACAGTAACCACATGTAGCACAGGGATAAGTGGGGCACACAAGTTAGTATTTAGGGCAGGGAAGACGAGACAAGCCTTAAAATATAAAGCATGCGGAAAACATGGTTGCAGCCCTTAAAACACAGAGAGAGAGAGACAGAGAGAGAGAGACCCCTCGCTGATCAACAGCACCCCCATCTTCCTTTAAAAGCCGCCCCCTCCCTCTCCAACCCCCCCTTTCTCTGCTCGAGGTGCATTGTGGGGAGGAAAGTCGTTGCCATTCGACCTCTGCGGGGCCTGCGCGGACGCAGCGAGAACCCTGAAATTCATTATGCGTTTAAAACCTTTATTTATTTCCGCATAACCTACATACTCTCACCGGGAGGGCCAAAGCGGAGAAACAGAACGACGACCAGGCCATCTCTTTCGGGAAATACAGCCTCTACAATCACGTTATATTCCAGTCGGAGAGAGATAGTGTTGAGAAAGTGAAGATTCTGATATATATTAAGAAAAATGTCCGGTGAGAGAAACCGCAGGTCGCTGGCTTTCCGAGGGGGTGGATTAGCTGGGTTAACGGGTTCCAGCGGTATCGGTGGGGGGAACTGTAACAGCTGGGAGGCCCCGGCCTGTCAAGACCGACAATTTAACGGGAACAGGCCGGATCAGGAGGAGGACAGGGATCTGGGGGCAAAAGGATCAGCGCTGAAGAGAGTGGAGGGCGCTGGGTCTGTCAGCGATAGCACGGAACCCGAGGCGGAGGAAGAAGAGGACCCGGAAGGGGGCAGCTGGGCAGCGGGGGACGGCGACGATCGCGTCTGCTGCTCGGGAGAAGGGGAGGACGGGTCCAGGGAAGGGAACAGCTTGACAGCGGGGAACGGTCCGAGCAACGCCGACGGTCAGGAGACGGGAAGCGGCGGCGGTGCGACTGGAGGCGAGACGGGCTCCAAGAAATCTGGCGTGGAGATGAGACCGCAGACGCTGCTTCAGAAACACTCACTATTCCACGCGTCGTGGTTGCAAGAATTTCCATGGCTTAAATTCTGTCAGGAGACGGGACTCATGTCTTGTTCTTGGTGTCACAACATTGCCACTAAAAACAGCGACGAGCTTGTTAAAGGCAGTCGCAACTACAAACGGGCCTTGCTGCTGAGACATCACCTGTCTTCTGAGCACGGGAGGAATGACCCAACCAAACAGGTAACGTTACCTACAGCCCCGTGACGGTTACCTACGTAGCGTCAAATACCCACCACACACTCTCACAACGTGTTTCATTTACTCTTTATTTTGTCTCCTGTAAGAGTTTTGATAACTTTTGAACCCCAGAGAAAGCGAAAATAGGCCATTAACTAAGCTTCACAATCCCTTCTTCCTTCTGGCTGATTAGCTAGCATCAGCCTGCTAACCTGAGCTAACGGCTAGCTTAGCCAAGTAGCCGCTTGTAGCTCTGCTGTCTCCCCGGAGGTGGGTGGCCAGTGACGGCTGTGGAAAGCCCCCTTTTTCTATGCTAATGTGTACCAGCCAAGAAACACGCTCTGAAATACTTTTTTGTGTGCGTTACACTTATATGTTTGTACAACTTTTGTTTCTGTGCCCTCACTCTAACCCTACAGTCAGGTATGACACCTGCCACCTACTTCAACACCGGAGGCTGTGTCTTTGTGAGGGAATTACCTTTATGTCACGAATGACTATTAACCATTTTGTCCCATCAAAAAGTCACTGACAATAACAGCGCTGTTTTTAACACACCTTTATTTAGATTTACCCTTTATTGCTCGCGCAGCTGTCTAGATTGCTAGCTTGCTAGAGGTCACACAATGGCAAGAAAACTCGACCCTATCAGCCTTTGGGGAACCGCACCCCTTCCCAACCCCCTCCTCCTCCTGGCCTCTCAGGCAGTTCTGCTGGCTCGCAGTCCCGGGTGACCTCTGGCGCATTTCTTCCTCCTCCACCTCCTCCTCTTTGGGGAGCTAAATTAGAGGCATTGTGTTAGAATGACCCCCCAAAATCCATACTTGGTGTCACTTGTGGGGCTGGACAGGAGCAGTAGGAGGAGGAGGAGAGTAAATCATGCTGCCTGGAGCTTGACAGCTTGCCTGGCCTAAATGCAGCCTTTTGAATAGGCATGAAGGAATAAAATAGATGTCAGTTGATGGAATGACACAGCATCACCTGACCCTGTCCTCCACATATTTCTAGATTAATGGGCTCCAGTGTTATAGCTTTGGGGCACATGTAAGGACGGATGCCCCATCCTGAATGAACAAGGAAACGAACAGTCCTAAGCTTGAGATGGGTAGGGAGACACTGACTGTGTCACCATACTCCATCCCATTTATTCCAACTGTGTTCCAACTGTGATAAGTACAAGGCCTTTTATTGGGTCATTACTTTTGTTGCCGTGTATGGTCCTCCTTTTTTCTACATTCTTTTAGACACCCAGTAAAACAGTAATGAGCACTACCTAACACAGCGCTTATTCTTCATCTACCTTTAAATGTTAAGATAAAGTTCTGTTCCTTGTCTATTTACTCTTCCGACCTGCTTTCCTGACAATGGTCTGGGCTGTCAGGGGAATTGAGAGTGGGTGCTATTTGACTCTAATTTGTGCGAGAAGAGGATTGGGCTACTACATTTAGTTCCTCCCTTAGCACACGCAATCACTAATCAGAATGACTTAAAGTGATCCACTAACTTGTATCTCTAATTGGTAAGGAAAGCAGTAGGAGTGGATTAGGGGCTTGGTGTGGCTTTTCCCTAGCAACAAGGACCCCAGACACTGTACTTAGAGGTTATCCAGGCCATTTCCTTATGAACAGAGAACAGAGACGAGAACAAACAGTTCCATTCCTGCGTTATTGGAAATGAAAATAAGATGGTTTCTGCTCTCTGTATATATGTTTCATGTTCCCCAGATAATGCTGTTTCTTATAAAACTATGATCTTCATCCTTACAGTGCTGTAGAAATAACAACTCACTCTGTATGTTAAGTACAGCAACATTGGGAAGCACTACATTAAAGGAGGAGTTATGGTGTTACGAGGCAACCTCTCGTCCTATTCACCCATTCCTGACGTTAGTCAGGCCTCCGCTGCATTCGTTAAAGCTAACTCAATTAGCCATAGCACACCAGGCAGCTATGGTGAATGTGGGTCTCCTTGGAGAAGGGGTCCATTGTTCTTTATTATCGAGATGCTGTCTTGAGCTCAGATTGCTGCTTTTGCTTGCTGGCAAAGGTAAAGATGAACAGTAGTAGGATGCACAGCTCCCTTAAATTGAGTTAATGATTTAATGTTGACATTTTTTGCCTTTTTTCATAAATTTATAAAAGGTCGTAATTATAGCCCACTGAGGGGGTCATAGAGTAATCCTTTGGAGTCATTGTATACAGCCAATCCTTTCCACATCTGTGCTTAAAACATGTCACAATTCAAAGTTATGTTTCAGTGTTAGATTATATGTAGAAAGAGCTCACTCCACATCCAGCCTTGGCCTATTTTCTCTCACCCACTGCTCCTTTTCTGTCTCTTTCTCATCCATTCCTTATTTGCACCCCTGTTGAAAATGTAGTTCCTTCCTAAGATGTAAACACCTGTTCAGCAAGCCTTCGCAATTTCCAAACTATATTCCTCCCAGGCCAGGGTGAGTCTAAAGAAATTACTAGACGTGGCACTTCACCTTGTTAAATTTGACAACCTACCAAATCTTTTACCTGTGCTGCTGCTGCGCTGATGGTGTAAGATAAGATTACTCACAGTTGATTACCTCGGGGCACGATTTAAATACAGGGGGGCATTCAAGTTTTCTCACTCTCCCAGTTTTAGTTCAGACAAACACCACCCTCATTGTTTAAAGCACGTCTCCTCGACTGCAAACAGGGACCCACCCTTTGGGATCTGGTGTCTGCTGGGTAGATGGGACTTTATTGGGGGGCACAGGTCAGGGGAACGGGGTGGAGTGGAGCCAGAGGGAGAATTCTTCTTGTTGATTCTTCTACCCTTGTTTCTCTCTTCCAATCCACCCCCCACTTTTGCCTCTTCTGTCAGAGCATTGTTAGGAGGCCGGGAGACACTCAGTGCAGCCCTCCCACACCTTAGGCCAACACACACAGCGGTATTGTTTCGGCATCTGGGGACAGACGAGGCTGGGCGAGAAGGGGGGCTTGAGAGAAGGGTACAGTGGATACGGGGAGTTAGCGAAGAGACCAGTGGAAATGGCCTGAGGGTTGGGCTGGTCATGGGATTCACTTGATTTTGGTTGTGGGGATTAGGTGGATGTTGAGATGGGCGCAAAAATGTGCAGGAAATGTAAACAAAAACCTGCTCCAGTTAGTCTTGATGTTGTATGGTGGGCGCAATTTATCCCATGACCTGTTAGAGAAGTTCCTGACTGTGGCCAGTACATCAAAAGCTTGAATGTATTAGCATCATGCTTTGCTTAATCCACCTGTAAATCAATTCTTTTTGGCCGTGTCAATCCAAGATCAAAGGATCCTCTTGCACTCATCTTCTGCCCTTTTTTTTTCCTTTCACCTCCATCGTCTCTGGCGGGGATAAAAAGCAAGCCACGTCATGAGTAGGGGAGGTTGATATTGTCCCCACATTTTCTCTTGGCCTGGGCTGCTTTTGCCTCCAGCATCTGCTGTGCAGGGTTGGTCTGCTGGTTCTCTAAGCTCCCAGCTCACACGTGGCACATCTGGGGAAAGGATGATGCCGCTGCTGAGGCCAGTACAGAGCAACTTATCCAGTACCAGGCTGTCCTAGCCTGACTCCAAAAAGCACTCACGCACGCACACACACACATGCATACATTGGATCAGAACTGCTGGGCACAGTCTTACCTCTCTGGCCCATCGCTTTGCCGTGTGTAATGGATAAAAGCTGTGGAGAGTCATGGGGTTCGGGGGTGAAATAGCTTGCGAGTCCAGCTCCACAAATACCTTTGTACTCGGAGTTTCACACTTTTTGTGCTCAATCCTGCGGTACTCAAGCAGTTGAGACTATTCCCCTGCAGGCTGCTAAATACAATTAATGTTGTGATAAGCCCAGCTTCATGTAAGTTTTTCAGGAGAGTGTGCAGGTGTGTTCAGACAAAAAGCAAAGCCAGTTTTCACAATAGAGCACCTGCCCATCTGCTTTTGGAGGGAGTCAGCTTCTCTCTGAACCTCAGCAGCATAGATTCAAAATTAAGCTTTTTGCTGTGATTGAATCTCAATAAACGGGTCAAAAGATGTAAAAAAATCACTGTATAATCCCGCGTATCTGCAGAAGATCAAAATTTTTGTGAGGTTAAGCCTAAAGGTAAAAGTGCTCGCTCCATATACAGAGGCTCTAGTCCTCATCTCAGCAGTCGCTGGTTCAGCTCCCCTTCAATCAGAACTCCGATGTGTGTGTCTTTGGCGTTTTTACTTTACTCTTTGACACAGTGCTGTGACTTTTCGGAAAGTAAATTGTAAATGCTGGACATGAGTCAAAAAGATGCTGCAAAATTACTATATCACTGATGTAAAAATCAATGCATTGTCAAATCTGTTTAGACAAAAAGCAAAGAACTTTCAAAATTTTCATCTTTTTGAGCAGAAGCTGGTTTTAACCGGTTCTAAATCAATTGCAGGACATTAGTGAAATCTTAAAGTTGATAGGCTTTTATGTAAATACCTGGTTTAGAGCCCCTCATTTCTAAATTAGTCAAATTTTATATTTTGCTATTTGAAATTTTCTCCCTTTTTGGTCTACACACACCTTTAGACAAAAATATGGAAGGTAACTGCGCAATGACCCACAGTATGACTCCAAAACGTATCTAGCCCCTGCTGCGGTTGCACTCCTGCCCTTCACACCAATATTTCCACAGCACTCAACGTGATGACCATTCCCCCTCAGAGTCTTTGATGTGTATATCAGGAATAATTTGTTCCTGTTCTCCCCATCCTCTTCAACCTCGCCCGCATGCACCCTGCCTGCTTTCTATGCCTGCTTGTGAGAGATGCTGTGTAATAAGAGAGTGAGTGCAGAGCCCTTTTCACAAAGACCCACAGTGAGTGGACAATGAGCCTCGGGGAGAGCACGGACTATTGTGAAGGCTAAAATGGGGTGACCCAACTCCTTCTCTCCTTCGCTCTCTTCTCTCCAGCCCCCCTCTGCTCCACATTTTCTCCTACATCCTTTTTCTCGAGGCTCAAGGTCTCGCTCTCTCGATTTCTGCCCCACACTCTCACTCGCTTTCTTTGTGCGTGTGTTATGAGGCTTCCGACCAGTTCTCCTCTTTTTTTTTTTTTTTCACACTAATTTCACTTCGTTGTATTTCCACTTTTTTCCTCCCCAGGACTTAATTTGTGTTTCTACTCCCTTGTTTCCTCTCCTCTTTATTTCTTTGAGCCTGCAGAGTACGAGCACTTTCCCCCCCTCTCTATCTCTGCCCCGCTCTGCCTCTCATTTCACTCTATCCCATCTCTCCATCTCTCCCCCTCCAGCTGTGGCGGAGGATGATAAGCCCCCCTATACTATCCTGTGTGCCCAGGCCGCCCTGGACAAGAGCTGCAGTGTGGAGGGAGTAGGGGTGGGGGTGGGGGCTGGGTGGGGACCTCAGAGAAATGGATTTAATCTGAATTACTCGAGCTGAAGCCCCAGCTGTGTGTATGTGTAGGCAGCTTGGTTTCTGTGTACGTGTGTGTGTGTGTGTGCTGCAGAGATGGTAGTGGGCGGGGGCAAAAATGCAGGGCTCTAGCAATGTGAATTATTCTGGATTAGGACATCTGCTGTGCAATTCTAAAATGAGCTGGAGATGTATGCGCCTGCATGAGTGTGTGTGCGTGTGTGCTTGTGTAGCAGTTATTTTGCAAACATAGACATGCTTGGTCTTCATGCGTTTTGATTTCTGGGTTGGGATGTGTAATTGTCAATTTATGTTCCAAAGCCAGGCCATGTATTAACGAAAATGGAGAGAGTATCCACTGCCCCACTCTGTACCAGGCTGGCCCTTTGCCCTGTTAAGACGGGGAAGGGAAGGGGAGGGGAGAGGAAGAGGGGCTGTTAAAGGGTGGATCCATTCTACTGCCAGGCCTCCTACAGTCCTATTACCCCAGCTAGTCTGCTTTGAATGCTTGTTGTCAGCTCAGCCTTCACTCAAATAACCACCTGCTTTGTAGCTCCCTTTCCTGTTCAAGAGAGGTAAATTTTACTGTATGGGCATTATGCGAGTATTAAAATTTTATCTTGCAAATCTGCTTGTTAAGAGATTTTCTAAAGTCCAATTTTTTTGTAACTACAATAAAGTCTGAAATTATGCCCCTGAGTTCAATCAGCCTTCACAAAAACTTAAAAACAAACATTCGACACACTGGCTGTTGCATTTTCATGAGATGTTTAAAGGGATACAGCTGCACAGAACTCACTGTGTTTGAGTTACCTCTGAAGTCAGAAGTCTGAGCTGAAAATGACGTCACACCCTAGTTACCAGCGTTTCGGTTACCAAGTCGGAAGAAAGCACAATCGGAGGCGGAAACAAGATGGCTACATCTACGAAAGTTATTTTAGCACCTGCCGTGTCCGAATATAAGCAAGGACAAGGCAAGTTCTAAAATATCTTTCATAGATGTAGCCATCTTGTTTATGTCTCCGATTGTGCTTTTTCCGACTTGGTAACTGATGTTGCGTTTGAGTTACATCGGACATTCATTGGACCTTGTGTCATATTTTTGGTGCGTGTCTATGTAGTTTCACTTTGGCAAAAGAAAGAGATTGATCATCGGACTGTGTAATAGGACCCATGCCTAAGAGTAAACACGCCTTTCTTTACTCTTTTTCCCACCTCCTCCACAACAGAGGCTTGTCAAACCTGTTTCACCCTAAAGGCAGGAGTGTCATTGTCACACTGGGAACCCCTGAGGGTGTGTGTGTGTATGTGTGTGTGTGTGTGTGAGAGAGAGACAGAGTTACAGGAAACACAGCAGTAACCCTGTATGGGGCATTTGTGCTGGTTGTAGTTATTTACATGTGTAAACCCACCAATCTGCTGCAATAACGTTCTCTTTTCTTCCTCTCTTCCTCATAAAAGGAGATGGTGAGGCCTTCAGACAACGCCAGTCCCTCCACTATCAGCTCAGAGGAAGACTACCGCAACAAACCCAACGAGAACTCCTACTGTTACCAGCTTCTCCAGGAGCTGGACAAGCAGCGGAAGAGCGGCATCCTCTGTGATGTCAACATAGTCGTCTCGGGTCAGGTGTTCCGCGCCCATAAGAACATCCTGGTGGCGGGCAGCCGCTACTTCAAAACCCTCTACTGTCTGACCAAGGGTGAGGCCCAGGACCAGGCCACAGTCACGCACCTGGATGTTGCTGCTGTGCAGGGCTTCTCAGTTATCCTCGACTTTCTCTACTCCGGGAATCTGCTGCTCACAAGCCAAAATGCCATAGAGGTAATGTCTGTAGCTAGTTACCTCCAGATGACAGAAGTTGTACAATCATGTAGGGCTTTTATAAAAGATGCCCTGAATATCAGCATCAAGCAGGAAGCCCCCGACTCAGTGGTGGTGGACTACAACAAGAGGCAGACAGTTGCCAAAGAGGGACAGAGAGGCCTTGACCGGAAGCCGAGCAACTTCTGGGCCACGAGCATCCTGTCAAAGCTATCAATCAAGGCGAGCAACAACCAGGGAAAAGAGGCTATAGAAGAAGACGAGGAGGGTGGCAGGGTGAAGGAGGAGACCAGCGACATTGAGGTGACAGTGGTTGGGGGTGAGGGCTGTGCCCTGATGACCCCCGGAGCTTCTGGTAGCTGGGCCCATCACAATGACAACTCGTCCGATTCAGCAGAGACCAATGAGACGCGGGCTGCAAGCGGCCAGGTGTTCGTCTGGAACGAGCCGGCCACAGGTGGCGCCCCAGCAGCCCCTGCAGCGATGAAGAGAGAAGCCCCGGACGCTGCAGCCGGGAGCGGACGGAGGAAAAAGCAGACGACCACGCGGCGTTTCGTGTACAACTTTCCACCCGAGCCTGAAGAGGGATTCGACGAGGGGATGTTCATCCAGCCTTCAGCCTCCTACCCCAGGGAGGACTTCTCTTCCCTCTCAGAAAATGCTGGTATGACACATTTTTAATTCCAAACACCAACCCACACACACCCAGCCCAAATCCTCTCCTCTACAGTATATCTATAGCTCTCCCCGTAACTTGTGAATGTCTTTTTTTTAATTAGTCACGCTGTGAACTCAGAGTTGCATGCAGAATACTTGTAACCATTTTAAATGCAAGTTCATCATTCAGTTAAACGACATGTTTAAAGAGCCTCAGGTGCATAAAGCAACATGACGAGGGTCAGAGAGCAGAGGCAGCTAGCCCTATACTGTCACCTCTGCAACTGTGTGTCTCTCTTCGCTGTATTTATGCGATTACACCTGCAAACTTTGCCTGTAGCTTCTACAAGTTGGGGACTTCACACAACAATTCGAACATTAGTTATGTCAGGCAGCATCATTTACCAACTTCACACCTTTCTTCTGCCTGAAGCTAAATGATCATACAAAACAAGTCAAAACCAGTTCTTCTAGATGTTTGATTTATCGTCTGAATAGAAATTTATCACTGACACAACATTTTTACACATGTATTTAGGAGTATTTAAAGTGAGTATCTGTACGTGTGACCAATGTGGGTGTTCCAACCATGTATCTCTAACGATTTACCCACCAGAGAGGTCAGTGGGTTTGAAGAGGATAACCTCTTTGGTCACATGACTCAAGTATTTGATCCTCTGCTGCAGCCTGTAAATTTTGCATCATTTTAATCTACTGCTGGAAGATTGCACTTATGTTACTTCAGGGTGGCATTGCTTTATTTAGATAACCGATCTTTGATCAATAAGTGACATATATCCAATCATGTTACATCTATAATTACTACTGAAGTGATTCTGTGCTTACTACGAAGCCGTGACCATGATCATAGGCACGATCACTACTTTTCATGGTGCGGTTATTGATCACAGCGCAAGTAAAATGCATGGAGTTTCAGCTGTAGATCAATGTCCTCACAGCTGACACCCAACAGCAGGGATGATCGCTTATCAAGCCTTTAACCTGTCGTCCACAGTCAACAAAGCAGTCCCCTCCAAGCTCGATCTTCACTAATCACCGCAGAGCAGGAGGGGACTTAAGAAATTACACCCACTTAGAAGTGCTTTACAGTCACATCACTTCTAAGAATTGTGTCGTGCCGAACTCCAGATCAGCGTGTTATTTTACAGTACAAAATAATTTAGGTATTATTTTAAAAATGTGTTTAAGAGGGTACCACAATAAAGGTATTTATGGAAGAAACATTTCCCAGCCTCTGTAGCTTGTAAATCCACGCTCTATCTCAGGGTTGGTAAAATCATTGAATCAGTGAAAGCCACTTTAAAGGTCAGAGGGATTCATTCAATTAATTTCCAAATCTTGCTTGTTAGAACTTTGCGCTCCTCCCTTTCTCCTCTCTCTTTGACAACTCTCTCTCCCTCTGTTCCTCGCTCTCTCTCTCTGTCACTTAATCTTCCCATTGCCCTGCCCGTCCCATCCGCACACACACAGCGAGCGCTCTTAGTAATCTCTTCCCTTCAGCTCCAGCCTCCTCCTTCTGTCAGCTCCATTAAGCGTGGCACTCCATGTAACCATAATGATATCACATATTAAGTGGAGTGGTATGGATGGGAGGAGAAAAGGGGGGGATGTGTGAGGCACAAAGTGTGTGTAGAAAGAGGAGGAACTACATTTTGTGTGTGAGCGAGAGAAGCCCTCCCTAATGCAGGCAAATGAAGAAAGCCGGGGAAACATTTCTTCCCCCAGGCCTCCCTAAATGCACTTGAATGCTCTTAGTGCCTTCAACTCCTCGTAGGGCTCTCATAATATGTGCACGAAGTGATCCGGGGTGTTGTAATGGCTCGGAAAGACGCTCTCTTAAAAAAAACAGGGCTTGCGTGCATGCATACCAGCTCCCAACCTTCTTGTCCTAATGCCAAACTTTTCCAAACAAAGGTATGGTTCGGACGTGGAGCAGACTGTTTGTCATGGTAAAAGCTTTCAAGGCAACCGCTAAATTTTAGCTCTGTAATGACCAGTGTATTAGCTTGAGTCATTCATACGGCTGACACGTCATCAGTTTAAATGTAGATCAGGCAGCCATGTGCCGATTCTGATGTTCATGTGGCAGGAGAGCAAGTCCAGATTTACATGTGAGCCAGTGACGCTGTGAGTCCCTATTCCCCTCTGAGATGCTTTCTCAAGTTTTAGGATGCTGTTTTTGTCTCAGGAGAGTTGAGATGTAGCTCAGAGTTGTAGTGACAATGACCTTTGGACGGACTGTGGGTGATTTGCGACAAGGATTTCTTAAACAAATGATACCCTGTCAGTCTACTTTAGCCCAATAAGGGACCAAACAAGGAGGTGAGCCACATGTAGATCATCAGCATTTTGTCTTCCAGGAGAAAATTTGAGCTTCCACTTAATCCGATATGCACTGTAGGGTCCTTTTTATTGTTGTTAATCTAAAATTTAAGACTTTAGGTCCTTACACACCAGGAACGATGCAAATATACAACGCAAAATATTCAGTGGCGAATTTTGACGCGCCTGACTATACACATAAAGCATGTGTAAAGCATGGGTCTTTCCGGGGGAAAAAAGACGCGTCCAGGGTGGAAGCGATAAGACTGACACAACAGCAGATTCTGATTCTGAATCTTGTTGTTTAATCTGTTCTAATTAGACGCTAGTGTTGAGATGTCTGTCTGTCATGATAGCATGTACTGAGTCGGGGCCAGTACCAGATAAGAACATTAAACTATAATCCATAAACATAAGGTAACAACCAAGACCTAATGGTGCTGTGACAGCAACACGATTGAGTTTGAGACAGTGAAAATACATATGGTATGTTGTATCTGAACAGGTTAGCTTACGAGCTAAAGTTACTTAGCACAGATAAAAGTTAAAACAAAGACGTTTAGCAAACTGTTAAAGCACACAAACCATCGTCATATGAGAGATCCAACGCTATGACTCTCCATAAGTTGTCCTTCAGGTCGTTATCTTTGTAATATTTGTGTCTTTAATCAAAAAGCACTCTGTTCTCTGACACGTAAACAATCAGCTGGTCGGCCATGTTGGATATACCGGTGAATCAGACATCGCAAAAACACGAAGTCTGATTGGTCAGAAGTGGACACACATTATGCGAAACTTTAGAAATTCGACTGTGATACGAAAAATAAATGCCGCGATATCGCAGGACGGGAAAACGTTGCTGATGTGAACACTTGTATTGACAGGATACCTGTTCGAAAAAAAATTTTGACGTCTGAAATAATCGCATGGAAAAAAAATGCTCCCAGTGTGAAAGGACCTCTAGTTTTCAACTGTCAGTATGTAAAAACCCTGCTTACATCCTACTTTTTAATTTTTGTGTACTCTCCATGTGTCTCATCTTCTATTGTAGTCAGAATCTTTGTAGTTTACTCTTAAATATGTGGACTTATGGCTTACAGCATCTAAATAAACCTGTGATGTTGAGGCAGTATCCTACCAGTGTGCCCCTGAGTCAGTTTTTTTGCACAATCAGGGAACACGCAGCACACATGGAAAAATGTAACTGTACCATTCTTAAACAGAAAAGTCTTTGTCAGATGTTTGACTTTGTATGTATGGTTCCCATAGCCTCTCTGCCTCTCCCCATCAAGCTCCAACTGCATGAAGTGTCTGTTTGTCGCGGCCTGCTCTGAATACGTGTCACATGAGGTCTCGAACTTTAGTTACACTTAACTGAAATATTGCTTCCCATAGCAAAAATGGGAATGCGTACAGCTATTAGTCACATCCACTGTGGGTTATTGGATTATTCCATTGTTGTTGGTAGTCTTGCAGAAGAGACAAAGAGGGTTCATAGTTCTGCTTGTGGACACGAGCAAACACACAAAAACCCTGTTTATTATAGCGATGCCCTCACTCTGAGTATAAATCCCTCTTAGTGGTCATTTTGCTGCATGCTTCTGTCCAGGCTTATGAGCAGTCATCCACCTATATTAGCTGTCCCAGTTTCCCACAGTGATGTCACTCGTTTGGATCTGATTTTGCTTCAGTTTGATCTGTGCAGTCATGCTCCAAACACTGTAGCCTAAATTCAGCCATTCTGTCTGCTGCATGCATTTGGCTGTGGACCCTTTTGAAAGATACGCTTGTTTTTCTGTCCTTTTTATTTCAACTAATACAACAATTTGGACATTAACTTTTTTGCTCAATATGATTAAAGCCATGAGTTATTGTTTCCTGGACTTCAAAATGCCAGAAAACAGGTCCTGGAAAAGATCAAGCTGTCTGAGATTTTTCTTGACCCCCAATAATAATAAGATGTAAAGTAGAAAATACAACTGCACAACTCTAACTACTGGTCTGCTGACAGGTGATTCATGATGCTAATGATAGTTTTTCCCTTGACATACATCTAAAAAGATGAGATCACCTCATACTTGGGGTTTAATATTTAATGGGGTCCATGCTTTGCTCTACAACATATTAAAACAGAGTAGTATGATTTATAGTCAAATTGACTCGCTGTCTGAGGCTGGTGGATTTCTGCTGATAGACTCCTTGTGTTTCTGCGACATCATCCCACTCAGAAGCTTAGTCTATTTTCCTGATCCAATTCCCTGAATAGAAGGTTATCTGTGATCATTTCTGTGTCAAAGTGTCATTTCTGACATCTTAAATTTGGTCTGTACATTGATCAGAGGCTGTATCTGAGCTTTAAAGGTGCAGTCAGAACCCAGGTTAGCCTGAAACAGACATCACAGTCCCATCACAGCACACAAATAGGAAAGATAGAGCTATTTGACTGGATTCATCCAAATCAGGTTAAAGTGGTATGAGCCGATCTGTGCTCTTTCTGTGTTCCTGTATTCAGGTGCCTCATTTAATTATGCATGTGATTGGTCATTTTGAGGTGTTAAACATTTAATATTCAGGATCAGTGGTTCGTCCTAGCATGTATTTCTTTATTTATTCAAGCTACAGAGAAACACATGGAAAAATATTACTGTTTATGTTGGAGAGACACTAAACTAAACTCTAAATGTGTATTTAACACAAACCAGTAACTGTTTTAAGGTAGACACTAGGGGTGGAAGAAAAAAATGATACGGCATAGTATCGCGATATTTTGTCTGGTGATATATCGTATTGTCTCATTGACCAAGTATCGCTTTTTTAAAAACTAATTGTTAATATGAAGTCAAATCTTTTGATAATGGGAAAATAAAATCAACTGGTTGTCCAGTGAGGTTGGCAGAGGCGACATCGTAGAGCAGGAGAAAGTTAGTACAACAAATCTGTCTATCTAATCTATCTATCTATCTGGTTTGCAAGATGTGCTACATGAAAATGAGATACAGTGTAAATAAGACAAACATAAAGGAAAGACAAAACTGTTGGAAAAAAAAAAAAAATTGCAATATATTGGTCGCTGTATTGCAAAACGTCAAAAATCACAATAACATAGTGTTGTGGCCCAAGTATCATGATAATATAGTATCGTGGGGCCACTAGTGAATCCCACCCCTATTAGACTCTCTGTCATTTAGGACGGAAAACCATGTCATTATTTTGTCAGGCTTTATAACACTAACGAGACTGCCTGCAGTGTCTGCAGACAGAATCTGTGAGCATAGGCACTGGCCATTACTGATCATTCAGTATCTTGTTGGATATCTCAGCCATAGAAATGAAAACATGATGACAGATTCAAATCTACAGGGAGACAAAGTAAAGGGTTTAACAGAAGGACTCGTGCTGAACTTCATTAAAGACGGTTCAAAGATCTATAAGTCCTTTGCCTTGACTGTCTGTTTTTCATGATGCTGAGCCTGCAGCCAGGCCAGTACATTCTTGAGTCTTTTCCAAACACGGCTTTTGGATTGTTTAAAGGGTGGGTTCTGCACACAGACGCACAGAGCAGGTGGAAGACATTTGCATACACTCCGGCCTCTCTCTTCTGGGCGCACAAACGCGTACAGCCACAATAACTTCCCCCAATCCCTGCGAGGTGCAAAGCCGGTGGGGGCTGTCTCTCCCCTCTCTAATCCACTCTAATGCACTGAGGCTGTCCTCACTATTCCAAATATTGACCCAGGGAGAGTGAACACACACACACACCACATACACACATATACACACTCAACGGGGCGTGTCTTTAATGGGCTCTAAGCACTGATGCTGGAGGAACCGGACACACACACACACACACACACACACACACACACACACACACACACACACACAGGTGCTCACACACAAAAGCCAAATGTAAGCTGAGCTGGTGTGAGGACTCGACTCGTTTTCTAATTAACCCCCTCCCTGCTGGAGCCCTGGTTACACCATTAGCTTGTTGTTCAGGCCTGGGGGACATGTTGAGGTGTGGGGAGGGGGGTTGCAGTGCTTTGCATAGAGTAGGGCCCTGTGTGTGTTTGTTTGCCTGTTTTGTTAACTGAAACTTCCATTGTTTCATACGGGGGGTCGGTTAGTTGTGTACACGAGGCGTTATGAGGTGTGCACCCCCCCAGGCTCTCAACCACCTCTCTTCTCTCTTTCTCCCTCTCTCACTCCTCTTGTCCTCACCCCTTCCCCCCCCCTTCCCTTTTTTTCTCCCTCCCCACCTTTCCCAGAGTTGGCCAATCAGATCCAGTATAGCATCATCCAAGACTTACAGCAAGGAGAGTCCTGGGAGAATGGTAAGACGCCGCTCTCTCTAGTCCACAGCTAAAAAAAAAAAAGAAAATGCCTCTGTGAAACTTTAACCAAAATGCATCTTCTCAAATGAGTGTGAGCAGTGAGGTATGAGAAAGGCAGACACACATCTCTGGTATAGGACTCATGATCAACCACAGTTTAAATGCTTGGTTGATCAGGAAGAACCACAGAGATAAGATAAGCGAAGTGATCGTCGTAAACTCCTTGTAAGTGAAAGAACAAGAAATGTGGGAAAAGTGCAGAATGCGGTCAAATAATCACCTCATTTTCTCCAGTTGTCTTTTCAGTCGGCTTCAGTTCAACCATATTATTACACATAAAGCTTATATATTCCTGCTGTTTTATGGGTGTGTTAAGCATTTACCACAAAGGCTTCAGGATCCTGTTGGCTTCCCACCTCTGCAAACTGCTCTTAAGGTCATTACACACCGGGGCCGACATGAATATAGAGCGCTAAATCACAAAATATTCAGAGGCGAATTTTGACGCGCCTGACTATACACACCAAGCCCGATGCAACTTTTCGGGGGGAAAAGACGCATCCCGGGGAAGACCTTTCCGGGGGACAGTCCCACCTCCTTAGCGTCTGATTGGCGAAGGAGGGCGGGACCTTCCCTTAACAACCTACAGCATCCCAGGTAGAAGCGAGAGGACAAAAATGGAGTTTACTTCAACGTCAAGTGATGGCAAATTGGTACTTCTTTTGCTTTCTCAAAAGAAAAAGAAACGTAGCACATGGGTGCATGCAATATTACAAAAAAGAAGAGAACTTGGTGAGTTTCACTGCCTGGTTCAGGAGCTGAAACTGGACCACGGTCGCTTCAGAACCCATTTTTGGATGTCTGTTGGACAACTTGAAGTTCTGCTGAAACAATTCGTTCCAAGTTTGAAGAGGCAGAGGACTAGACACTAGTGTTGAAGTGGCTTTCTGTACTGAGCTAGTACCAGATAAGCACATGAAACTATGGTAACAACCGTTAGCTCACGTTAGCACAGACGAAAGTTAAAACAAAGATGTTTAGCAAACTGTTAAAGCACACAAACCATCGTCATATGAGAGATCCGATGCTATGACTCTCCACAAGTAGTCCTTCAGGTAGTTATCTTTGTAATATTTGTGTAAACGATCATAAACAATCAGCCGGTCGGCCATGTTCGATATAACGGTGAATCAGACGTCGCAACAACACGCAATCTGATTGGTCAGAAGTGGACACACAGTATGTGAACCTTAAGAAAAATCGTCCATGATCTGAAAAATAAATGCTGATATATCGCAGGACAGGAAAACATCGCTGATGTGAACGCTTGTATCAACAGGATAAGGGTTCGAAAAAACATCTTGAAGTCTGAGATAATCACACGACAAAAACAGTCCAGGTGTGAAAGGACCTTTACTCGGTGCGCTTTGGTTTCAACAGCTGAAGATGTGCAAACAGAAAAGGGCTTAAATTTGACATATTCACAATAACCTCCCTGATGCACACTTTGCATTAAGCCTTGTCAAGATAACCTTTAATGTAGCTTATTCAAATAATGTTCAACATTTCTGTAATTTGATCTGTTTTCCAGACTATCGCAGCTGTCATTGCTTCCTCAAATGTGTATATATATATCTAAAAAAACAGACTGACTCTCGTTTTTGCTCCGAATGAATATCTATCACACAGTATACTCACACTGCTATGTAAAGATAAGGGTAAGACTGTGACTGTTGTTAAAAAGCAGAAGCTACAATTCCCCTACAACTCTGAATTAGCAGCTTGTACTGTTCCACAAGGTGCTTCTAGGTAATATACCAGTCACACACACACACACACCCCGTGAATACACAGGTGACCTGTTTCTCATCAACCCTCCCTCCACCTCCCCCTTAGCAACCTGCCCTGACAACGCCTCTGTTGTGTGCTCCCTGTGTCAAACAAAAGGCTCGACCCCGTTCCCCCACTCTCTCTCTCTCTCTCTCTCTCTCTCTCTCTCCACAGTATAGACCAGCACTCTATGTGGATTCTTTTTTAATCAATACATGGCTTATTTATTTGGAGGGCCAGCTGTTCCTACCAGCCTGTGAGCACAAACACCCAAAAGAGGGCTAACGTTGATGATGGGTATCTGTTATCTCACCGAGAACTGCACAATATGTCTGTTTGGTATAGTAACATATTAAAATTTTCTTTCACATTCACGTCACATAATCCGAATCCATGTCCCATCAGTGTGTTCTAGGTCAAGACGTCCGATATCATCCCAAACTGTGACTCAGTTTTTGGGTTTTAGAGGTGGTTGGTAAACTTCACAAAGGTTCTATAGTAATAAGTTTTGTTTCCGAACCAAACTTCCACAAAAAGAGCCGGTTGTGTGCATCGGTTTGTGGTTTTTAATTCTTTCCAGCGGTTCCCGTATCCTCTCTCAGTGACTTGATAAACAGGATATCGGCTCTCGACACACCCTGCCTATTCTCGTTAGTGGATCTATACATGCAAATGTAGCTTTTATGTTGATTGGCTTGTTGCATGTACAGTTTGTTCAGCTTTAGACTGAGAAGAACATCTGTAAAAGTGTTGTATTTACAATGGACAGAGATTGAGGGAACAGGCCAGGTATTCTTCCAAAAATTAACCCTGAAAAAGGGAGTCGTTTAATTATCATGATTGTCTTTTTTGGACCAATATGTTTCACGTTTATGTGATCCATTGTACTTTGCGGTGACTAAATGTGTCTGTTGCTGACCTTGTGTTCCTCTGTGTCTCTGACCAGGAGAGTCCTCACACCTCGCCCTCAATAAGCTCAAGTGCCCCCACTGTAACTACATCGCCAAGCACAGACGCACGCTCAAGAGGCACCTGATCATCCACTCGGGCGTGCGCTCCTTCAGCTGCGACATCTGTGGCAAGCTGTTCACCCGCCGTGAGCACGTAAAGAGACATTCCCTGGTGAGTCCACATATGCACCAGCTCCTCTCTCTCTCTCCTCTCCTAACATCATGTGACGTGTGTCCGCCACCTTCTGCCAAACACTGCATGAGCATTTCGGCCACCCTCACTTCTTGGCTCTCTGTTCCATTATTCATTTTGAGTCTGGCAGAGAAGGGTTGCAGGGATTTTTTGGTAAAAAGGTGACATTTTTGGCTACGGGGCGTTTGCTCTAATATGGGGAGAATGCTGGAGTCTTTCACAGAGTCCTTAATACAGTGTCTTAGTGCATTTTTATGATTCAAATTTGCGTTTAAAAAAGGAGGACAAATTTGTAACTGTACCATTTCTAATTCCATATTTGTTTAAAGGAGTAGTTCAACATTTTGGCCTCTACTGGCCTGGGTTTAAATGAAATAGTTGAACCTGTCATTGTCTTAAAGATGAAGCTCACATGACGTGATTAGTTAACATCCCTAGTCTGAACTCATTTGGAAAAATAAAGAGGGTGGGGGGCATTTCTATCTCTGCTCTCTTACTTTAGTAGCTAAGTTAAGGTCCTTACACACCGGGAATGACGCAAATATAGAACACAAAATTACGAAATGTGTGAAAGGACCTTTAGAGGTAACTTAAATTTTAGCCTACTTATGAAAGAGAACAAAACCAATGTTTTTTTTTAAACTCTTCCTTTATTGAAAGTATCAGAAAATAATTAATCTAATCTAATCCTCTACCTTACAGGTGCACAAGAAGGACAAAAAGTATAAATGCATGGTGTGCAAGAAGATCTTCATGCTCGCAGCCAGCGTCGGCATCCGTCACGGCTCGCGGCGCTACGGCGTGTGCGCAGACTGCGCCGACTCGCACCAAGCAACTCAGGAGGGCCTGGAGGGGATGGAGGGCATGGATTTCCCTCGTGACGAAGACTTCGAAGGCGAGGAAGTGGAGGACCTGGAGGGAGAGGAACCCACTGATAACGACCAATCAAACTGGGGTGAGAGCAACACTAGTGCTGCCCCGGAGGAGGACTAAGAATTTTAACAAGCTTGAGAAACAAATAAAAAAAGTTGATGTTTAATATATATGTATACAAAAAAACTAGCTGGTAAACAATCAACTCCAAAGTGCTATCAAACCTCGAGGTTACTTAATTGTGCAAGTATATGACAAAGAGATGGATTTAGAGAGAACTAAAAAGCTTTGGTAGAGTGGAAACTCCAAGATGTACAGATTTAATTATTGTTAAAATGTGTCCAACTCTGGGCCCAGCGCCCACCAGAGAAAGAATCTAAAGATGAATAATATGATAAATCAGGTTTTGGTGATGTATTTTTATTTTCCGGTTTTGGGGGGGAGGCGGGGGTGATGTAGTTTTTTGAGTTGGGTTAGGCCAATCATTTAAAAAAGCAAAATGTTAATTATTTAATTTATGAAGAGAGGTTATAATGGTCTTATCAAATGCTATAAATTAATTTCTGTTGTTTTTGTCTGCAGGCAGAGGCACAGTGACAGCTGTAGCTTTCTGCACAATCTGAAAGTTTATTGCTTGGTGCTTGTGCAAGTACACCGAAGAAGAGCATTATTGTCCACAGGAAGATTTCTAACTTGCTCTGTAGATCATGTTTAGACGCGCTAAATATTATTATTATATTATTATTCGTTTCTCTTTTTTTTTTCCTTTCCCTGCACAAATCTTGGAACCAAAAAATCTGTTTTGTGACTCTAATGTATCGCAGCCATATTTATGATTAATTTAAGAGGGCTGTGGTATTGTGCCAAACAGACCGCACACCAAGACTGAGCAGGAACAAAACTACTGAATACGCTTTAAAGAAGAAAAAAAAAAACAGACAACGTGAGTTAATTTTTTAATTTTTTTTTTTTGTTAAGCGGGAAAAATATTGATTTAAAAAAAAAAAGCGAAAGTACAAGGGGAAATGTTGCTAGCTTTATACAAATCACGGCGTCACAGTAACACTTTATTATTAAACAAAAGCATTTGACTTTCACTTAAAGCTTGAATTTTGCCAAATGATGAAACGTTTGGTGCTGTAATGCTTGTCGCAGAATACTGGACCTAAAGGCTATATATGATGTTTATAATCATAAAGCTTAAACTGACTCAGTTATACATATGTGTAATCAGCTCATACTATAGAACACTGTTGTGCTACGGCGACTATCAGGTATGCTTTGCCATTGTTTTTAAGCTTCTGTTTTATTTAATGCACACACACTCACACACACACATACCATTTTGTAGAACTACCGGCAGTACTTGTTTTTGACATTTTTAAGGACCTAAGTGGACATCAACACCTGTATACATTTGTTTATATTTGGTACTGAGTTAAATACCGTTTATATATTTAAAAATCACTTGAACCTTTGGTTGTTAGGGGGGAAGAAGTTTGCAGGAAATGATGATGATGATGATGTGTGATATTTAAAGTCTGAGAGAACTCCATTTTTCACGTGTAAAACGTACAAAATGTCATCAGTTTAATTTGATGTAAGTTTGTTTTTATTTTTAATTTTATTTTTTAGGTCTGCCAGGTAGAAAAACACTTTGTTCCACAAAAAGTGAAGCTCTATGGCGCCTCATAGACATGCACTTAAGTTTGTGTTGATGAAAATAATTTTCTTTTTTGTTTTTTTTTTTCGCTTCCCCAAAAAGCGGGTCTGAATGGAACTATATAAAAACTGTTGTGTCTTTCTTCCAATGAGCAACTTTTTTATTAGACTCTTTGTTCTTTTTTTTTTTTTGTTATTTAATATTATATATATTGACTCCAAATGCAATCAAGACTGTTAATTTCTATTTGTCCAACCAAAATTGTTGTTTTTAATTATTGTCGAGATATAATGTATGAGAAAAGCCAGGTGAAAACTTGCTTAGTGTAGAAAATCCTTGCTCGTGACTGTAATTGTTGAGATTTTTAAATGTTTTTATGCTACAGAATCATTCACTTTACCCTAGATGCATATTTTGTTTTAATTTTGTCCTTTTCCACAGATGTCTCCTTTCTCTCCTTCGTTCTTTCATTAAGCACATATTTTCTAAAGAAACACGGATTGTTTGCGGGTTAAAACCTTGGAACAGCAGTATCTGTTCATATGCAGTGGATCATACAGTATGTACTGAAGTGCTAATGATACAGAAGATGTGTAACTTCCCTTTACTGTCAGTGGAAGAAGATATATTTTAAGTCATAGAGATATCCTGCCTCTTCGTGTCACTTTTACCTTCAAATCACTGTGGGAGGGGTTATATTACATATATATATATATATGTTGAGAATATATAAGATAAATATATATATATGAAGAATATATTATTTAACTAGTGGATTAAAGTAATGGAACACATTGACAGTCAGCTTTGGACCTCCTGGCGCGGTGGTTTTATTTCCGTGAACTTTAACCTTCCATTTCCTGTCTCTGTTCACGCTGTGTGCTTGTTCATCACACCATCCTGTTGTCTTGTTTGTTCTTTTGATACTATTTACCATCCTACTGATTTTACTGTAATGAATGAAACTCAAAACTTTGATGTATCATTTTAGATTTTATGCTGTATTTGTTATATGGACAAAGAAACCAACAAAGCAAAAAACACTACAGATGTCAAGCAGAGGTTTTTTTTCCCCAGCTGTATTTTTTTACGCTGTCGCAGATGGTTGTATTTTTCAATCTCTTTCGAACTTTAACAGTGATGCAAAACTCGGGCCGCGCCTCAGTGCCCTCTGAACACAAAGCAAATTCAGGTTACTCTTTTTACGTTTTTATCAAAGGTTTTCAAAGATGGAACTACATTCTCCTTTTTTCTGTCTGAATTGTACTACTGTTCCTCTCTATACTACATTTTAAGAATAAAACTTTGATATTGCTTTAAACTGTCTGTGCACGTTTTTCCCTTCTTATCTTGTAAAAACTTGTGTCTATGACCGTTATGAGCAGATGACCTTATAAAATGATCTATATTTCTATGTGATCGATCAGAACAGGGTTTTTAATTGATCTCACATGTGGAAAAATTAAATTAAAAATTAAATCAAACATTTTGAAGTAACAAAATATATATTTTTTTAATCTCAAGATTTCAATAAAAATCACAGCCCTTGAGATGCAGATTCAACTTACACCCTCATATTTTTACAAGTTAATTACTAAATGATTAAAAAAAAAAAATGAGCCAATAATCTGGATCTCTATGGATATATTTTTCAGTATTGTGTGTTTTCTTGTTTTTCATAGCTCATCAGAAACCTTGAGTTGGGTTGATAAGCAGGGCATTTTACAGTTTTTCTCAGTCACTTTGGTGCATTTCTCACATCACTATTAACATTTGGTGCATTTCTCAGAACAATTAGTACAAACTGCAAAACCTAGTGGATAATCTGCAAAAGAGCGTCACTTGTTTAAAATGAATAGATGATTCCTCAAAAGCAAGTCTTCGTGTCGATGAAAGTGTCTGTGTCATCAAAATTAAAAGTCCCAACATCATTGTTTATGAACAAGACAGTCAGATGGCTTTGTCATGTTTTCATTATGACACTTCACTCTCTCTCTGTTTTCCAGTGCAAAAAAGTCAGACCTTGGTGACACTACCAGAAAATGCTTAAGTCAGCACTATACATTACCTGTACAACCATTTGAAAACTACAGTAAAGTTACACATTAGTGTATTTAGTGAGGTGACTGAGTACAAGACACATATATGTTTCACATAATGCCCACTGAGCTATTAGACGTCTAGTTTTCTTTTCGACCTAATTCCAACCGTCTAGATTCTGTATATTTTTAGACGGAATTCAGACGTTGCACTTTAACCCATTATTCAATAACTATTTATTTCAAAAAGCAACTGTTAGTTGCATGACTGATCTCCAAGTACTTAACCAAAATATTTATGATAGCCGTTGAGCAATATACAGTGTAGTATAGATATAGCCCAGATTTAGACTTGATCTAAACTTGGTCTAAATTTACACGTCTAAAAAAACGTTCATTTTCCGATCTGTGGTAGCCTGATTTTAGACCAGTCATCTAAACTACATTTAGATGTCTATTAGACCTCTTTTAGACCAAAAAATGCTCAGTGGGTGCATATGCCGTCCCTATGCAGCATTGTGCAAAAAACAAAATTCACAGTCACTTATTTAGAACAAACATAAGAAATACCATTTTGGTAGAACTGTGCACAGATGTTAACAATATAACAGTACATATTACTGTAAACGAAGCTACGTCACAGAATTGTAGAAATGGTCCACACTGAAAAAATGACAAAATGGCAAAAAAAAGATTTAAAAAAAAAAGATAAGGGAATGTATGAAATCAGCTGGACAGATTTTGACAACAAGTTCAAGAATTTTGTTTGTAATGACTCAAGCAATGAAACAAGGATTATTAGTTTTATAGGGAATGATTATTTAGCAAAAGTATAGTTTATTTTGACTGACATGACAGAAGCAAATGATGTTATAAAACAGCAGAGAATTGTATGAAAGTAACTGATACATGTCAGAGGATTTGCAGTTTGTTCAGAGGAATAAGAAACTGCTACAATGATGTGTACAAATGATTTAATGTTGTGGTGGTTGAACTAATAGTTGCAAGAACTTTCATTCTGATCTGAGAAATTCACCAAAACAACTGAGAAAAACTGTAAATCCACTATAAAACCATCCCCAAGTGCTGCCATCTGCTGGTTAAAAGTAAAACTAATCTGTTTGTCTGTGCTGACACCAGGTGGCAGCACTTCTCTTCACATTTCTCTCTGCGCAGTCCAACAATCACACCCGCAAACACACTGTCCCACTTACTCAGTGAGACTTTTAATGGGAGGATTGATCTCTGCATTGATGAAATGTGGGGCCGCTCACATTGTGGTTGGTTGTTTTCCTGTTAGAAAGCTTCATGAGTTTTTTAAAATGCAATTTGTTTTAGCGTGTAAATCGTCAAATACAAGCTGTGGTTTGATCTTGGTTTGGATTTGGACAGATTGCAAACAAATTTCCTAAACTATAAAAGCTTCTAAAAGAGGAACAAATGTCTTGGTTTGCTAATAAAACTACATTTGTAAGAAATCATGTCTGTTTTATTCTCTTGTGGATCCTTCAGACAGGGGTGGATCTTCTGTGATCTTGTCATGCAGGGAAAGCATGGTAGATTCCAGCATACAGGAGCATATACTTGGCAGGTTTTCAGAGACATTTTATCGAACTTTTTCTTAAAGAAGTCTCTTCATCTGAGCGTCTGAAACAAATGTGAAGAATGCATCTAAAGCACAATCTTCTGATGTGTGTTTGTCACACTGATTCTCTGTGGTACATGCTGTACACTAAAACCAAACAGGCCTCAGTTTATGTTTATCTCCTCGTGGGTATGAGCGCTGCTGTGTGTGTGTGTGTGTCTGTGAGTGTATCTGTGTGTGTGTGTGTGTGTGTGTGTGTGTGTGTACAGTCATCAAACATTGGCCTTGTGGGCAAACCACACCACACACTGCTCTATTCTTTTCAGTGTGCGCATGTTTGTGTGTGTGTGTTCACGTGAATGCGTGTGTGTGTGTGAGTGCATGAGCCTCCTTCCCATTCACAGGCCCTTTGTGTGGGTGTCTGTCAGCGGTGTTGTCTGCAGGCAGGCCTCCATTGTGTTGAACCACTGCTCCTTATTGACTCAGGGCCCCTGGTGCTCCGTGTTCCCATGGCCCCCCAGCCACAGCGGATGGAAGGCTGAAACCAGAGCCCAAGAGCTGGGGAGAGTTTGTTTGCACTCCCTTTCTCTCCCTTGGTGCTACTACAACTCCTGTCCATGGGGTGTGTGTATGAATGTGTGTGTGTGTGGTAGTTTGGATATTAGAAATCTAAGGTGCAAAAGCAGGTAATAATGTGATTACAGCTGCAGCAGCTAACAGCGGGGACCCCTTTGCGCCATAAAGTGTGTGTGTGCGTGCATGTGATGGCTCAGCGCTTCACTGAGAGGCACTCTGAGGTCAAAGGGAGAGCAAACATTAATAGAGAAGATTACGCTCTGATCATTATTATCTCCTGTGTGACCTGCTGTGACCCCTCGATGGTGTCTAGACAAATCGGGTTCTCATGCACAAAGTGTTCCCAGCAGGACACTTAACACTGAGCCGCACGTGGCCTCGTTCACACCGCAGCTTTAAGACGGACTTTGAAGTGAAAAAAAGGAACTTTTGTACGATTAAACATGAGCTCTTTTTTTCACACATGAACTTCAGTCAGATTACAGGACATGCAGGCCCTGAACTTACCATCCACACATCCCGTCCTCACAGTGGAAAATCATCTGTGACAGACATGCTCTCACCACTTGAAATACTCAGTTTGGTGGAATTTAGGGGGGATGGGGGAGTCTTCAGAAATAGTGACAGTTTCTGTGGTAACATCAACACAAGGGCCAGTTATCTGTAATAGTTTTTTTTACACTGTTTGGTTTAATTTGAGAAATATGTCAATTTTGGGAAATATTATTGAATATTTACTGATTTATTCCTGTATTCCACCGTCTTGTGCAGCTCCAGTTGTCCATAGATAAATGGTGGCAGAGCAACATGGTCGTTTTATTTTCATCAGGTCAACTCAGTACATGAGACGTGTCACTGTTCGGGTGAGGCCATGAAAAGAGAAACACACAAAGAAGACTTTAAGGGATATTCCGGTGTAAAATTAATTTAGGATCAAACATGCCGTAACACCAAGTTAGACACCCCCTCAAGAGATGAATGTTACTGACTGTTTGCTTCTCTAGTTATACCAATTTTAGTAACAACCGCACGATAGCAATACACAGCGGCCTGAGGACCTCAACCAAAACACCACTCTATAGCCACAAATAATGCTCAGAACAGCACCGAACTTCATCAACAGTACATATTGGCTCCTAGCCATAGCACTAGCCACCAAACATCTTTTTAACTTTGCCTGATTTCTTTAGCAAAGAGACTAAACACAACTCACCCACTCTCTTCCAGCACCCACTTGTTTGTAGCGAGACCTCGGGCGAGTCCATTATGGACTACAGCGGGGTGATGCAGCTCAAGGAAGAACATTTATGATCATTTCTTCATGGAAATGCAATCAGACCAAGACGCTAAGGCTAAATGATTAATATGATGATTATTACTTCAAGGAAATTATGAAATAATGATCATAAATGTTCTTCCTTGAGCTGTGTTACCCCGCTGTAGTCTGTAATGGACTGGCCCGAGGTCTCGCTACAAAGAAGCGGCTGCTGGAAGACATTCATCATGCAACATTCATTTCTCAAGGGGGTGTCTAACTCTGTTCGATGAAAAAGGTTTCTTCAGTAGGGGAGACCAAGAATGGTTTTTATGCTTTCTGCTTCTGCACCTGTAACTCACTGAGAATTGGAGCTGGAGTTATCACCAACAGGGCAGGTTGTAACAGATGCTGGAGTAAGTTGTAACTTATTTCAAGCACATCTGTCAGTCTTCTTTTGACCCCTTAAGCTTTCTGAAAGTTATTCAAATCAATAAAATGTCATGAGAGGCATTTGAGGAGATGATGGTTACAACTTTTTAGATGTGTAACATCCTGAAACCGGTATTAGTTAACTGCATTAGCATAGTGATATGAATATAGACAGAAAAGAATAACATTTTGACAAGTATAAAGTAAAGAAGTTAAAACATTAAGGCCTATTATAGACAATGATTTTAAAGTTGAGAAAATAAAAGTATTAAAGCCTCACATTAGCTCTCACTGCTCTCAGTTTGTAGAAATAATAGTGAGTTACAATCGACCTTTATGAAAACTGATGTGTGATGTGAAAAAAGTGCGTCTCAGGATGCTTGTGGGGGGTGGTTGTGCGTCATCCATCCTTCCATCCCGCTGTGCACTCAATAGAGCTTTGGGGCAGCAAAGTGTGTGTGTTTTGGTGGCACTATACGCACACACACACACAATCTCTGTTGGCTTGGCGGGCTTTGCTGTGTGAACCTGGCAGGGGGAAACAAATAAACACACACACACGAGTGAAGACATCATTACCATGTGAAAACGGAAGGGCAATTAAGATGTAGAGAGTTTACTGGCTTGTGGTGTGGTGGCCTCTCTTCTGTCCTTTTCTTTTCAGCCTTGCTTTATTTAGGGCCACCATCTCCAAGTCAAGGCCTGCACCGTCAAAACACAAAACACACACACACACAAACACGCACATGGTAGTATGTGAGTACCAGATATAAACTTGTCGCCTTGGGGACCTCCCTGTTAACATGTGACAGAATTATGTGTTTGTGTTTTTAATCCTTTCTGTTTACACATGAGTACCTGTGTTTATACTTATGTCTGCGAATGGAGCAGCAAGCACACACACACACACACACACACACACACACACACACACACACACACACACACGCCATAATGTCACGGTCATGCTTACTTTTTGTTTTGCATGATCTTTTATTTTCACTTAGGTGTTAAACTTTCTGTGTGTTTGCATGTGTGTGTGTGTCTGTGTGTGTGTGTGTGTGTGTGTGTGGGTGTGTGCGTGTGTGTGAGCGTGTTCCTGAGGGTCTGCCTGCATCTGTTCGTGACCCTGTGTTTGTTTATAAGCGATGAGTGTGTGGGAGAGCATGCGTGTGTGAGAATGTGTACACATACCAAATCATCTCAGCGTGTGTCCCAGCGCGTCTTTGGTGACAACACGTGTGTGTGCGTGTATGTGTGTGTGGTGTGTGTGTATGAGTGTGTGTGTGTGTGTCTAAAGGAAGGTGCTGGTTCCCACAGCTCAGATCTAATTCAGCTGTAACTCAATCTCCGTGTGAGTGCCGCTCCTCTACTGCTCTCCTCTCCCTCTGGTGATGTGTGTGAGTACGAGTGTACGTATGTTGTGTGTGTGTTAGAGCGTACGTTTGTGTGTGTGTGTGTGGCAGGGAGACATTTCCCCTCTCAGACCCTGCAGTATCAGCTTACTGTGTCAACGCCAGGAGCTTGACAGCAGCAGCAGCCACGTTCACACACACAAACACACACAAATATACAAGTGGGACATCCTATACCTGCCATTTAGATATCAGGGGGGTTATGGGACACTTGTGATGTGTGACTGTGTGCATGTTTGTTTGTGTCTATATGTGTGTGTTTAAGGGGACGAGACATGACACTGCACACGTACGTCGAGACAATTAGATAAAGAGGTGTTAAACTCAGAGTTGTCATCATTTTTAATCTTGTTTGTAAAAATCACATAAGAAAAATTAAACGTTAATTCTTCATGAACTGTTTGGAGACTTTGACACGCTGGTTGCAAGTGTCAGTTTTACTTTCTGTTGACGAGGATATATAGTTACATACAGGCCTCAGCTGGTGTATTTGACATGTACGATTTTGAAGGATCAGGATGTATGCATGCAAACGTTCATGCTATACCTGTGTGCATGTCTATACTCCTAACCTTTGACACATTGGGGTCTATGCAAACTGTAATCTCAAGGATATCTATGTCTCCATGTTTCGCCTGGTCTGCAATGTATAAGGCACTGAAGTGAAAGAATAAGGCAGAGCGGTTCAGCCTCTGATCGTCTCTTGGAGGTGTTGCACCAGGAATGATTCCGAGTACACAATAGTCGACCTCATTGCAGGTGACAAAATGTTGACAGCAGATTTAGAGCGTGTAACGGTGGGTGGTTTCAAACAACAAACGAGAGAATGTGTAAAGTTTGTTTTGGCCTGCTGTGACTGCTGAGAAAAGGAAGTAAGGAGGTACAGAGAGAGAAAAAGCAAATCTTAGTGTGGGAGCTCTCTGTGTGTACGTGTTGAGCTGTAATATGTACGAATAATTTTTAAGGTGTTTCTGTTTGAACCTGTCATTCCTTGATTTAAACAAGACTGCACTGTCCCAATGACTTAATTCTGACCCCAGTAGGGGTAAAAATGTTGAGGGTAAAAGTACTGAAACAAGCATACTTTAGAGTGCAAACTTGCATGCTTTAAAAGGTGCATTCCTGGTAGTGCATAAGCGAAGAATTTTAAATTAATTAATGCCCATTTAAAAAGGAAGCACAAAAACAAGTGCAAACTCAAACTACTTAGTTAAGTGCATATAAAGGGGCATAGTTTTTAGTGTGATTGACTAGATAGCGTTAATTTCAAACAAAAATTCTATAAAAACATTCTTGAAACTAAAATTGATACAGTGTATTGTTTACTGATTTTGCATAAAAAGTGCATACTTGAAACTACATATATTTTAGAAGTTCACACTTAAACAGTACTCACTCAAAAGTGTATAAAAGTAAAGTACATACTCTAAAGTGCACACTTAAAAGGGTATAACTGAATGCGGGTCCATTCTTCAACATATTAATAGTGCTAATCCTAAGGGGTGCATACTCTTAAGTGTTTACTTTAGAGTATGCCAATGCTCCTAGTACATAGTAAATGTATAAAGTGTAAAATAACAGCACTATACTCTCATTTTGAAAGGTTACAGTTTTTAGCTCTTGGTAGAAGTATAACTTTTCTGTCATGAAATGCAGTTTTAAGAAAAATCAATTCACATCAAGACATGGATGAAAAAAGGTTTTTAATGAACATCTAAACGAAACAAATTTTACATTAGTACTAATAGTCGTTTTTATGAACTTTATCACAATACAAACTCTAATCAAAATACAGTGTGTGTATGCATGTGCGTGTGTGTTTGTGTCTGTGTGTGAGCATGTACTGTACTTTACTCACAGTTGTATGTGGTCACAGAGGCGGCGTTCCTGTAGCACCCAACAATGCTAAGAGCCAAGATGTCTACATGATTGGTTTTTAAAGACCCACCCAAGAAAGAGACTGTTGTCCAGCCTTATTGACTCCAAATTGTGTGTATGTGTTTGTGTGTGTGTGTGTGTGTGTGTGAGTGTGAGTGTGTGTGAAAGAGAGCGGCCAGACTCAGTATCCTGAGGGTCACCAGGCCCTCAGTTCAGTGTTATCCTGCATGGCACTGCTTCCTGTTGCAGTTATTCACTATGGAGCTGCAGCCACTTAATACAGAGTCGATTATTGAACAGAACAATAAGAGAAATGAAAGGCCGGCAGCATTCAGGCATGGGGCTGACACACACACACACACACACACACACACACACACACACACACACACACACACACACACACACACACACACACACACACACACACACACACACACACTGAGGAAGCATGGGTAAACAATACAGTGAAGCCCTTGTGCCAGATTGTTTCCTCTGAGTAAGGAGACTAACTTCATAGACCCTCTTGTGCTTTTACATTAAGTTATAGCTTTAGTCTGACTAAAACTGGACTTTGAAAAAAACATGTAACCACATTAGTCTGGCTGAAATCACACTGAATCAACTTCTCATAATTGGACTAACATATCTGGACAATGCAGTTGAAGGTAGATTCCCTCTGTCATGTCCACTCATGCTCAGTTGGACTAAAACATATGTTTTCTGCACATTCTCCAATGTTCTGATGCTGGGTTGAATGACAAAAGTACATTGATAGGAAGACAGGTAGTTAAGGCAACCTCAACGGAAGAAGGAAGGACGTTCAAAAGACAAAACTCTGTTGAAAAACCTGATTTTTTTTCTCTCTGGTTAAACTTTCAAGAGCTTCATTTTCAGATGAAAACTAGCTTTTTAGAAGCAGTATCACTATGGTGATACGCTCTCTTTCACAGGTGTAAAAGGGTGACTAAGGCACACAGTTACCTTCTATGCAGCATTTTATCAATCAAACATGGTTGTATCACTATTTATGTCTTCTTTATGAAGCTATTGCACCTCCCACGAGGGTTTGACAGTGTGACTTAGGTGA